CGAGACGGTCGGAGAAGGAGGCGGGAGGCGGGAGGCGGGAGGCGGGAGGCGGCCTCGGCAACGGGCGGCTGGACCGCCCGCCCATCGCCACGTGCTCTCCAACATCAAGCCATCGCCGACAGCACCACGTCCATCGCCCCTTTGCAGACATGGCGCATCAGCCACACGGCCAGTCCGAGAACCTCACGGAGCGCGATACTGGCCAGAGAGCCGTGGCAGTGGCTGATGCAGTCAAGAAGCTCGACGCCTCGCGCGAAGCCCGGCGTGTTTTCACGCTGCCGCAAAATGAAATAGCCATGCGAACAGACATGCACAACCATTCTAGCACCTGTACGAGCCTCCTGGCGAGCCGCTGCTCTTCTTGCATATAGTCGGTGCCATGGGGGACTCCCGTTTCAGTCACTACCGAACACGCTGCGACTTCCAGCTCGCTCTGCGTGCCAGCTGACACCATGGCTCTCCTTCTTGCACCTTACAACAATGCTATGCGCCTGGGCCAAGGCTTCAACTCGTATACCCAACAAGTGTGTATTGACGATGCCGTCGTCATCGATCCTGACAGGCCAGCAAATGTGGTCACCAACATTGGTGACACGATGGAAGACCTGGCAATGGCCATGGGTCAGTACCGCGCTTTGTTATGGCATGCACGTCTGATGTACTCGCAGCTGAGCAGATTGAGCGTGACAAAGAGCGTTTGACACAACGAGCCGAGTCTGGCGATTCTGGAGAGCGCTCGTCCTCAATCCGCGCCGATAGTGATGGATCGGATGATCTGGTCCACGTTTCTGCGCCCTCCACGAATCCTGTAGCTGCGGCTCGTGAAGCTGAGGAAGAAAGTGAAAAGCTCACCGACGAAGAGAGACGCAAGAAGGCTGGTGAGAAGAAGGCCGAGGAGGCAGCTAATCTGAAAGGCAAAAGTCTGGAAGAAGTGGAGAAGAAGAAAGATGGCATCAAATTCGAGAAACGAGGGATTGGCATGGGCACTAACCTTGAAGCCTATCCTTGGTCACTTGCAGAGGCGAAAGGTCCCAGTCAAGTCGTGTCGTATTCATCGCGTTTCATTGATAAATTAAGCGACATCACCGAAGACATGAGCATCTCTGGAAGCTTGTCCATCAAGTACGGCGCCATCGGTGGCTCTGGCAGAGGATCTTTCGTCAGTATCCACCAGAGACTTGAAAAACAATTCACTGACATGTAACAAGGTTGACTCGGAGAAATTCTCTCAATCTGACCTGAACTTCTACATCAGCGTGAAGGTGATCAACCAGTCCATCAATTGGAGAGATGCGCTGATCTTCAACCCTATCCCTTCGATTAACACTGTCGACACCTCGAAGACACAGCAAGAGTTCAACAAGGTCTTTGGAGACAGTTTCATATCGGGGTTCCAGGAGGGAGGTAAGGCTAAGGTCGATAATAACAAGTAGGCCCACGCTGACGTAATTTGAAGGCGAGTTCAATGCTGTTGTCAGCATGAAAATTCTCAATAAAGCAAAGCTCACCGACATCGAGGCGGAAGCAAAGGTTGCACTGACTATCGGCCCAGGGAGCGTAGGCGCTACAGGTGCCGTGCACACGGCCAAAAAGAATCTGGAGATGAATACCGAAACAACAATCCAGGTGTCCTGGAGCGGTGGAGGACACATCAAGGACCCACGTCAAGCCTGGACGATTGATTCTTTAATGGAGGCGGCGGCGAGGTTTCCCGATCTTGTGGCCCAATCGCCACAACGGACGTACGCGATCCTCTCAAAGTACGACACGTTGAGGAGCTTCGCCGACAAGAAGCCCGCAGGCGTGTCTCCTCTTGCATATGAGAATGCCCAGCTTTACACTAGCGCCATGATGGACACGTACATGGAGTACAAAGCTCTCTACAAGCGCCTGACGGCAGACATGGCCAGTGTCCGAGACACCAAAACCAAGCGAATTGTTGCGTGGGCGGCAAATACTACCACCTCCGACCAGACAGGTCCCTTCGAGAGCAATGTCAAAGGTCTTGACGATGCGCGAAGAAGGATACGGGAGCAGATGATGCTTATCGTTACCGAAGTCGATAAATTGACGGTGGACCCCAGTAAGCTGAGTCCTGATTACAAGGAGCCTTTCCTGCCGGCAGCAACATTCGCCACGAAAGTCCCTATCGTAGAAGACATCGTCAAGGCACCGGAAGTTCCCTTGTCCGGCAAAGAAATCAAACCGGTAGAAGAAAAAAGAGGCTCGGCGACCTCTGAGCTCTTAGTCAGTAAGGACGAAGTAACATCCGAGGAAGAAAATTATGTAAGTCCTGCTCTGAAATGTTTTTGTTGAGGGTTGTAGCTGATCAAGGTTGAAGACTGTTGGACTCAGTCAGAAGGATCCCTCTATTGGCGAGCATCTGAAATTGACAAGGCCCTGTGGATCAGTCGAGAACGGCACTTACTTCAACAACCTTGACTTCGTCCACAAGGACTTTACCATATCCTCGATTGCTGTAGAGCTTTCCAAGGGGGCGCTGTCAGCACTCAGGGTCCAGTATACAAATGGTCTGGCTATAACCCATGGAAAGACGACCGATAAGGCGCCGATTATTTTGAAGTCCTTTTCTGCTGGCGAGAAGCTCATTGCAGGCTCAATCGAGACTGGATGTGGCCCTGATGATGGGGAACAGGAACGTGTCATATCGCTCAAGCTCTACACCAATCGAGGTCGCCAATTATTGGGCACTGCAGCCTCGTCCACGCTCTCCGGTGGGGCGCACAACAGAGATGGAACGATCTACTTGAAAGTGAAGACGACCTACTTCGACACTCCATTTCAAAATGGCTCCCTGCGCGGATTTTGGGGCAGAAGCACTGAAAAACAAAGCTCTGACGGCGTGATATGGAGACTTGGACTCGTTTGGGGTGACGCGGGAAGCGTAAGTAGTCACATCAAAATAGCATTCCACGCTAACAAATTGCAGTCAGACAGTACTGCTCCTCTTGTGGTCGCCGACGGCCCAGAAGAAGGGTCCGTTTTCGCCCAGGCTGGCCATGCATACGTCAAATGGGACCAGGGTAGACGCGGAGAACGGTTCAAGACGGCTGTGACATTCCCGTTCCCGTACTCTACCACCCCGACAATCATATCAGGTCTCAGAGAGTACGATCTGGCCAAGTCCAATAAAATGGAAATTGGTGAAGAAAGTAACGACAGCATTTCTCCAACCGGTTTCCAGGCGACAACTTACAGTATTGACGAGGCGTCGACATATGGCGTTTCTAGCTCCTGGATGGTATTGCCCCAGAACGAAATTTCTTTCCAAACAGGAGAAGTCACAACACGTGGTATCGATACCCGACCGAACATCGATATCAAAGTCATGTTCCCAAGAAAATACAAGTCCGATCCGACAGTGGTGTGCTGGCTCAAGGCCGTTACAACCACTACCAAAGGCGATCCACCCAATCATCGCGTGTTATGTACTGTCAAGAGCGTTGGACCAGACTATGCTGTCATTGCCATAAGCACGTGGCATACGACCGACCTGGTCTATGCCAAAGTCGGATGGTTGGCATGGGACAAGGAGCAAGATGGTCGCCTGATCAAGACAGGCAGCCTTCTTACGAAACACAATGACGCTGCTAACAAGAATCAAGAGAAGGAGGTAAGGTTCGAGAGGGGCGCGTTCAAAAAGCCTCCGGTCATGTTCTTTGCCTTTGAAAGCTGGGATGTCAAGACCGTGGAAGGTTTGAGAGCAACGGCGAGTCTCCGCGTAATTGAAAAGGACAGATTCACCGCTACGTTGGGAGCTTGGGATGCCACTCAATACGAGTCTTTCATAGGCAGGTGGATCGCTATCGAAGGACCTTGAGTGCTAGCGGCTGGCCTACATTCGGGAGAGCAACTGTAGTTCTTGAAGCCTTAGCATGAAACATGTCATATTACACTCACGCGTCGATAGCGTGCAGTTCAGCAAGCAGGGGAGCGGCATGCGCGAGTGTAACACAGCTTCCGTCACGGCCCCACAGTTTCATGATTGCGGTCTTTAATCCATTTGAAGCTTTTGCCGTCACCAATGCCGCACGCTCATAATTGACTCAACCTTCATCATGTTCAATCACGTCTCCTTCTCAAACAACTTCTCCACCATACCCCTACAGATCGGATGATAAAAATCCCTGTTCTTCTCAAACGTCTTCTTCGCCAAGTCCAAATCGTTCTTGATCAACTGCTTGTACAATGGTCTCACAAACTTCATTCTTCCGACCTCACCCAGCAGTTTCGCAGTAGGCTCAAATACACTCTTCGCGTGGGCTTGCAGTCCCACAACGAGATATCTCGATACAACTTCAACATTCTTGCTGGTACTGAATTGGTAAGCTTGGCCCATCTCTTCAACGAGAGCCGGAGAGAGTGATTTGTCGAATGTTTGCACTTTCTCGAGGAACACGACACTCTGAAGTGAAGAGAAATCGGCGATGTCGGACTTGGCGGGCTTGAAACTTGATGAAGAACCAGTGTTGAGTGCTTCCCATTTGGAGGCCAGAGCAAGAGCTTGATCTGCCAGAGTTGTGTCGAAGTCGGGCTTGGGCGGATACCCTGGTTTGTAGAACCATGTGTCCCAATCGAGATCTTCAAGTTTCTTGGAGGCTTCTGCGTCGGACGCAAAGAAGTCAAGCAGAGTAGCCTTGAATTCGTAGCTGTCGACTGAGCGCTGCTTGTATGTTGTGAAGTAGTGTGGGATAAATTTGTCCCATTTCTCCTTGCCAATGAGCTTCTCGAGGGTGTAGAGAAATGTGAATCCCTTTTCGTACGGGATGCTGGAGAATGCATCATCCGGATCTTTGCCCTTGAGGTCGATCACAAGTTTCGTGAACTCATGGTCCTCGCCAAATTGCTCAATACTATCACTCAAAGCCTTCCAACCAATAATGGCAGAGAAGTCTCGGTGCTGGTCGCCGCCGTGATAGTCAGCTTGAATACGACGCTCGAGATAGGTTGTCCAACCCTCGTTAAGCCAAAAGTGCTCCCAAGAGGCGTTCGAAACCAGATTTCCGGACCAGGAGTGACTCAACTCGTGAGCGATGACATCCACATTTTGCCTGTCTCCAGATACGATTGTGGGTGTTGCATACGTCCATATTGGATTCTCCATTCCGCCATAGGGGAATGAAGGAGGCAACACCAGGATGTTGTATGCTGTCCATGCATAGGGGTAAACGATTTTCTCCGCAATTTCGATGTACTTCTCGGTGTCGGCTTCGAACTCCCACTGTGCCGCGGTCAGCTCCTCGGGCCCAGTCCACACCTGCGAACGTGGTCCAATCGAAGCAGAAGCCAGGTCACCACTGGCCAAGGCAAAGAGGTAAGATGGCATCGGAATCTGTTGATGAAAAGTGTAAAGAAGTGTACCCGACTTGCCGTCCTTGCCTGGCACATAATCCTTTACGCCAGTCGGTAGGCCGGACGCTAGCACGGGCAGAGGGGAACGAATATTGAAAGTGTACGTCGACTTAACATCTGGCGTGTCCTGGCATGGTATCAGGGACCGTGCGTGAATTGCTTGGCACTGACTGAACATATAGGGGTGCTTCTTGTTGCTGGTTTGAGCCGGAGTGAGCCACTGTAGAGCTGTGCAGTCCTTGGTTGTGTTGACGCCGATGGAAAGCTTGATCTCGGATCCTGTCGTCTTGTTGTGTTTGTCTTCCAGGGTGATTGTTAGAGGGCTTCCATAAGGCTCAATCCGGTCCTTGTTGAGCTTCCATCGCACTTGATCGCCTTCGACATCTACGCCTTGAATGTCGAGGTAGCTGGAAGAAGTCAGTGGTTGTGAATCAGAAGATAGTATCAATATCTTACCTGGTGTCAAGGATGATCTGCTTCTCGTCGGCAAGCTTCTCGAGTGTCAGATGCACAGTCCCTGTCAGACGCTTGTTGTCGAAGTCAACATTGAAATCTGCGGTCGTATGCTTCGTCCGCCAAGCACTGTAGTTGGAGAGTGTATTGGGGTCTCGCGGTGCGTGAATGGCCTTTGCGGCCTCCTTGGCCACGGATTCGGGGGCTGGTTTGGCAGACATGGTTTGGAAGCCCAGATGAGGCACTGCTCGAACCATTGATGGAGGAGCAAACAGAAAGCTGCGGGTGCAGAAGCTCGGTGCAGTGATCCTGCAGGAACGAATGGCAAATCCGAACAAACTCATTCAACAAGAATTACTGTAACAGCTATCAGCAGTCAGCAGCCAGCAAATCGATGAATAGCAATCCACGCGAGCAGTAGATCGACGCAGTGTCAATCTTCGGCCAGCTGTGTAAGTCAGAGTGGAGTCACGAGATCGCGTATGCTCTAGGCGAGGTGGCGGGAGCAGCCGGAGCCTTTTGTTGATCGCTTCGCGTCGGCTTTCATGACCTCACCACCTCGACGCGTCGCAAACTCAGCAGCACACCGACGGGACGACATTTACATCTCCAGGACATGCGCTGATTGCGCGAATACATCTCCGGTCACTATGGCACGAGTGCGCGCTGCGCCAGGCTCTCAAGCTCCCACGAAGGCGACCGCGACTCGTCAAGCGCTGAAGGAGAAGACAAACACAGCACGCACGAACGGACCAGTCTACGAGGACGATGGAAACACCGATGGTCTCATCAAAGACTCGCAGCCGAAGCGCGGACGGCCGAAGAGAGTGGCAAGGCAAGACTCTGATGAATTAGTCATGGCGGGAGGGTTAGGACTGGCGAGTGGGGAGAGTGCGAAGAAGAGCGACGCGCCAACAACGACTGATGAGCTTGCGAAGAGCGATGCTGCTCCAATGACCACGGCAAAACCCAATCGAAGGCCAGCAAGGACAATACGCAAGGTCGCGACGAGCCAGACGCAGAATGAAGTCTTGAATGGATTAAAGCAACGAATGAACGCCGCAGCCAAATCGCAGCGCACGAAACAGCGACCAGAGGCGCAAGTTGTTCGAGACACATTCAGTGACCCAAAACCGTCTGATGCGCTTCCGACAAACCCTGCGATTGCGAGTGAGTCTCAGGATGCTATTGTGGATCGCTCTGAGTTGAGCTTGTCATCTTCGCCCCCAGCGCGCGCGAACCCCGGCACTGCGCAAAAGCACCGGTCCTCGATAATGCAGCCTGGCTCGGTGCTGCGAGCGCAGAACACACCGGCTGTGGAGAGCAGTATGTTGGCATTGAAGAACTTCAAACGCAGGCCGCGCCAGCCAAGCATGCTGCAGATGGTTAGGCAGAAAGTGGGAAGTGCGCGGCCCTCTTTAGCAAACGATACCGCTGTCACTGTTGATGACAATGCTGTGGAAGACACAAGCGTGTTTGACCTGGACATCAGCGATGACAACGAGGATTTTGCACCCGAGGCAGAAGGCACGCCTCTTCACCTCAATCAAAACCGATTGTCGAACCTGGGCAGTGTGAGGCAACGCAGCACGATGCAGCTCAGCCTTGTCGACAACTCCGCGGTCCAGCCACAGAAGAAACGAAAGTCTGACACGCTCGATGTGTCATCTGGGTCATTATCCGGTTCACGAAGCAAGAAGCCGAGGCAAGATCAAGATGTGTCCTCCGGCTCACTTTCTGCCCTCCATGCTCGGCGGCAGCAGCCAGTCGTCGAAGTTGCACAGGCGCCGGAGGCGGATGACGACGATTGCATTGTTGTACGTTCATCTACGGACCGGGATGAAACGCCTCAACCTGCTACCACCTCAGATGTCCAAGTCATCAACTCACCGTCCTCTTCGACACCGCCTACAGAGCCCTCGTCATCACACCATCGACGCTCTCTGTCTGGCAAAGACGACGATTATGCTGTACCGTCAACGGCACCCGACGCCGAACTTGAGCTTGCTACACGACACGTCGACCCGCAGGAGGAACAGGATGACATCGTCAATGGAACCATGGCGGACCCTGTGAGCAGCCCTGGCGCCCCGTCTGAGGATGTCATGGCAGACCCTGCAACGCAGCGAGCTTCCCCGTCACCGGTCAAGAAGAAGCCGAGAGGCAAGCCGAAGCCGATCAACACTGCCGCATTGCAGTCGTTGTTGCCGAAACGGCGACAACCATTGAGACCGCGCAAACGGAAATCAGAGTATGATATCGAATCATCTGAAGCTGAAGACGATGCCGTAGTAGACACTAGCCACCTCGATGAAGATGAGGACGAGCTAGGCGTCCAAGGCAAACGGCGAGCAAAACCCGCTCCGACGAAGACGAAGCGAGGCACGACCGCAAAGCGAGGGAAATCAGGCAAAGCAGCGCCAACAGCATCGAAAAAGACTGCAGCCAAGAAGAGTACGAAAACGTACGGTCGAGCCACAGTATCTGACAAGGAGAACGACGGCCACGAATCCTTCGAGGAAGCAGAAGAGTCGACCCTGCCGGAGATCCCTCACAGCATGCAAGACGTTGCCAAGAGCAAGGAGCTTGAGGCGGCAAAGGCTAAGTTCGCGGACATCGACCAGTGGGATATGGAGTTCGAGACGATGAGCGCTGATGATCATCGAAGTTCGAGCTTGAATTGGAGATGAGGTGCTCGTTTCTTCAGACTTTGCTTCGCTGGCATCAATGGGAACCTGTGAGACTGATGCATGCATGACTGAACGACAGTGTGTTCATTTCTAGTGCCTTTGCAAATACCCGAAAGATAGCATTGTTACGAATATTCGTGGCTTTTGCCATGATTTGTATCGCTGTTCATTGGTGTCAGTAGCCACTGTTTCACTCCTACTTTTGGTGGCACAGGCTCCGTGAAGAAATCAGGGGGGAGACTTGTCCCACAAACGAGTGCATTGGTCGAGACGGCTCGCGGTCGCGGAGCTCCTCGGCATGATACTCCAAAGCAGTATGGCCGACGCCGAGCAGCCTTGCGTGTTCTTATGCTATTGGTAGTACATCGTTCATGCTCTCATTGTGCAACCTTGGGCAGAGGACCGAGAGTACGGAGCTGACGCTGATGTGAGAAAACCACCGGATGGCAAGCAGCAATTCAGAGTCTTCGAGAGTCTGGACCCCTCAGGTGGGAATTTTGTATTGGATTCACGATGATGACAATGTGGGAAGCGGTTGGCTGTTCTGCCGGTACTTGTTCGACGTTCTGCACAGTACGTGATGAGGCGTGCCTGCTTTGAGCAAGGTGCATCTCACTGCGTCGTCAGGCACCAAAGGTCGGAGTACTCGGTCCGGATCGAAAGTGTTCTGACGATGACCATTCAATTATGAGAGGCGTACCTTTGCGCAGAAATTCACCTTGACTTCGCCATGGTCGTTTGCGCGGTCGTTGAGCTGGCAGGATGAGTTGCTGCGCCTCTGAGAATCGTGACTGTTGCCTACGATAGCCTCTTGGCACCGGTGCAGAGTGCCGACAGTGAGAATTAGTATGCTTTTCAGTGCTGCGGATGCGGTCGTGATGCCTGTTGGTGAACGTGGACCCTCCATTTCATCCCATTTAGGCCGATTGGAGGCCGGAATGTCGCACTAGTGCTCTATTGGAAGACGAGCGTGGGCAAGGCTGGCAGTTCCAGGGTCTAAGTATACAGGTGAAAGAAAATTGATTCGAGGCCAACTCGTGGGATTTGTGAGGGGAGCCTACACATGTCGCTGAGTTTTCACAAGAAGGTCCTCGGTATACGTGGCTTGGCGGCTGCGTTGGAGAACTTCGATGCTCAATGATATTCGATGCAGAGGCCTTCGCTGTTGTGTTCGGCATCGCGCAGCTGGGGAACTCTGGTTGAGATCGTGCTCGTGCGTAGGTTGAAGCTTCTGGAAATACGCATGCAGTAGCTATGCTACTACATCATGCAGAGTTGAAGCTGCTCGCGTGCAATCGGGCCCCTAAGCCGAAGACGATTGGACTGGTCTGCTGCGAGGGAGAAAATCTTTGGTAGCTGTTTGTGAAGACGTGTCATTTCATCAGATGGTAGATCATAGATCTCGGTGCTCGTGCCAAGTTTGAGCAGCCCCATTTTTACCAACGTCCAAGTTGAGGTTGAAGTTGAAGCAAACGGGGTGGCTCAGCGGGCATGTTGAGGACGGTTCACTGGTCCGAGCCGTGCTTCCTTGTTCCTGCGAGCTGCGATCGCCGACGGCAGCGCACTGTTTGTGAACAGACAGGCACGTGTGCTGCGGGAGCAGGAGAAAGCATCGCCGATGTGCAGCAGCAGATGCAGCAGCATGCAGGGTGCAGCTGGCTCGAAGTTTTGCGGAAAAGTGTGAAGCTCGCCTGAGCCAAGCAGGAATTCGCTTCGAAGCATTGCCTGCAGGCAGTCCGATCGCTCGGAGGGCAATTCGAATGCGGTGATGAGAAGACATGTGGCATCGCGTCGGCCGCGCTGGCAAGATGGGGCAGTGCGGGTGGTGAGGTGCGGTCTCAGACAGCAGCGTTCTTCCGGGCGTCGTTCGCACGACGGCCCGAGAGCGCAGCGAAGCGCAGCACAGTCGCGATCGATGTGTTTTGCGAGCCAAGCCAAGGCAGCCAACCAGAAAATGGGCTTCTTTCAACAAGCGCCGTGGGCGCGAAAATGGGCGTCAGCTGTCAACGACCGCGCTGTGCTGCTGAGGGTAGCGTCGGCGAAACGTGAGCGCAGCGCAGGGTGGCGTGGAGCGGGCGGCGATAGGTCGTCGCATGTCACTGTGCAGCGCGCCGGGCCAATTGATCTGAGATGGCGTGCATCGCCAGCGCCCTCCTGGGATCCCTTGGGGTGCCTCGCGAACGCGTGCTGCCGTGATGCTCCGTGCTCGCATGCGCCAGCGGCATGGGGTGGATGGAGTCTCCATCCACCAGCTCTCGACTCCGCTGCTGCCCATCTGCTTCACTCGCTGCGCCGCGACACACTCCCGCCGAACTTTTGTCCGACCAAGCAGATCGTTGCCGCACTCGCTCCCAAATTTCGCCGTTACCCTGTGGCATGTCAATCACTGATGACCATGGCGTTGAATCAATAACCGCTGCGCGGACGAGGCCGCTGAACGACGTCCCCTTCCACTGCATCTCGACTTGGGCCCCCATATAACTCCTTGACAGCCCAGGAGTCCTGTCGTGTGACCTGCCATAGGCTACACACGCGTCATATGGGAACACTGCGGCAGATCTGGACGACATTGTAGCTACAGCATAACGCGCAGCTCCAGCTCCACCTCTTCATTGCTAGCCTGGACTGCCACAATGGCAGCGCTCCACCATCGCCCCGAGATCGACGACATGCGGTCCGCTTTTGATTCGGCTTCATGCCAGTCAGACCAGGACAGCGAGCGAACGTCGTATAATACATCACGTTCTGGGAGCGACAGATCATACCGCACAGCAGCAACAGAGCATTCACAACACTCGACGAAACGACCCCCTCGCATACACTACACGACCTGCGATGGCAATCATGAGAGGACACCACAGTATTTTACGGACAGGCAGCCGCAGGAGAGCCCCCGCGGTTCGGTCGAGACCTTTGCATCCACAGTTGCGAGCGAAGAGGATGTTCAAGAGGAGATACCCGCACCAGACTTCGACGTGCCAGAGTATACTCAGCAGCAAAGAGGACCAGCTGCCGTTCCAGCAACACCAGCAGACTTCTCTGAGCTGTTCCCTTCACATCGCAGGCTGTTGATCAGGCATGACGATACCACATTGGATGGGAATATGAACTTGAGGGTCGATACTGAGGTCAATATTCGTGGTCAAAGACGCGACATGACTCTGTTCCATCTCCGAATGCACGAGCTCCGCGAACGTGAATTCTCTCTGCGGCGATATTGCCGCGATTCTGGCCGCGAGGTTTGCCATTCATCTCGCAAGGTGGAAAAGCCGCCTATGAAGCGACCAGGTTTCCAACGATCGCTCAGCAACGCTTTGAGTACTCTGCGTTCCAAATCGGACTCACGAAGTCCCACATTCTCAAGTCTCAAGCGTAATGACTCAGGCTACGGCTCTCTTAGCTCTTCCATTGATAATGACTGGGAGGACCGGGCCAATTCGGCGAGCGCCACACCTAAGCAGCCACCCGCTGTCACGACAAATTCTATCAAACTTGAGTTCTCGAACTATGCACAAGTCGAAATCAGGCGAACGGGTGTGAAGGGCAGCAAGCGTTATGAATTCGAATATTGGGGAGTGAGCTACGCGTGGCGACGAGCGACTCGCAGAGACATGGAAGGGTCTCCGACGTCGTATACATTGACGAAGGCTGGAAGTGAACGTTCCTTGGCGCATATTATTACTGCTGCGTTGACCCCTGCGCAAATCGAGGAGGAGCGTCGTCAAGGTGGTTGGATACCGCCTTGTGGCATGCGACTTGAGGACGAGAGTCTGGTCCGGGGCCAGAAAGACGTCGCAGAGTAAGTCTCATCATTCATTGCTGATGCTGTTATGGCGCGACTCAATTGCTGTCGCGTCACGCGTGTCGCAGGAGCGCGTCCGATGGCAAGCACCTGCCGCGTCCAGATCACCACGCTTCGCGTCCGGGTCGGAGGCAGTGTCCATCCGTGTGTTGCTTCTGTTTCAGCAGGGTCCTGACTGACAAACTTGCAGTGTCATTGTTGCTTCCGGATTGATTGCTCTCGTCGACGATTCAATCAAAACGCACTTTAGTACGAGGCAAAAGCTCGAGATCGTCGGACCGAAACGATTTCTCAGCGAAATCTTCAAGCGTGAGACGGGTAGTCAAACAAGTCACCAGTCATTACACGAGCAAGAATCTCGGCCTTCCAGCCGCGGCACAGGTACTACCAGCTTACGGACTCCAGCAAGAGCGGTCAGCAATGTAATTTGAGTGTTGGACTGCCACACGGCGCGTGAAACAAGCAATCCACGCGCTTTGCGCAGACGCAGGCGGTCAAGAGGATCCCCGATCAGCCTCGTGATTGATCACGACGTGACACTGCGGCCTGCGATGCAGCTTGCCGTACCGAGCCACGGAAGTCTCTTTCGACGTCTGTTCAATGGGATTTGTATCAAGGAAGATGACGGCGAGCGGGAGAAAAATCTCATTTTGTTTGACAGGACGCATAGCAATCGCAGACGCTTCGCGGTGACAGCACAACACAGTAAAAGCATCAGCAGAGCACTGGCGGCTTCGCCACCAACGAGTGCCCGCCACTCGGGAAAAGATGCACCATTTCAGCTTGAATTCGCAAGAATGACTACAGTCACGCTACGGAAGCAGTGTATACTATCAAGGTATCCAAAGTGCCGAAAGGCTAAACTCAGGTCGGGCTCACCATCGTTTTCTTGTGCTGAGCTGGAAGGTCCTCATCGCTCCACTCCATGAGGAGCGGCCTCGAGGTTAAGACTTAGCCCTGTTAGCTTGCATATGTCTCGCACCGAGCACGCTGCTTCCCGTTATGCATGCGGCAGCTGTGCAGGAGCGCGCATGCCACTCAAACGCCAGGTCCCGATTGAGATACATCGCGCCATGTATCGGCTTTGCGAGACCCAACACACGCAAACGCAAGTTTGCTGGCACCATGAAGCAAGCATTTTCTGCGTCCAGCACGTCATAGTATGTAGCTGTCTATCTCGGGTCTTGGATGCTGTGTCAAGCCGTCGACACGTAGTCTAGCACCCGCAGTAGTTCACATGCACCTTGTTGGCTAATCGTCCCGCTCGCGCATTGCTGGCATGAACTATGCCTGTGCATGGGCAATCAGTCGTTCTCTCAGCCTCAATCCAGTCCTGCGACGTGAGCGACACGATGCTTCGAAGACTGTGTGACCATCATGACCAATGCCGTTGCACGCATCGTCACACGTCAGCAAGCAAATGGTTCATGTGTTGCGGACACGATACAGGTCCCACTGCGGCTAAAGCCTCTACGCGCCGATCCACCGCACTTATGCAACCAAACGCATGAGCTCGAAAGGGCATGGGGGTCGAGCAATAAGTGCCGAAGATGCGGGCTGCCTTCTTCGAAGTGGACGCCGAGACGTTGGAGTGGCAATCAACACCAACGGATAGTCAGACGCTACTCCATCTTTTTCTTCCGTCCGGTATGGAACCTCGCATGCCCTGACAGCTGAGCAACGGGTGTGTGCTTCTCCCAACGCCGCCACGTTGTTCACAGCCGTGACAGAAGGAAAACGCAGCGGGTGTGCGTGAGAGGGAGCTCTCAAACTATAAGAATCTGTTCCAGGCACGCCAGCTCCAAGGGAAGTATCTCTCACCTGCGGCTAAGTCAAACTATCTTGTCCTTGATACCCAATTCGCGAAGTCCTTGCTTTTTGGTGCGCTGTTGCTCAAGACTTGGGCATAACCTACTAGTCCTTCGATACTCTTTCACCCATACCAGTCAGCAACCCAAACTACGCTTCCTTTCATTTGGAGCCTTTTTTGCAACAATGTCTTCTCCCACTTCTTCTCAAGGCACTGCTGGCGGTGCCCCGTCCAGTCCCCACCAAGACCGACTGATCAGTAAGAACCCACCCAGCAAATCGGCCACGACAAGCAACACGACTGACCGCGCACCCACCAGGCTTCTGCCGCCAGCAAGGCGTCCGATCGCCCAATTTCCAAATCGTCTCCGACCGCCGAGGTAAGCCTGCACAAACACGTTCTTCCAGAAATACCCTTACCTACCCATGCTTATACTTTCTTCTTGCACCAGGTGGACGTACAGCCTGGAGCTGCGTCGTCACCGTCCAAGGCACCCCGATCTCCGCACGATTTTGGTACGATGGCCAATATGTCAACAACGCGCGGGAAGACGCCGCCGAGAGAGCTCTGCAGATGCTCGGCGTCTTACCGGCTCCTCCAAGTCAGCCTCCCATCCATCTGCGTCAAGGTAGTCAGCAGTACTACGGCATGATCAACAGCTAAATTTTTTTTCTTTTGTTCTCGACATGAAGACCCTGCAACGACTTGATCCTCCTCGATGCTCATCGTTAACAAGACGAGACGAGTTCCGATTTTTTCTTTCTGGTTTGCTGCTGGGTTTCATCAGGTGCATGGGAGCTGCGGTTTGTGTAGGATATTTTCTTCTCCGGGAGAAATGGGAAATTCATGGGCAAGCTAGTAGAGTAGCATTGGCGTTTTTGGTTCCTGGGTCAGAAGGGAAAAGGTCGGATGGGGCAGCGCGTGGGAGGCCTGGTGGGTGAGCGCATTGCCAGGTGGCTGGAGAAACGGGACCGCATCTAGCATTGCAGCGGCATCGGCTTGGTCTGGATGGGGGTTTTGGTCTTTCGTTGATGGTGGAATCTTCCTCAGCAGTAGAGCATAGCGCAGGATATGAGATCTGGAAGCGCCCGATCATGCATTTTCCTTGCCGTTTCTGTCTCTCGCTCTTTCCGCATGTCGTTGATACACATCCAAACTCTGTCCTTCCCCTTGCTCCCTGTGCTCCGAGTCCTCGGCCAAGCTTCTGCCATGACTAATCACCATTTTCGCTGCCGAGCGCAAGTCCTCCGCCGATGCACGTTCACGTTACATTTCCATCTCATGCACAAAGATAAGGCCTTCGCTTAAGAGATAGAGCCCACTCGCGGATCGCCGTAATGCATCGCTTTTTGCTCCTCCACGAGATTGTCGACGAACCTCAAGAGCGCATAAAATGGTAAGATCAGGGCTGAATTAGCTGAACGCAGATCCACTCAGTAGGGCAAAGCATCGAACTTCCTTTGGTGGCGTTCTCTTTCACATTCAATTCTTCAAGATCGCTTGCGATATTCTCATTTCTGGACCTTCTCACATTACACAGACCAGAGAAGGTAGATCCTGCAGCGGTCCGGCCCTATCTCTCTGTGCTTTGCCACGAGATCTTGATGCAATAACATAAGCCAGCTGAAAGGCCATTTACAGGAAAATTCCAGGACAGCACGACAGATACGCAGCAAACAGAGCTGACATTGGAAGAAAATGTCTTCACAAGATTACGTGAAAGACGACCACCCAGACCAGATCATACCCAGCAAAACTCGGAGGCAGACATGGTCCGATCGAAGACGAGCACTCGTCAAGGCCTTCACCACACGAGAAGGCCTTATCGGCAACTACGACTATGCATTTCTCTTCACCCCGAATGTACCATTTATGAAGCGATCACGACGAGCAGCGCCTTTCTTCGGGCTCAATGATCACATGCCAGTCTTCCTCGCCCTACTTCTTGGACTTCAGCATGCTTTGGCCATGCTGGCAGGCATTATCGCTCCTCCTATCATTCTTTCTGGAGCAGCAAATTTTGAGCCAGAGGTCCAGAACTATCTTGTCAGCACAGCACTCATTGTTTGTGCAATATTATCATCGATACAAATTTCTAGATTCCACATATGGAGGACACCTTACTACCTCGGGACTGGTTTGATATCGGTGGTCGGAGTCTCCTTTTCAACAATCCCAGTCGCGACAGGAGCTCTGTCGCAAATGTACCAGACTGGTTATTGTCCTACTGCGGCAGACGGAACGCAGCTACCTTGTCCTCGTGGATATGGAGCGATTCTAGGCACGCAATGTATCTGCGCGCTTCTGGAAGTTGGTCTCTCATTCATGCCGCCGAAATGGTTGAAGAAGATCTTTCCACCACTGGTTACTGGTCCGACTGTGCTTCTCATCGGTGTTGCGCTTATCCGTACTGGAATGACCAACTGGGCAGGCGGTACAGGTGACTGCTCATCGCGACCTGAAAGTGGTCTTAACCAGCTGTGTCCAACGATCAACGCGCCACATCCTTTGCCATGGGGAAGTGCTGAGTTTATCGGGCTAGGCTTTCTGGTGTTCGTAACGATCATTTTGTGCGAGAGATTTGGAGCACCGATCATGAAGAGTTGCTCGGTCGTGCTCGGACTGCTGGTTGGTTGCATTGTCGCTGCGGCATGTGGCTACTTCGATCGATCTGGTGAGTTGGGTCTGCAGAGGTTTGGAGAGACACGACTAACATCTGATAGGCATCGATGCTGCTCCAGTCGCAAGCTTCATCTGGGTGCACACGTTCCCTCTCTCAGTCTACGGGCCTCTTGTGCTCCCACTGCTGGCAGTGTACATCGTGCTCACTATGGAGGCGATCGGAGACGTGACAGCAACGTGCGATGTATCGCGGCTCCAGGTCGACGGGCCCATGTTCGATAGCCGCATTCAAGGCGGTGTACTTGCCGATGGGATCAATGGTCTTCTTGCTGGGTGAGTGAGAAGATGCACGCGAATCCTCTACATTTACTGACTTTGGCTAGTCTGTGCACAATCACTCCCATGTCTGTGTTCGCACAGAACAACGGCGTGATAGCTCTCACACGATGCGCGAACAGAAAGGCCGGTTATGCTTGCTGCTTGTGGCTTCTCATCATGGGCATCTTTGCCAAATTCGCGGCAGCTCTCGTCTCGATCCCCAGCTCTGTTCTCGGCGGCATGACTACATTCCTGTTTTCTGCAGTGGCCGCAGCTGGTGTACGTATCATGTCAACAATGCCCTGGACGAGACGAAACCGCTTCATTTTGACAGCGGCATTCACTCTCGGCTTCGGTGCTACATTGGTGCCAGAATGGGTAAGTGACATCGGTGTTAGAAGTGCGAAGGGATGGTAGCTGATCGAGATACAGTTCTCCTACGTATTCACCTATTCCGGTGACAATCGAGCGCTGCTTGGCTTCTTCAATGCAATCTCGCTCGTCATGGAGACAGGCTTCGCCATTGCAGCTTTCGTGTCTTTGATTCTCAATTTGGCTTTGCCAGAAGAAGACGAGGATATGGAAACCCCTGAGCTCACAGCAAATACTGCTGACGAGCAGGACGATCGAGAAGAATGGGACAGGATACAAGGCGCAAAGACGGCGTCTGGGACGAAGGCATGAGGTTACTTTAGATCGACAGTCAACAAACACAAGGTCTGATAAACTTAAATTTCCCTCAAGATGACTTTGCTTTCATCGTTCGGTTTGAAGTGATCGTGGAGTGGTGGAAGTGCTCGGCTGACCACATCGGGCAAGCCGGCGTTCAAAGCTCTCCCCTCACTGTTCCTCCACAGCTTCCTTCTGACCATCCACATTGATCCGCCCCTCGTGCACGTATAAGTCTCAATGTGGAGCTGCTGGGCGTTCCAGACCGTAAGTGTTGCACATCACTCCTCGTCTCATTGAACTTCGCATGATACCTGCCTCATTGCACATCTTTTACGAAAAAGCCCCGAGCACCACATCCCAAGCACAGTACATAACGCAGCATCAACATGACAACAGAAACAGCGAAACAACCTCCTCCAGCAAAAGAAACCTTCCACTTCATAAACGATCCCGCAGAAGCCATCAACGATGCCCTCACCGGCCTCACCCACCTCAAACCCAACCTCTCCTACAACGCCGAATACAAAATCGTCTACCGCAACGACCTCTCCACCTTCAGCGAATCGCACGTAACAACAATAGGCTTCGCCGGCGGAGGCCACGAACCCATGTTCGGAGGCTTCGTAGGCCATAATTACCTCTCCGCCTACGTCTCAGGCAACATCTTCGCCTCACCAACCGCAGCTCAAATCTTCGAAGCGATTAAAATGTGTCAACCCGCAGATGGACAAAAGAGTAAAGGGACATTGATTGTATGCGGGAATTATACAGGTGATATTTTGAATGCTGGATTGGCGATTACGAGGGCGCAGGCGGCGGGGTATAAAGTGTATTTCAAGCCTGTGGGAGATGATGTGGCTGTGGGGAGGAAGAAGGGAGGGAAAGTGGGGAGAAGAGGGTTAAGTGGGCACTTGGTTGCTTTGAAGAGTGCTTGTGCGCTTGCGGAGAGGGGAGAATCGTTAGAGAGAGTTGCGGAGGTGATGGAGTATGTTGCGGATAATGTTGGGACGATTGGAGTGGCGTTTGATAGGTATGGAAAGGTCGTGATGAGTGGTTATGTTGAGAGAAGTTGCTGACGATTTTGTTACAGGGTCGCTCTGCCGAATGCTACGTTGACGGATCTTCAGACTCTGCCTCCGGCGACGATAGAGCTCGGAATGGGAGCTCATGGTGAGCCTGGGTTGCAGCAAATCTCTCCAATCCCTTCACCGGATGCACTGGTGTCGCAAATGCTTGATCTCCTGCTCGATGTTTCTGATAAAGATCGAGCATTTATTCCATTCTCGAGAGCAAAGAACCCCACCACAGACAATGAGGTAGTTTTGTTATTGAACAGTTTGGGTAGCACGTCGGACGAGGTATTAGCCAGGTTTGCAGAATTGGCAAAAGCGGAGCTGGAGAGCCGTGGCTTCGTAGTGCGAAGGCTGACATTGGGGCCTTTGGTCACAAGTCTGAAGATGAGCGGCTTTGGTATCACAATTTGGAGACTTCCTCCGACCACTGGTGAGACATTGGAACGCAAAGCGGCTGTGGAGCTTTGGGATTCTCCAGTTGATGTTGTAGCGTGGCGGCAGTAATAATGTACAGCGAAGCATCTATTCAACTCTGAACACTTCCTCGAGTGGTTGCCACCTGTCACATAAGTTAACATATATTTGAGAAGAAAGCCTCGAAGCCTGCTTACCATCCTTTGGGATCTGTGCTGCCTTTTGCACCTTCAACCAGTGTTTCTTGCATTCCGTCGGTCATTCGCCACCATTCCTGTACCTTCGGATTCGCTTTCATTTTCTCCATGTCTGCTTCATAGTGATTGCCGACGTACTTCATCGAAGCGAACAATGTCATCGTTCTTTCGTCGAGGAAGATTGAGTAGTCGATGATGTTGCAGTCCTTAATCTGCTTGAGGACTTCTGGCCAGACAGCGGCGTGACAGTCCTTGTAAGCTTGCAGAGACTCTCGCTTCAGACGGACAATCTGGGCAATGCGACGTGGTTCGGGTCCCATGATGAAGATGCCTGTTGGGGACAATATTGGTTTGTTGATTTAGTCTGATCTTCGAGCAGCATGCGACTTGAGTTTTGTTGCTCTGCTCGGTGTAACGCAGGCCGAGGCAATCTTGGTCCTGTGGAGACCTCAGTCTAGTTAGGCTTTGAAGTCTCACGGAATTGTTCTCAGGTACACGAACCAGCCGTGTGCTGCAAAGCTCGACATCATGCTCATGCAAGACCTTGCTTGTGTATGCGCAACGGAACTGTCATTTGTGCGTGACTGAAGTAGCTCCAGACTTCTTTGACTATTTCATCGTGACATGAACCAGAATAGAATTGCCGCTTTCGATCATGCAGCGTAGTCGGAGTACGATCCAAAGACCAGCGCTCTGCCAGTGCCATCAATTTGACGACCCTGGGCAGCTTCCAGATTCAATAGGAGTCTGCTCGTAGAAATGATGACCTCTGACATTCGCGTCAGCTCCTCTGTGGTTTGCTCACACGCTCCCAATCACTTACCTTCAAGCTCAACAACATAGCTAACAGGAATTTCGTAACTACTACTTGCAAAAAGTGGTTGGTCACGTCGCCACTTCTGCTCCTTCACACGGAACTTGATACCAGATTCGTAGGCACCAGTATTCAGCCAGAGAATACTGGAATCCTTGTGAGGATCCGAGATATAGCTGATGCTTTCAGATCGGGCTTTGCGATTGCCAGCGTCATCTTCATGAATGATTGCGATCTGTTCGCCGTCTGTCCACTGCTTGCTTTCGCATTGTTTCGACAACCATTCTCTCCAAACTCGGATTGTACCCCTACACACTTCGACGATGTTGCACATGATACCCAGTGTGCCTTCACGTCTACCCAGAAAGGCAAATGTCTCCAGTTGGGAGAAGAGGCAATCCGCATCGATTCCTATGGTTCTGGTCACAGCATTTCCAGCGTCTCTGAGCTTCGCAGCAGCAGCTTCGGCGGGCACATATGTTCGACTACCGGGAATATCACCAGCCGGATGAGGACGGGGAATGCTCAACCAGTCTGGCTCCTTGGTCACAGGTCTGAATCGACTTCGTAGTCGGCCCATACGTCCAATAATGCCCACCTGCTTGTTGCCTTGTTCGATATCATTGCTCAAATCTTGCATATCACCAGTTCCTAAAGCAGTGCAGAGCACCTTTTGCAAAGTCCATTTGGCTGCTGGCGGGCCACACTCGAGATACAGGGTGTAGCCATCGAGAGACGCGGCGGTCTGCAGTCTTCGATGAAGTAGGCGCACAACGAGAGAGTGGAAATGACGATTCGTGGTAGAGAAGTGAATCAGCTCTTTCGAGGGAAAGCCGCTCAGTATGTTCAGGAGAATCTGTGTCGTGATCAGCCTCTGTTGCAGAGTTGCTGGAGTGGTATTGGCATTGGATTGTCTTACTTCATTGGGTAGGGCAAAGATGCCGCACGGGCGTTGCTCTATATTCGCCATGTCTACAAAAGTACAACTGTTGCAGTGAGGAGAGATGCTTGAATCATCCAGACTGATGCCACAACTAATCTCCAGACCGCGTTACAGATGCTCATCGGCTCAAAGGATGACGATCACACCTGCCTCGTGACCGCGTGTCACTATCGCGTACCCCGCTGTCTGTGCGCCGAGACGCCACTTCCCCAGTCGACATCACTGCACTCTGACTTCGACTTTGACCTCCTTCGTCAAAAGCATCGCACTTCCGCTCATGAACACGCCTCAGCCGATAACGATGGGAGGTGTGCAGCAATTCGTGCTTCGCCAAAATGGCATGGCCCAGTACGATGGCGCTGACGACGGGAAGCCGCCAAAACGCAAACCAAGCAAAGGCAGGTCCGCGGACGATGCCAAAATGAAAGTCTCAAAAGACGACCTCGCACAAGTCAACAACAAGGTAGAAGCCAACAGCCAGAGGGCGCGGGACAGCGTTCAAGGCTCGAAACGAAACACTCGATCGCAGTCAAAGAACAACAACGGGCGGGACATTTACGATACTGACGCCAGCATTGCCGATCACACATCCGCGACAGGCAGCACTCAGCTAGCGAAGACCAGTCAGCCTCGCCAGCAGCATGTATCCACCACGACGCAGATGCAAGGCCGTGACGACAATGAGGCAATCGGTTCTGGGTTTGGCGAGGAAGACATTCCTGCAGGTGCTACACGTCAAGCTCCAAACAGTGGCAATCCAAACGCACTTGTACAGAAAACTGTGCCAGGGGATTCGTACCCATCCACAAGTCAGCCATCTGAAGTCCACCCGAACGATAACCGCGCGATGCAGCAAGCATACCATGCGCACTCTCATCACGCGCAGCCTGTCCCGGTGGGAAGAGGCGTCGCAAGGGGTCAAGTAGGCATGACTGCACCCAGAGCACATGTGCCGCAGGCAACGATGCCCTCGCAGCCTGTTCTGGTAGATCCAAACCTCACCGGCGAAGGCGGCGGCTTTGCATGGGGCAAGCCGTCCAACACCCAACCACACACGGGCTACAATTTTCCTCCAGTACATCGCCCTCCACAGACACAAGCAGGCCCTCAGCCGCACATGATGCCACCTAACCCACAGATACAAGGACCTCTGCAGCCACAAATGATGCTTCCCAATCCACAGATGCAGCACCATCCTACACGCTATCAATCTCCAGTCAATCGACCAGAGCGAGAAACAAATTCCTCGGCTAGACATGTGACTGGCGAGAAGCAGACCCACGCCCGCCCGCCAGCCAAGCGCAACCCTTCTCAAGAACCGACGCAGCAACTGAGTGAGACCGGTCACGAATCAGACATCTCAAACGATGCTCCGGACTTCGCGCAATTACCAGAGCTCAAGCGACGTCCTCTGCACAACTCGGCAAAGACTGAATATGAGCAGCCGCCTCCATCTGATCCGCCTGCGGAAAGTGACCCCCAACTCCCGGAGTCAGCGTATCACGACCAGATGGCTGGACGTCACTATAGTGATACGGCCGAGCGGGGTGTCGTCGAGCATTACTCTGGAGATGCACCGCCTGACGATGAGCCTCCGCTTGAAGACGAGCCAGAATTTGATTATGATCCGGGAGAATTACTCAAGATGAGCTACGCGCAGCTCAAGTCCCAGCCTTTTGACCTTGATCCGCGTGCAAAGAAGCCCGATCTATCGCATGACGATCCGACGCCCTCTTTGCACGAGAAGCTCGCCACTGCCATAGAATTCGACCCGGAAGGTCAAGAAACCTTCTTCAAGAGTCTCGACATAGACGAATGGGAAGAAGCTGGAGAGTGGTTCCTTGAACGCTTCAGCGACATCCTTGGGGCGATCAAAGCATCCCGTAGACAGAAGCGCAAGCTTGCCCTCGAATTCGAGGGCAAGATCGATCAGCGGCATGAGAGTGTGACCAAGAAACAGAAGCTTACTCAGGCTGCATTGAACGAGATGAAGGAGAGCGGCGGAAAGGTCCTACAAGGCACGCCGAGGAAGTCGAGAAAGTCGAAGAAGTGATGAAGACCATCGTCACTTGAACGCACGATGGGAAGATCCAAAGGGATGTAATACTGGCATCCTGTGCTGCAATGCGATAATGGCTCAATGCCTTGACGACGAAAAAGAATGATGTATGAATATGCAACATGACTGCATTTGCTGGCGCGTTATACCCACTTGGTGCACGAAAGAATCTTTTATAGCACATGTATATTATGAAAATATCAAAAATAAGTCCAACCCACAACATAGTCCACGAGAAACCACTGCATGTTCGGCTAGTATTGCGTAAGGTCGGAAACTTCAGGTACGTACCTCTCATCAATCGCAGACACAAACCCACAAGGCGCACCCAGAAAAGCCAGTTTCAAGCTTATCGCAAACGCACCTCCCTCCGCGTATGCAAGCTTTTCATGCACTCCACGGCTCGTGGCAGCAGCCACAATCGCGAGATCCTTCTTGCTGACTGGAGGTGGTGTGGTGGGAAGCACGACATGTACCTACCACCACCAGCCACTGCTGAGCAAAAATAAGAAATACGTGTTTCTCATCAATGACCCCACGTTATCTTGCATGGCTCCCGCTCTCCTCCATACGCTTGTTTTTGGAGGAATGTCAGGCTTGTCAGCCAACACATGCAGCCTTGCAGCCACTTCGTGTACGGAGGACGTCGGGCCTTGCGATTTGTGGTGGTGTGCGCATTGGCATGATGGATGCGTGCAGCTTATCGCGATCAACAGCGGGAAGGCAGCAGGATTTTTGTTCATTTCTTGCTGATGAGCACATGTCCAATGGTTTCTGATTTTGATGGTGTGCAGCGCAGGCGAAGACCTCGTTTGCTTATCGTGGACGTCAAGACAAGACAAGACGACATACAGCCTGAATATCTAACGGCCGAAGACATTCGCGATCTGATAAACAACAGAGCTCGTCATGATGTGAGATCGCGCAAGCAAGCGCGGAATCCACGGGCCAAGTCGGTGTGGACTTCTGTCTGCTAGAGCGAAAATAATGCACGCTGCGCATCTACTGCAAGCGACTGGTCGAATCGCTCAAGCGTGACTCAGGTCCTCGCTCACCTTGCCCAACAACAGAAGACAAGAAAAGCTGTTGAGAATGTTGGCGTCCACTTTGGCAGCGGGCATAGTCCGGTGAAAAGCATTGGTTGAGAGAAGAAGTGTCGCTATGTTGTGATGAAATAGGTTCTCCGCCAGGGTTTACTGGTGGGCGGGCGGGCAATAGAGCGGGTTAAGTTAGTCTAGCTGACGTCGGAAACTATTAACACACACTTCCCTTTGTAACAGTTTCAGGCAAGTCATGATCTGCTGACTGAAGAGCCGGCGCGACTGGTCAATTGCGGGGAGCGAAGCGTTGCGTACGCAAGAAGAAGATGCAACGCTTGTGTCCACAATGTCTTGGATCGCTACTACTGAAGCCCACCACAACGTCGTCACTACGCACCTGAATGGCGTCCGATAGAATGATACGAGAATCTAGCGATAAAGCCAAGCTTGGGGTGTGTGGGTTGCATACCACTTACCAATCTCGAACAGGAAACCCGAAGGCTGGAAGCGGCCGATGGTGTCATTTTTTTTTTCTAGAAGCACAAGGTTTGTGGAGATCTCTGGAGAACAGCGGCAGCGCTGGAGCGGGAATGCTCTCCGCATGAAGATCTCCTGCATGTGGCACTTTCGCGGCTCTGCTGCTGCTGGCTACCTCCGCTATCACATCACTCCGTCGGTGAAACCCCACTCTTTGAGAATTGAGATGACAGCGGAGGCATGTATTCCGCATGGAAACCCTTCTAGCTGATCAAACGTGTAAGCTTACGTTGATGATGCGGTAGAAGACATCTGGAACGTAGTATTTGCGTGGGCACTACTGGAGCAAAGGAGGGACTGGTTAGATGCGGCGTAAATTGCTTGATCTGAATCTGGAGAACGTTCAAGCCACAGATAACCAATTTGTTTGATTTCGCCGATAAGGAGCTTTTCTTCTCCACATTCCCCCTTGCGTGTCTAATTTCCGCCGCAATGATGTTTTACCTCTCCTTGTCTCCGGCCGTCGTCTCGTGTCATGGATGATAGGTGGTTCTGGCTAGACACGATGGCCGGCAAAGGGCGGAGAAACAGGGGTGGTAGAATATCCACAATGAGGGCATCCGCATCGCATCTGGCCCATGGCGGGGGATCGGAGGAAGGCGTAATAGTGAGTCAAGAGTATTGGAGAATCGCACACCGAATTAATTCTTCGAAGGTAGAGTAGAGCAAGTACTCGAATAGCCAGTCTCTGCAGATGGCTGCTGGTATCATGACAAAGACCATTCCGCGCCCAATTTGAAGCACCAGGTTTGACTCCCAGCATGTCTTGCGACTGCAACTTCTTGTCTTCGCCTCATTCGCCAAGCCCAATCTATTTCGCTCAAACTCCTCGCCATAAGCAAACAAAAAGTAGACAATTCTCTATCAAAGGCCGTTCAAGCGTCGCGTCTATCCGTTTCTCTATCAATTTGCTCGTGCTGTCGGACCACAAGTTCGCATAGTAAATATCAAATCGATCTCGCCACAAGAATTGTGTAGTATGCGTAAAAGCACGCATCAGTGAAGTACCGAAGACCGGTAAATGGATCGAGTTGTCCGTCGAAGAGGGGTTCATCGTGTTCACATTCTCTCTGCCAAATCGTTGCCAGCCTCGCTTTGCCGAGCACTCGAACGACCGCTGTTCAAGCCACTGGGCGTGGTCGAGATGTCTTTGATGTCCTTCACTTGGTACGTCTGGTCTTTAGCCGCGACCATAGGCACGGGTAGTTTTCGCTGGGCACCATCGCCAGCTTCCATGATTTCTGAAATTCTCAGCCCGCTATGTTGTGCAGGCACATAGGGCTGGTGACCATCAGCAGCGGGCTCGACAGGTGCGAGTGCTGGAGGAGGCTGGTGCGCCAGGGATAGGTGGTGCAAAGTGGGCAGCTGCACACCATTGTGGAAGAATTGGGGCCGTAAGCGAGGTGAGTGTGACGGCGTCGCAAGTGGGGTGTGGTCAGGCGTGGGAGATGCAGACGCATGTGAGAAAGAAGGCGATGGTGGTGCCGTCGATTGTGGAGACCCTGGACGCGACTTCTTGTGCGGCCGGTGGTCGTCTTCGTCGTGCGAGTGTGATCTTGACATCGGCTGCGAGGTAGGATTCGAGGAGTAGTGGTATGACGAGAGCGATGGCATCCGACCGGTGTTGTAAGGGTGGTGGTACGGAGTGTGACGTGTGGGAAGAGAAAGGTGTGGATTTGGCAGGTGCAAGTTGTTCTCGCGCTCCACCTGTGATGCAGCAGTCGCCAGAAGATTGATACCAGGGCCATGTGATCTCCCGCCTTGCGCTGGACTGAGGTCTCCGCTTGTGTTGCGAGTGAGATACGAGCCAGGAGTGCTGGTGTACGTGGAGGCGTACGAGTGTGGTGGCGAGACATTCGGAGAGCTCAACTGTGAAGTTGGAGCAGACTGGGTCGTTTTTTGCATTGGTGCAGACATGATGGCACTAATCGAAGTCGGCGCGGGTGCCGAGGGCGGCTGCTGTTGTTGCGATGGTGATTGCTGCTGGGGCTGTGGAGGCTGAGGCTGCGCAGGCTGGTGTTGCACAGGAGGCTGCATTGGCGGTGTTTGCATCTGGTTGTGCATTGGATTTTGCATGTAATTTGGCGTGCTGAATTGAGGCGGCTGTGGGTGGTGCATCTGGCCCAGCTGGTTCATCTGGTTCATGTGGTTGATCTGCTGCATCTGGTTCATCTGATTGATCTGCTGCAGATGATTGAGCTGATTGAGCTGCTGGAGGGCCGCGTTGTCGTACATGCCGGCCTGCATGGCGGCGGCCGCTGCCGTCGCCGCTGCGACATGTTGCTTGTTGCCGCGTCGCGAGTTGGGGTTGTTGTGAATGCGCGAGTGCCTCGTCAGCTCGTCCGACCTGCTGAAGCGTTTCGTGCAGCCTGGAAATTGGCAGGCGTGTGGCTTCTCGCCCGTGTGGGTGCGAATGTGTCGCGTCTGGTGCTCGAGTCGGTGGAAGGCCTTGTCGCACAACGGANNNNCGGGCTGGCGGGATTGGGGGCGGCGGTGGTGGTTGCGGGCGCAGAGGAAGCCGTCGGCGGCGAGTGCGTCGCAGTGCTTGGAGTCGATGTGCCGGAGGTGGAGGGTTGGTGAAGCTGAGATTGCTCCGGGTTCAGCAGCGAGCTAAGCATGTGAAGGAGGAAGGAGCCTCGCTCGGCTGGCGAGGGGGACGTTAAATTCTTCCGTGGGTGCAGAGATGATGTGGTGCAACGCGGGATGGCCGATCGCTGCGGAGGTGACGTTTGGCGAGGCCGGGGTGCGCAGGAGGCAGCAGGCAGACTGGACGTGGTCGTCTGGCAGCGCTGGGAATGGAGTTGGGACGGAGAGGCGAAGCAGAAAAGCGTGGCCCGAGGAGGCCAGCGGCGCCAGAAGGTTTTGGCAATGAGGGAGCGAGCCTGTGGGGGCGTGTTGCGTGCAGGCTGGCAGGTGCAGGCAGGCTCAAGGGAGAAGACCGGGCGTGCGAATCGTCGTCTCGGGCGCGTCGGACGGACGATAGGCAAGAAAAAAGCCACCGCACGCACACACGCGCTGCAGGTCCGCCTTGTGGATTTCCAGTGGATGGATCACGACCAGGTGCGCGCTCCGCCCATGGAGCCCCGGATCGCGCTGCCACGCTTTCCCTCGTAGCCGGCCCCCGTACAGCGTCGCGGCGTCTGCTCGTAATAAGCTGCGACAGCGGCCAGCCGTACGCTGACTCTGCCAGACCAGGGCGGATCGCAGACACGTCGTGGCAGCGCTGTTGTCGCTGCCCCTCTCTCACAATTCTCCCTGCTGGCCCCAAGCGTCGTAGGGCTGATGGTCACGCCGAGAGGCACCGAATGCGGTGGGTCCCGATGGCGCCAGTGATGTTCTTTTTGCAAAACCGGAGGGAAGAAAGAGTTGCAAAGATGGCGCCTTTCCGGCCTCAATGAGAATTTTTGCTCCTGCTCGGCATTCGCCCTGCTGAGACGAGTCGCGCCTGGCGAGAACCTGAGATGGAAATTACATGTGTTGCTGACGAAGCTGTCACAGACACGACACCGGGGCCCCAGGTCGGATGGCCTCTGCGAGGTGTGCACACCTTTGTGGCCAACCTTGAAAGGATTCAGACAAAGCGAATCTCAGCCTGTGAATCACCCACGACAGCAAGTTTTCAAGACGCTGGTGTACCGTAAGCAGGCAACGCCTAGCCGTTGTGGTAGGGGCACGTAGGCATGTGCGTGTGCCTGACACCGCATACGAGCTCATACCGGGAATGACTCCTACAGCCTCGCACAGATGGTGACCAGGGGTGTTCTAGGATTCAAACAGACAACTGCAACAATGTCCTCGGGCCAGATTCAATTTGCCTTCCAGCAACGATCAGGACCATCGACAAGGGCAACTTCGACGCTATCTGCATGGCCGTCTCAGCGAAGCCGCCGCCCAAGGAACGTTCCTGCGCAAGCTGCACGAGAGGAAATCAGGTTCTCGTGCCCCCAAAGTGGCAATGGCTTGCATTGTTGTCGCCTGATCAAGACATGTTGATCGCGGCATTGGCAATATGGAGACCCAGTGCAATGGAACCATCTGGAGATCCCGATGCCCCGTCCTGAGTTTCATGTTACTCCACAAACTCTTGATCCCACGGCACCATTGTGTTCTCTTTGTCGTGTGATATAACGTGCAGACCTTGTTGAGACTCTGCTGATAGGGCTCGTCTGGTCCGTGTGACGGGACAAACGACGAAAAGGCACAATCTTGTGCAATCAGGCGCCCCAATAGAAGTGTCATGCGGTCGAAGCGAGCTATGGTCCGGCTCCAACAAGCCCCTTCGTTAAGCACCCCACGGGCATTTTGGTTCACATTTCACCAAGGCAGCCCATGCGCCTACAGGCTAAATGTGCTGCGGAGGAATCAGCGCCGTTCACAAGCATTCTTTGCCTATAGCTGAAGCAAGGCCACGCACTCGTGTTCTACTGATACGTGACCGCTTCCACATGCCGCAGACTGCAGTGTGGGGAAGAGTTGCAGAGCTACAGAGCAGATCCTTGGGTCACTCAGGGCTGCCGCTGCGGCTTTCCGATGTCTCCTTATGTTCGTGCCATATCTGGGCCCTTCCGCAAACAACCCACTGCCCCATCACGCCATTGTTCAATTGCAATCACATCACATCCACATCTCATCTAAGGAGCAGTGAACGTGCATCGACGACTGCCGAGGTGACGAAGGTGCACTGCCGATTGGATTCGGTTGTGGATTTCACGCTGATGACGGTGGTTCTTCCGCGCAGCAGTTGCGGGTACGAACATTCCGAACTTTCCCGTTTCAACATTTCTTCAAAACTCCACTGTGGAGTCTTCACTTCACTCCATGAATTTTTGCGTCCGCTGACAGAGCGCGACCCTTGGCCGACCTTGACCGAGGAAACGTGCGCGTCACGACGTTCAATTTCGGAAGTCGCAGAACACGCAGCAGCGCTTTGTCAGTTCTCCTTCTTACACCGCCCGACGCAGTGTGGTTGAGGACATCCCGCAATGAGCCACCCGCATTGTGCTGCGGCTCAGCATCCCATTGGACTGCATGCCACAGGTGCTGAGGTGCTCATCACATGCAAAAGTTCAGGGCACAGGCACAACCACAGAGCAGGCCACGTGTTGTGGAGGAGCTGATGGGAGGTCCCGATCTTGGGAACTGAACAAAGCCACGAATCCTTGATAAGAAGTCTTGGAAGATTCCTCCATGATCCACTGTGGGCTTGTGGTTCACTTCTCCAAGCACGCGATTCCACACTCACGACGTCAGCTGGACCTCATTTTCACAGGACGACCACCATGCCACATCCCTTGATCATCGCCGAGGGTAGCTCCTTCGCCCATGCGCTATTGGCTTCTGATACTGAAAACTGCTCATGAATGCCCACTGATAGGTTCGCGGTCCATTTATGTTGAGACGCAACACATGAAAAGAACAATGGAAAAGGTTTTGTTGGGATCGCAGCAACCCTCGAGCAGCTTTCCTCGCATACGTCTGCGATTTGAACAGCATTCAGCTGTATCTGCGACACCGTATCATGCTGGGCGGGAAGATGCGACGGTCTAGGCGGTCCGTATCATCATCTCGAATTCGCAATCTTAGCGACCTGTTCGTCGCGTGCTAGATTGCGGAGTGCAGCGTTAGTAAGCAACCACAAGCCATCGGCTCCACGATTCAGCCAAAACACAAAGTGGCACTACACTGCGACAAGCAGTATCGGATCAATCTACGGGGCCAATCAGGCACCGTGCTATCGATTCAAGGCGTGAAGGCTATGGCCCTGAGGCGAGAAAAAGGACCGATCGTGGAATGCAGCCAAGCCATACGTCCTGTTGCACTTACTACATATACCGAATCGTGGAGGGCTTCGGCGAAATCAAAATAAGGTAGGCAGTTCGGCGCATCTCCACAAAGCGCATCAGAAATGAATTTGCGCTTGCGTTGCCAAACATAGCTTTGAAAAGTGGCGGTGACAAGGGCTTGGAGATGAAGACGGGTTGAGACGAGCAGACTAGAAAATTCGCCTTGAACCACGACTCAACTCCAGTCCCACCACGGCATTATACCTGTTCGTGGCTGTTGGACTTCCATAGCGCCCCAACTCCGCAAAAACTCCGCCGAGATGAGCAGACCTGGTTGATCAATTGCCAGCCAAGCGAAAGCTATTATGAAGACGGAAGAATTCTGCATGCCATTCTCATGCATGGACCGAATTCTTTGGCAAGGCGCAACGCACGTATCGACTATTTCCCGTCGCTCCATTACATCGCGAGCCTTCACAATCTCACAGATATACGTAGCAAAACGGCCCGTCCACGGTGGACAATAAATCTCGAATGGGGCAAGCAGGGCCCGCAGCATACCGAAAGTCGATCATGTCGTCAAGTGTGGCATTTGCACTAGGCGGCATGTCCCAAAATGTTCTTGTCCCAGAGATCGCTCCATCACTGAACTGCCGTTGGAAGGGGTTCTCGATATGCTGCCAGATCCACCTGACAGAGGTCAGCATATCCAGTTCCGCCCGTGACTTCAGACTGCACGGGAAGACCGCCATTCAAGAGGACACTTACCAGACTCGATCAATCATAGCGTGGTGCAAGTAGAAGATGGGGTCGCCAGGACTCACAAACACATCGTTGGCCGGATCGCCACTAATACCAGGTCAGGTACTTTCCATGAGTATATTAGAGAGGTGCCTTACCCTATCGAATAGTGCCCACCACCATGAACACCAATCTGCGAGAAGCGTAAACTGTATTATTTCGCAATGTATGGCAGAGTAGGCAACTTACCTCACCCGACCCAGGCACGCCTTGCATCGTCATCTGGAAGTCATGAACATTCTTCGAATTCGAAATCAACGACACGATGGAGCTCGCATTCGCCCATCTTCTGTTAACCGCATCGGTGAGATCCCGTCTCAGACATCTCGGATTCCAATCCAAAGGGTTCCCACTCGGAGGACCTTCAGAAACACCACCGGGCGAGTCCAAAGCCACAGGCCCAAGGTTCACAGTCATATTCTTGAACGGGCCACTTTCGATGCAACCGCCTCCCGAACCCGTTGGAAGATAAATTGGCGGCAAGTCCAATCCGGCTCCTAATACAATATCTGATCGAATACCTAAATATACTCCATTGCCCCCCATGGAAGTATCCGAGCCATCGAAAATAGGACTAGAAAGGAGACCTGTTTCTGCTGTCACAGACCAATCCCAGTATGGTTGGTACCCCTTGTAGCCGCATTCTTCGCGGAGAGCTTTCTCGTACAGCCAGATGTAATATCGATGCCAGGAGAGAAAATTCCCGGTAAAGTGGACTGTTTGCGTCTGGTTGAGATGTGTTACTACAAAGTCGTCGAATCGACTCTTTGCGCCGGGCGCAAGTGTTGATGGTGTTCGTGTTGGTTTGATTTGGAGGCATTGGACTGCGCGGATGTAGTCTTTGCGCTGAGATTTTGATAGAGAGCCCCTTGGAATTGATTAGCGATGGTCGGGGGAATTGGTGTGATAGATGGAAGCGCTCCCTGTCGACTTACCACTCTTGCCGGATGCTAAGACTTGCCAGCGTACAAGTCCTACGACCAGTGTGTCCACTCGAGGATCGTGATACAGTCCGATGTGCGTTCTCAAAAGCTTCGGCTGCGAGCTCCGAAAGCACGTCAACATCATCGGAGGCTGAGGTTGGCTTCAAAAGGCCCACGCATAGTAAATTAAGCCATGAGAGCCGCATATCTGGACTGTTCCAGCAATCGGGGCTCTTCGAATCCTTGTCCAAGTCGACGAGGAGATTGCCTAGATATCAATATCGTGTACCCGCTCACGGTGAAGGGAGAACAAAGATATAGCTATTTCCAATGCATCAACAAGCCTTGCCAATACAAGACACCGCGTCACCGAGCCTTTGTACAGCATGCAAGGTAACCAATTCAAGCCAACGCGGAAGTCGCTTCGTTGGATGCTGGGCTTACTGAAGATCTGCAATATACAGAAAGGATAGATGTGGATATCTGACGAGAGGAGTTTCATGCGCCCAGACATCCGCAACTCCATGGACCAATGGATTAGTTCGCTGCGAGCGGAGAAATGAGAACATATGCTGGAAATCGTGTTTGGTCGAGGGTCTCCATTCTAGCCAAGCACGACGGAAAAATCGTAACATGGAGATGCTTGCTGCGTGTCAATACGTGGCGAATATGCGATGTACCACGTCAAGATGGCTTGCAGTGGCGTTCCTGTATAGACAAAAAGATGCATCCCTGTATGAGGTCTTGCAGAGGTGGTCGTCTGAGATACCGCGTGTTGTCAGCGGATCGTTGTTCAGCAGAAGTCGAAGTAAATATACCCGAAACCACTTGATCGATCTTGGTTCAGAGCAAGAGACAGAGGAATGAATAGCTTGAGAATGCAGCAGTGCAGCAGTGCTTCATCTTAGCCTTGTCGTAAGCACTTGCGAACGCCTATTAGACCTTAAGACATCGCGAACATGATATCAGTATCGGCAAATGGTGAACGGAGCGGTTTTGCTTGTATCTTACAAACACTAGTGGCGGATACCAGTCGCTCGGTTCTCTGCAACCTCACAAATTCCTGAGCACAGAGGCGAGACGTTGGCTTGACCGCCATGATCTCGTATTCCTCCCAAAACCTACGAAATCGCCACACTCCTCCCTCTACTCGCAAACGCCAAAGCCAGCCATCCTCCAATCAGACAAACTCCTCCAATCGGCGTCACAGGCCCCAAAAACTTCAATTCTTTGTTGAGAACCAACGCGTATATCGATCCCGAGAATCCAATAATTCCCGCAGTGAAGAGTCCTTTCGCCCAGACATTCTTTGGAGCGGCTTGTTCTGCTACGAGGATTGCGACCGAGTGGATGAGCTATGGAGAGAAACACATCAGCAAGTACACATGCAAGGTGAAGAAAGAATGAATCCATCGAGACATGGGGCTGGGAAAAGGGACGATATGATACCTGATAATGCGCCGCCGTTTGCCAACTGGCGATCTTCTCCGGGGCAATGCCGCGACCCTTCAAGCCGTGTGCGCCAAAGGCGCCAAAAGCGACAGAGCTGGCGCCGGAGAGCGCACCGAAGATCCACCAAGGAGTAGCCATTGATGCAGACGCGATAGAGGTTGGGATTGTGATGTAGAGATTGATGAAAGGCGCAGGGTGGAAGTGAAGTGTACGAAGCCAAGAAGTTGGTCGACTCGGGGCGAGGCTGTCTCCGAATTACCGTATGGAGGCAAGAACATGAGAACATTTGAGGAACAATCAGTACGCAGTTATGTACAAGTCGTATTGATGTGATGATGGTGTTCTACATATACTCATGACACTATTCATGTCATAACAGCCCAAGAAGTGCAAGTATCTGACTTTTCTTGCCTCATGTCACAGCAGAAACCGCCCACGCTCGCTGAAAGTCGCAAAGAAGCATTTCTACCCCCACATCATGCACGTATCAATAATGCACATGCCTACCAGCTTAGAACTCCCAGTCTTCGTCGACGGACTTGATAGCCCAGTCGAACTTCTCGCGCAAAGTCTTGGAGAAAAAGCGCTCGATCGGCACGTCGAACTTCTTGCTGAAGACGACAGTGAGACGAGGGTCGATGTAGTTCTGTCAAACGTTAGCAGCTGCCATATCATCAGCGTCGGGTCGCGACTCACGATTTTCGAGGTACCCAGCGCAACCTCCTTGTTGTTGTCGCGATCCTCTGCCTGGGTCTGCAGAGTGGCGATGCGAGTGTCGAGCTTCTCCACGTCTTTCTCGTACTTCTCGATAGAAGCACTCTTGCCCTCTGCCTCAACCTTGCCGGTCTTGAGCTCCTTCTTAAGCTTCTTCTCAAGCTCGCGGACAACCTCGAGACGTTCTTCAAGCTCCTTTGGCTTCATTTCCTTCTCGCCCTCAGCTGCCAGCTTCTCATTCTCCTTTTCAAACTTCTTTGTGATCTTGGTTCGCTGCTCCTCGACCAGAGCTTGGTGGTGCTTCTCTTGCCAAGCCTCGTCAAGACCTTCCGGCAAAGCGAAGAAGTCCTCGCCCTTCTTCTTCTTGAGCTTGGGATCCAGATCCAGCATCATTCGCTTGACGCGAGTCTGCTGGTATTTCAGCCCGTTGATCTTTTCTTCCATCTTCTCCATCTGCTGCTCGTGGCTAGCTGCCACCGTACGTTTGTGGTTACAGAGGATAGCCACACGGCGGTTGGCAGCGTTGTAGGCGGCAACTTTTTCAGCGATATTACCCTCTGCCTTCATCTCCTTGAGCAGTGTGGCCATGGTGAATGAAGCATTGTAGGTACGGAAGACCTTTGCTGTCAAACCAGGCATGTAGTTCGACAAGTGCTTGTTCAGACTCGAAGTTGTGAGCCGATCGAAAATTTCGTCTCCATCGCGCTTCGGGCTTCTCTTGAAGATCTTCAGGTTCTTGAACACCTGTTGATCGACCTCGACCTCATCGTAGAAGCGAATGGAGTCCTTACCGAGGAAGTCGAAAATGACCTTGTTGGGAGGTGCCAGAGTGACGTTCTCGAACTTGAGCGAACAGCAACCGACAGTGTCGGCCTCGTCATCACCCTTTTCGTTGCCGGCACGAAGTGCAAAGCGATCGATGAGATACATTGCCGTTGCACGCTGTCTGTGTGCCATCACCTCTGACTTCAGCTCTTTCTCGTAGTCTTTTCGAATGTGGTCGATATGTTTCTTCAGCTCACGAGCCTTTTCGAATTTCTTGTAGTCACTCTGGCCCTTGATGTCGGAGTTCGCTGCCAACATAACATATTTGTAGGCGCCGTTGATGTTCTCTTGCCACATCGCTAGCCATGTGCCCTCTTGATCGTGCTTGATCTCCTTCCACTTGTGACCCTCAGGCGGCTTAGGCACCGTAGCCTCTTTGCCAATGTTGATGGTAATCTGTTCTGGTGTCACACGCTTCTTCCACTTGCCAGTCTTCGGGTGCTCCCCACGTCCTCTGAACAGTCCTGGAGGTTCGACGCGGAAGTTGCCTACTTTCTGCTTGCGGCCATCCCACTTGCAGTACATGTATGGCGCCTCCAACGCATCCTTCTCAGCCTTCAGCTGCTTCTTCTCAGCCGTAGACAGAGCCTTCTTCGCCTGACGTTCCGCGTCGACGTGGTTGAAGATAGGCTTGAAGTCGCACTTCTCAAACTTGAGGATCTTAACCTGCTTGCCGTCCTTGTCTTTGCCATGTCCGGTCTTATCGAGCATTTCCTTGAAATCGGCGAAAAAGTTCTTTTGAAAGGTCGGATTCTCCACGTTGTGGGTCGAGTTGAGCATGCTGCCGAAAGCGTGCGCGATTTCCTCGGCGTCCTTGTGCAGCGTGACAGGCACGCCATCGTAGAGCATCTTGACATTTGAAGGCAGTGGCTGATACTCGGGCGGGAACACGACACCGTTGTGCTCGAGAGTTGTCCACTTGGTTGTGCCATCGCCCTTTGACGGGTCTTCCCACCAGCGGTACTCTTCCTCTTCTTCCTCCTCGCCATCGGCTGCCGGAGTCTCTTCTTTTGATTTCGCCTTGCTCTTCTTTGCGGGCGCAGCCTCCTTCTTCACGGCCGCCTTCTTAGCAGGCGCTTTCTTCTTCAGTGGCTTGTCGTCGTCAGAAGACTCCTCTTTCTTGACCTTGGATCCATTCGTCTTCTTAGCCGGTGCCCTCTTCTTCGCCAGCGGCTTGTCGTCCTCGTCATCGCTGCTCAACTCCTTCTTGACGCGCTTCTTCTCTGCAGCCTCCTTGCTTCGGATGGCCTTTGCCTCTTTCTCAGCCTTCTTTTCGATGGCGATCTTTTCCTTTTGCAGCTTCTTTGCGATCGGCTCGTCACCACTGTCTTCGCCAATTTGTGCTGCAGTTGCCGACACAGGCTTGACCACTTTCTTAACGAGTGGCACGTCATCCTCATCAGACTCTGATGCGGCCACGGTCTTGCGCTTCTTCAAAGGCACGTCGTCTTCATCGGAGTCGCTATCATCCTTGTAGCTCTTGCCGTTCGCGAGTGAGGATTTGCGCTTGGTGCCATTGGAGGTACCATTCGTTGCGGGTCTGTCAATGTCCATCTCGTCGACGGGGCCATTGGCGATACTGACGCCCGGCTGGACGGTATTCGACGAGGTGTCCATGTCGTTCTGGGTGACAGTGGTCTTTGACTTAGCTGAAGAGAGGTGTCAGTCGAGTCCGCAGAGATGTTGGTTGTTAAAGAATTCAGAACAAGGTGATTGAAGAAGGATAAGTCACGGCTGGTGGAGACAAATGCGCCAACGCACGAGCTCAGTTGTTATTGTGGTGGTTATTGTGCATGTGAACAATAAGGTGGAGCTCGTGAAGCCGGCTGAGGTGAAAAAGTAAAATGGCTAAGTCCCTCGCAAACATGGGAACTTCATGCTTGTTGAGGCGCATCAGACATTGACGTACCTACGAGCGGCCGATCATCTTCAGAGTCGGACATTTTGCTGATGAAAGGCCACGCCTGCCGACGCGAGACTACGCGAGCGTCAAGTGAGGCGTGACACGCGTGGGTGGTGTTGCCGTTGATACTCGAGAGGAGTCGCGCCGTCTCCCGCCCAAGTCGAAACGTCCCTGAGCGCAGCCCTCTACAGAAGAGCGGAGTGACTAAGATGTTGGCGGAACCTGTAGAGACGGTGGGAGTGTCAGATAATCGAGTAGATAGCGCGTTGGAGCAGGCGGAGAGTGAAGAAACAGGGTGTGAGTGTGAGATGTCCCTCGCTCATCGAGAAGGGCAGAACGGCTTCGGCCGTTGATTGGTCGTCACCTCCAGCCGATTTAGCCCGGCACGAAGGGAGACCTCATCGCTGAAGAGCTCGCCGGGTCAAGCCATTGATTCAGCGACACCACCACCACCCTCATCTCCGCTCACACATCCAGCATGCTGTCCCGTGCTGCTCGTCCCGCCTTCAGGGCTGGCGCGGCGCAAACACTGCGGTACGTCGACCACCCACTGCGCATTCAGGCGTGCACCGCGAGCTTGGGCAGAAGAAGGAATACAGCAACACACATACTGACCTTGCCTCCGTGCTCGCAGGCCTGCCGCTGTGACCTCGCCTGCCGCTCAGGCTGCCAACTATGCCACTCTCCGCCAGATCGAAGGCCGTCTGAAGTCTCTCAAGAACATTGAGAAGATCACGAAGACCATGAAAATCGTCGCCTCTACCAAGCTCACCAAGGCCCAGAAGAACATGGAGACCGGACGAGCTTTCGGAAAGACTTCCAACACTGTGTTCGAGGAGGCTGAGACGAAGCCATTGGAAACGGAGAACAAGAAGGTGCTGCTCGTGGTCTGCAGCTCTGACAAGGGTCTGTGCGGTGGTATCCATTCGGGTCTCTCTCGTGCTGCGCGCCGCTTGTTCGAGCAGGAGCCAGCCGACTACAACATTGTCTGCGTTGGAGAGAAGTCAAAGGCACAGCTGAGCAGATCCAACCCGAAGGACATGGTGCTCTCGTTCGCTGGTATTGGCAAGGACGTCCCAACATTCGCCGATGCTTCTGCGATTGCCGACCAGATCACCCTCCTCCCAACCGACTACTCGAGCATCAAGATCTTGTACAACAAGTTCAACAACGCGACATCATATGAGCCAACCATCATTGAGGCGTACTCTGAAGAAGCCATCAAGGAGTCACGTGAGTTAAACCCGCAGAAGGACGTATTCCTATGTCATGAGACTAACATGATATCTGACAGCAAACTTCTCCAACTTCGAGATTGATGACGCAGTCCTCGGTAACCTGCGCGAGTATGCTCTCGCAAACTCCCTTTTCTGGGCACTTGCTGAGGGTCACGCTTGCGAAATCTCCGCTCGTCGCAATGCCATGGACAACGCCTCCAAGAACGCCGGAGAGATGATTGACAAGTTCCAAATCCTCTTCAACCGAACGAGACAGGCTGTCATTACTGGCCAGCTCGTTGAGATTATTTCTGGTGCCGCCGCATCGGAGGATGCTTAGATGTAGAAAAGCTACAACAGGCAGAGCGAACAGTGTCGTGTTGTACTGTACATATAGCGTCAGACAGTCAGAGCGAATTGTGAGAGTCTCCTTTGTCATGCATGTTCAATTTTGGAGCTGTCTCGAGCCATTTTGCGACCCTTTGCGAATCCGCTAAGCGCCGCGCAGTGAAGATAATTCACTCTCGCACTCCCCACCATCGAAGAATTTTCCAGCAGTAGCAATTAATGCTTCACGATCATGATCGGCACGTATGAATTCCTGTACCGCAGAATTCGCGACATATCTCAGGATGGTATTCTCGCTGCCTGATCGGCGATGTTGTCATCCTGCGCCTCATCTACCTTCGCACTATGCTGAAGCCTGACAATAGACAGCCACCACGAACAGCATCCCTCCCGACAGTTCCACGCCATCTTCCGCCGATACTTGATCGCAAAACAACAAGAAAGGCCCATCATGACTCCTCGTACTCAAACGCCAGCAGAGCGCGTCTTTTCCCTCCTCGAGCTCTGCGAGCCCATACTTGAAGAACTCCCAATACAAGACCTCATTCGCGTGTCTCACGTCTCTCGAGCTTTCTTCACCAAAATTTCGAGCTCCAAACTTCTTCGACAAAGAATCTTGCGCTGGCGTGAATGCGACCTTAACGACTTGGCTCTGAACGATGATTACGCCAGCTTTCCCACCGGCTTCGTCTCCAGCTTCGATTTCGACACTCCATATCTTCGCACTCGAGAGCCGCCTTGGATCTTTCACACCATGTTTGGTTATGGCCATGGGCTCCGCTATGAGGAACGCAAGAACCTTTCTGCTGAGAATGGGATCCTCGTCATATATCGCTGTACAGAAGCAGAAGAATACTTTGTCTACGTTCCATTTTCGGTTAAATTTCCCGTTATGGCCCTCCGTCTGTCGAAGTTGGTGTTTGATCATGCAAGCTATACGTTTACACCTTCGTGGAGCTCGAGACTTGAGGACTGGAATGGAGATTTAAGGCCGGTATTCACGGAGTCCTACCAAGGACGAACAGATTATTCGGCGTTTTCCTTTGCATATTTCCAAACGTGGTATACTACTGATATTGCGACTTCTACTTCGAGCTCTTTGGCGAGCGAGAGGATGGCAAATACTGAGATGCCGACGCGCAATACGGTGAATTGGAAGCACTGGGCTCAGGTCCACGGGAAATTTCAACCTCTTCCTGATAAAAAGCGTGGCTGGAAGACATGGTTGCAGCACAAGGGGCGGAAAATCAAACCGAGTGAGAAGACAGCGAAGAGTATAAGGACAGATGTGGAAGAATTAGATTTGAAATGTGAGGTTCTGCATTCTTTTGTTGGCGCTGCTCTGGACTTCACGTTCTTGCAAATCGTGGTAGGTCGCTTTTGCTGACCATGGTGTGTAGTCCCTGGCCCTGTGTTAAGCACGTTGATGCACCAATTGGAAGAAATGAAGTCATCAACCGGCACGGGCATATTCGAGATGGATATCAGACAGATCTGAGACTTCATATGCAGAGGTCGTACATATTGAAGTACGGCAATCCTATACATGAGCCGAAATTGAGGGTGTGCTACGACGTTACTCAATGCACGTTGGGCCAATGAAAACATCGGAAAACAGCACCGATACTCAGCTTAAAATCGAATTGATATCGAATTTTGCGGACTGTTCTGTTCCGACATCTCTACGACTTCTGTGGATCGTGTCCCCAGTTCTTCAACGACTTTGCAGACTTGCTATTCGGGTCCTGCTTCGCTTTGCCCTCCTGGGCAAGATGTCGCTTGCAGTACGCCACTACTTTACGCATATGGGCGATATCGTCTTCGCTATACTTCTCCGGGTCTTTCTTGGGATTGTCCTCCAGAATTTTCACGATCTTCCGACCGCTTTTGTTGTATGCTGTCAGTTTCTGGACACTCCAAGAAATGGTAGCAAAGACTGACCTCTCGTGCCCGATCGTCTCGCCTGAGCCGTCGTCTTTGTCCCAGCCCGCGCCAGTGGACTCTTCAGAGCCCAGCCAGTCTTGTAGGTCTTTCGCGGACATGTTCACAATATCATTGAACTCCCTGAAACGACTGTTCAGTAGTTGCTTATACATCAGAAGTTGTGTTCACTAACTCAATGACGGTGTCGTTGTCTTTGACCATTTTGACAGCTGTTGTTGAGAATTTGGGTGATGTGATTGGATTTTGTCTGGTGACAGGGAACTGTCGTCTGTAATGCTCCGGAGTAACGAGAACACTTCTGATGACTTTGAGCATTTCAGACTACTTGACCGAAGCTGTTTCTTTGTCCTATATATCGTAGTTGTGGTGATGTCATGATCATGATGATGCAGAGACGTTGGACCCTCGCGGGCCAGCTTCGATCACCCTAATTCTTCCCCAATGCTGCTTCGTAAGTGTTGTGAAGCGACATGACAATCTTTGGTCAGCGACTTGAAGCTCTACAGTGGAATGTACGTTGTACAGCAAGGCGTGGGAGGGTTAGGTGCCTCAAGACACGCCAAGACGAGGTCACACGAGCTGTTACCATTGCCATGCGCGCGGGTGCTCGAAGCCGCAGGACCTTGTCGTTCAGCCACAGTTGGATGCAGATCATCGAGGCTGCCGTGCAAGTCGATTTTGCTGAAGTATTGGCTGGAAAAGAGTGTCGAACAGACGAGTGCCAAGGAATTGATGCTCCGGATCGTGCGAGGCGGGATATTAAAAGAGTCACGGCTCGTTCACGCAGTCCCCCAGAAAAGGCGTGAAGCCGGTGGTGTACGTAGGCTGGAGGATGCACATATCGCAAGCCACAGAAGGCGCAATCTTGCATACCTGCGCCATGTTTCCAATCCCGCATGGCGAAAGCTATTGCCGGAAAGGCAGTATGCACACTTATCAACGGCGGCTTGCTGAAGACAGGACCGACCCGGTCAGAATGGCTTCTAGGCTTGAGGTGATCCGCCGGTATCAAGGAACGGTCTGACGGGATCGGGAGCAGTCCTTGTTCAATTTGCTCGGTAGGTGGTAGGAGAATCCGCAACGCTCATGTCTCGAGCTGATCCTAGCTCTGCTTTCTTCGGCCGTGACCATGGGCCAACGGGCGTGGCAAGTACATGCAGCAGGATACATGAACGCGTGTAGGCTGGAGGACATGGCCCTCGTGCTGATTGAACATGTATGAAGCGGATGGCGGCATCAATGGGGAATACACACGTGGAGTGGCCTTGAGGAGAAGAGCAGAGTTTCGCTTGGCCCAGGCGTGGCGGCGGAAGGCTCCCGCGCACTATTGGGCACGATCAGGTGTTCTCGTCTGCATATCGTGAAACACTTCCTGACGATCCGCCCAATGGCAGGCAGACGCGCAGAGGTACAAATCTTGAATATGCGGCGTAAGGCGGGCGCGGTGCAGCAGCATGCAGGGCGCGACGGGCAGCAACGGCGAAGTGGCGTGGAAGGCAGCAAAAATAGATGATGGGTGTGATTGCGCTGCGAATTGGCGGCCGACGAACAGCAGAACGATCGCCAGCTAGCCTGAATCCTCTGTACTGGGGATAGCGCAAGACACACCCCTGATCTTTGTTGGCACTCGCCAGCGACTTTACCACTGCACGCCCACCTCGCCGCCTTTCCTTTCGTCGTGTCCGCGCCGTTGCGCATTGTTGTCCCGCCTTCCCTTCTGCTGTACATTCACTTCTCCTCCTCCGCCTAATGCTGTCGTCGTTGCGAGCACCGCGTAGCGTCGTTTCTCACAGCACTGGACTTTCGGTATTAGAGTTGTCTTAATCTCACGCACCCATTCACCAAACCACCAGGCAACGCGACTTGCACGCGCAACGCCGCCCCGACCTCTCTGCCCGCGCATCATCAACGGTCACTGTGCATAATCCGAACATCGACCGGCCGATTGCGCGCGCCGCGCCAACCACTGCTTCGTTGCTTCCCGATTGCATTGATATACAACTTTCCCTTCCCGGCCCTGCCAGCGAACAGGGGACGCAGACCCTGCCTATTCCTTTGCACCTGCCCGCGGAGAGGAGCACTCTGACCATCTTCCATCATGCCGCTCTTCTCACGTTTTAAGAGCAAGGGAGCACATGCGGCATCGAAAAAGGGCGAGCTCGAAAACGGCCTCTCGGCTGTACAGCGGCCTGCGAGATGGCAGTCACGATGGGAGAGCACCAGCGTCGAGCCCGACGAAATCAAGGAACTGGTGCACGCGTGCACTGCAGAGATGAAGACGCGAGGTAGGCCGAGGACCCAGGGACATGGCTAGGCGGCAGGAGCTAACCACGTTACAGCTGAGGCTTTGGACGCACCGTTCATGCTGCTACCATTTCGTCCGAACACCGATCCACAGGGAGCTCGCAGCTTCATTCACAACTACTACAAAAATAATGCCGAAGGAGGAACGCAATACCGAGGCGACTCGCTGAAGCAGGAGCTCCGACTGACCGATGCTCTGGTCCTGTGCAGCATCATCAAGTGGTGCTGGAGCCGCATGCCCAGTGGAGTGGTATCATGGCCGGTGTACGAGGGTTTCCGCATTGGCGAGAAAGAGGCGTACATGGCACGCAATGCATTCTCTACATTTATCCCTATTGGAGCAGACTCCGAAGCTCGCAGGAGCATCATAGTCGATTTCTATGATCTTCTGGCAGCTGTAGCAGCACACGGAAAGATGAATGGTCTGGGTGGTCGCAAGCTTTCTCGCATGGCAGGTTGGTGGGCATTTGAGTACACAGATGACGGAAACGGATTTGAAGGCGGCTACAAATCATGGGAGAAGGCTGCCGATGCATCGAGCCATCTTTTCTTCGCATATCTGCGATCCCTTTCGCCAGATACGGACCCATCGTTGACTGTGATCGAGCGTATTCCGCGCTCGCTGCAGGCACTTCTGGCATCTACCGAATACCCACCGGAAACCCCGACCTTGCTGCAACGATCGACGCCTCGAGTGGTCATGATGGTGGACACTGTCTCACCTACGCCCTTCGCTTTACTTCGGCGGGCCAAGAATTTCGAGTATCGCGATCGCGATAAAACCCTTCGATCTTTCGCGGAGTTCGAAGACCCTGTCGATGCCCTGACGGAGGAGTGCAAGCGGGTGCTGTCCGCTATCTCGAATGCCAATGCATCGATGAGTGTTGCTCGCTCTCGACAGGGCCTCACCCAGCCTGACGAAACATGGTCTGCATTTTCGAACATGGGCTTTGGAGACATCGATGAGAATGCATTGAAACAGACTGCGACCACTGGTGCTAATGGCGCCACCAAGACTATTGGACAAGGGCTGCGACAAGAACCGCGATCCAGAACAGCTGACGCTGGTCGACCGACCACACCGTCGTGGGCTGACTTCCTCTCTGCCGGATTCGCAGACGATGGCAGTGCAAAGTCTCCAACTCTGCTGTACCCACCTGCACAAGTGCTTCCTCCTCTTGGAAGTCGCTCTTCCTCGCCTGGACGTATCGGTGGCGCAGATGACAATCTGGCGCCCGGCGAGCTTGCCGCCATCGCGAATGTAGAGCTCGACGACGCATTTTGGTGGGTATGGATGACCAGTCTTGCTGGCGAGGAGCCGTCCGACCGCAAAGCTGTCTTTGGGCGCTGCGCACTGATAGAGACGACGATTGCCAATGGAGCTTGGCTCATCATGGAAGAGCAGGTTAAGGGTGCTTCACCCGACCCCACGGAAGGAGTCTACATCGCGCCGAAGAAAAGCCTCTTCAGCTTCACCAAGCGTGGGAGACTTGGTCGCAAGGACCGCTCGCAAGTAAAGAGTCCCACCTCGGATCAACCAGAACGAGTCCTTTCTGCAACGCCGAGCAAGACAAGTATCTCGATCGACCAGCACGCCAAGATCAAGGCTGCGGCTCGAGCACTGGCACAGCGCAAAGACAGTACATCCGAGAACGATGTAACTCGTAGGGGAAGGCAGGATGACGGGCAGACAAGCAAGACTAACAGCATGCTGACTCTCGGTATCTCCAACGAGGCTGGTCCTGCAATGAAATGGGCGAGCTCTTATGATAAGAATGCCATCCGTCAACAATACCTGGGGGATAATCTTGCCGGCAAAGGCATCTCCAGAGAAGAGCTTGTGCGTCAGACATCCAACAACAGCCTGGTCCCCAATGACAGCAAAGCTCGGCCTGCGGATCCGCCTTTGTCGCCCGGCACAGTGCATTCAGTATCAACGTTGCGCAAATCGCCGTCTCGCGATCTGCCTCCTTTGCCACAGGAAGCTTCTGCCCAAGACACCGCCGTCTCGACAGCTGACATTCCGTCAAGCCCCGCCGCCGCTCCTCCCGCAGTTCCTAAGGAAGCAGAGCCAGTACCACAAGCGCCTGCTCCTACTCCAGCGGCCGAGCCCGAAACGCTTGCGCCAGCCAGCGCGCTCGATAAGGAAGTGGAAGCTGGACTTTCGCCGAACTCTAACAAGGTCGGCAGAAAGCCCGTTCCACTCCCCAACAACCATCCCGCCCATCGCGTGGACAGTGCAAAGCAGACCAAACCGATCACCACGCCCAACCCCGCTGCGGTGGCAGCTGCGAGAGCGATGTTTGAACGACCGGAGAGCCCAGAGCAGAAGTTCAAGAAGGGCTCTGGAACTGGCGGTGGCCTAAAGAAGTTCTTCGGAAAGAAGAAGGAGAACCCACCTCGAGGCGACTCCTTCGAAGCTCTACGAACGGGTAGCAATGGCCTTGTCCACTCTTCGGAATCGGCAATCGGTCGACGCTTGTCCTTGATGCGCCGCAAACACAATGCTGCAGCGTCTCCTCGTGCGAGCGAGAGTACAATTGAGCATCCGACGCAAGAGCCAGCCGTCGCTGCCGCTGTGCTTGCCGCGACGAAGAACCAAGACTATCCACCTACTGAGACGTCTCGGAGTAGCATTCACGAGCGCACTCTAGCTGAGGATGAGTTTTCGCGTTTCGACCAGGGCCCAATGACCGACATGCCGTCCGCTTTGCCTGAGGAGGTCTCACCTGCGCCTGAGGGCACCAAATTCCACGAGCGTCATCACTCTATTGTTTCTCAGCCCGACTCTACAATCAACGACGAACACGATCGCTTTGTGGTACCCTCGAGCCGCGACGAACCTCATGATCCTCACGATGATGCTCAATCAGAGGCGACTATGGATGACCATCACGACCCTGTCGTTGTGCAAGATCGATGGGCACAGATCCGTGAGAATGCACATAAGAGGGCTGAGCGTCAACGACAGAGTGAGGATCTTGACACGGAACGCAGCAGACCAAGCAGGCTTACCGACGATGGAGAGACGAGTGGCGAAGAGAGTAGGTCATCTCCAAAGCTTTCACCGAATTATTTCCACTGACATATTATAGCTATCGAGTCTCGCGTTGCCCGTATCAAAGCTCGTGTCGCCGAGCTGACAGGCAACATGGATGGCGCACACCGAGCGTAAAGGACCTGTTGACACTACACCCGTCCCGTTTCCGGTCTACATTGTTTTGTTCTATACCCATATACCGCGCACCACGCATACCCTCTCATCGCAGCGTTCAGCGTATACAGCGTCTAAGTTTGCTATTAGTTTCTGTTCCGCTCTTCGCGTTGAAGAGCTTACGAGATACCAAATTTCTTTTGTCCGGTCTGTGGATGAGTCTGGGGGATGTTATTAATGCTCGCGAAGAGGTGGTGGGAAGCGCAGCGGAGGAAATTTGGAATGTGCGGATCTGTCTGTGTGTGCTTTTTCTTTACACTTTTGATACCACTTTACAGTATCTGATTCAATGCGACAGTTTGTTATCACCTCTCGTTGTGACTTGACGTTGTGCTTGTGGTTGATTCGAGTTGGTACTCTGTGAGTCAATGTTTGGTTGGATTCCTGCTATGTACACTGGCTGTGATACATCTATCTACATTGCGAATCGCGCGATACGTGATGCATCTTTGTAAGCTTGCAGAGAAGCTTTCTTCTAAGTCTATGTACACACGGTATCCATCCTACTCTGTCAAGGACTCAATCGACCTCGGCATGCTCTGAATAGCATCAAGTGATCTCGCCGCACTCTCCGCTGCTACTTCACCAGTCTGCAGTTTCTTCATCGCCGTCTGCAGAGTCGTAGCACTCGCTTCTTCTGCCGCGACTTTCCAGTCTCTAGCTTGAGGCTCTCCGCGACGATGTTCGGGCTGCACTAAATGGCTTTCGTCCGCGAGTCTTCCAAGCATCTCTTGCGTACGGGATTCTGCGGTTGAGATTTGTCGACGCATGAAGCCTGTCTGTTGGAGGAGAGATTGCTCTGATTGTTTGGTATGGGTTAAGCGCGTGAGATAGGGGAGGAGGAGTTCGGAGGTATTGGCAATAGTTGTTGTGTCGGATTCGAGGATGCCAGAGACGCTGCGGCGGGAGCTTTCTGGGGAAGAGGGCGGGCTGTCGTAAGAGTCTTGCTCTTGGGTTGATACTATCTCGAGGAGACGTTGGCGGGAGTCGAGGTATTGTTCGTACAAGCTTTCGATGTCGGTGAGAGAGAAGGCGGGCGCTTCTTCGTTTGGGTGATGGTGGTCTGGGGCCGAGTGGGCGGAGTTGTCTCCGTCTTTGGTATTTTCAAGATCGCTAATCATGGCGAGTTGCTTTTCCATCCAAGTAGTGAGTTCATTGTGTGTCTTTTGTAGTGCTTTGAGGTCGGCCACGGGATTGACGTCGCCATCTGCGACCCCATTGGCTTGAACTGATGCTTGCTCGTGTTCTTCAATCTCCTGCTGGGTTGCCAAAATGGCCTTCTTGAGTCGGGTGACATCGTAGTCTGCGTCTGATCCAAGTTCGCGATCTGCATAGCCTGCAGTTGAGGGTGGATGAGGTAGTTCGCCGACTTCACGTTTCACCACTTTGTCGAAGGATGATGAGACAACATCTTCTCCAGTAGTGGCGATTGTGGCTAGAGTCTTGTCGATCACATCGAGTTTGCGTCTCTTCTCTCGTTGTCGAACAAGTGGAACGTAGCTCTCGTTCAAGAATGTGCCATCTGTTTGTGCACCTTGGCCAGATCCGGTCTGCGAAATCTTGTCTAGCTCTGTTTTGAGCGAATCATATCGCTCTTGTGCGGACCTGTGCGCTTGCAGAGCTCGCAAGTATGCTTTGCGCACACCAGTAAGCCCTCCGCGCTCGTTGATATCCGGATGAGCAGAGCGAGAAGTATCTAAGGGTGATACCGGGAGGCTGGCCTGGAGTCCTCGTCGTATATCTTGCGCCTCCTGCCGAGACTTGATATACGGCTGTAGAGCTTTCGCCACTTCTGGAAACGGACAGTCCTTCAGAGCACCTTCCATTGCCACTACTGTCTCCTTCGCCGTCCGTATGCGCGATGTTCAGATCGCGTTCTCCGACGCTTCACCGACCTTTCCATGTCCAATCTGGAGGGTGAAGTGCCTATTCTTGGTTCCACAATGACTAAGCAGAAAGCTTGGCAACTTGCCCGATCGTTCCTCCTCTCCTCTGCAGTGTGACACCGTTAACGGACGCATTGGGATCAGGCGCGCATCGATTGTGACCTTTTCAAATTCACAGGAGAAGTATCGACAACACGATCGGCCTACAACTAAGCTCCGGTGATCAACCCTGAATGCTATCTCTAACAGCAGCTTCAGCCACGGCTACACCTGGAGCACGCGACCTTTCGAAATTACACGCGACAAGACCGCGACCGAAGCGGCGACGAGTTGTGATGCAGCAGATATTGTGTTACGACTTTGCAGACATATCCCACAGCGCTGGTGGCCGGTGGCTGCTGTCGGTGGTCTCTGCCGGGAAGACTCGACGCCCTCATCTCCTGGCGGTCTCATCGCAAATGTTGCCGAGGGAATCGTGCAACAACTCACCCAACCTCTCCAGGACATCACCAATATGCTTTCCCTCATCGTCACAGGTCCCAACATTCCTTCGGCAGCGAGATGGCTCAGAGGACTTGGATTGCAGCATTCTTATCTCGAGCAAATCAGGTCAATGACACAGGCGCGGCGCCCAGAACAGCCGAGTCTGCGATCTTAGCCTTCAACCTCACCATGTCTCGACATTGAGTGCGGAAATATCCGTCTCCAGTTTTTGCCCATGTGGAAACACCACCTGATGGCGTGAGGCCTGCTGATGATGGCCAGTTTCAGATGGCACGAAGAAGGCACACGCTCTCTTTAGTATATATGTCCGAAAGCGCATCCTTCGAAGTCGCCTATTTCGGCACACTATGGAGCGAGATTGAATGACTGCAGGTACTGTATGTCAACAAGACTCGCGGCCTTGCGCGCGTTTGCAGTCCGCGCTGAGTATTCAATCGCGCCTGGTGGCTCTCAACAGTGTCGATGCTCGCTTGGTATGGCGCCGCGAAGTCTTGTGCCCTTTTACTAAAATGTTGTCGGCTTCACTTCACGGCCAATGAACCACGGCCTATCAACATCTTGGCCACGTTATCAGGCTAAGCAATGATCACCCTTGGCCGAAGACAGACGAACACGGTCTTACCCCAATATCTATTACCTCTTTAGGACGCAAAGCGAATACCAAGTACACCTCAAGCGCAGCGAAGGCCCGTCAGTCGTCATGGTCCGAGGGCTGACGGCTAGGCGCCATGTCAACTCATGTAGGAGGTAGTACCGCGATCCTTTGAACCAGGCGAGCGGGTCGTGTATTTAAGAATATCGTCGAGCTCGCCTCTTATCCCTGCTTCATCTTCGTTCCACTGACCTGCTCATTGGGTTTCTTCGATTGGAAACTTCGACCTTCAATTCATCGCAAGAGACAGGCCGCCCATCATGTCGTCCATTGACGAGATATTTCCGGCGGTACGCGCTTTCAAGCCATTGTTCGTGTACCACAGCTGACCCCTTCACCTAGCCGGAGTTCAATGAAAGCATGCCGTGGGGTGGAAACACACGTGAAGGTTTCGATGTCAACGCGCAATATCGAGGATACGAGCATGACTCTGTCTTCATTGCCCTTTGCACCTTTCTAGTTTGGATCATGGTGCCTGGTCTTGCCATGTTTTACGCCGGCCTATCCCGCCGCAAGAGTGCCTTGACTATGTTGTTCCAGGCATTCATTGTATTCGGCGTCATAACTCTACAATGGATGCTCTGGGGATATTCGCTCGCATATGCACCAGATGCCAGCCCGGTAAGTATTGACTCTGGAATAGTGGATCGGGTTCAGCTAACGAGATTTGACAGTTCATTGGCACCGAGTACTACATGGGCATGAGATTTGTCCAAGCGGCCCCGACGGGCACTATGCCTGATATCCTCTTCTGCCTCTACCAGCTCATGTTCTGCGCTGTCACTACAACGATCCTGACAGGTGCAATGTTCGAGCGTGGAAACATCATTGCTTCGACGATCTTCGCGTTTGCTTGGGCCACCATTGTGTATGCGCCCATTGCATGCTGGACATGGAACGCGAATGGATGGCTGCTCAATTTGGGATCGCTCGACTACGCAGGAGGTGGTCCAGTTCACATTGCTTCTGGGTGCTCTGCTCTGGCTTATGCGCTCGTCCTTGGCAAGCGCAAGTCTTCCATTGAGACCGGAACCTTTCGTACTAAGCCTCACAATCAAACACTTGTCGCATTGGGCACGTTCTTCATCTGGTAAGTCGAAGTCGTGATAAACGGCCGAGTCTTAGCTGACGTCTGTGCTCAGGTTCGGATGGTTTGGCTTCAATGCTGGCTCTGCACTCAACGCTACCGTTCGATCTTACTATGCCGCTTTCAACACACAAGCAGCAGCATCGGCTGGTATCCTTGGCTGGGTGACTGTCGACATGATCCGCAACAAGGGACGCTTCTCTTTCTCCGGCGCTTGCGAAGGTGCTATCGCTGGCCTTGTCGGTATTACCCCAGCCGCTGGTTATGTTCAGGTCTGGCCGGCGGCCTTGATTGGGTACCTGACCGCAGTCGTCTGCTCTTCCCTGCAGAACATCAACGAGTGGATCCACATTGACGAAGGAATGGATGTATTCAAGCTTCACGGCATTGGCGGCATGGTCGGCTCTTTCCTCACGGGTATATTTGCTGATATTGCGATCGGTGACCTGTCCGCTGGTACTGGAGCCTCTGGAGCTTGGAATGGCAACGGAATACAGGTCGCTATTCAACTAGCTGATATCTCGTCATGCGCAGCCTACAGCTTCGTCATCACCCTTCTTTTGGTCTTGCCGTTCAAGTACGCCCCGAAGTTCTTGAGCCTCCGCTTGACTGAGGAACAAGAAGCTCTGGGAGCCGATGGTTATCACTTCCACGACGAGACCATCGGAGAATGGATGGATGGAACCGAGACCCCCCGATCGGTCACGGGCTACCCACCATCTGGAGCAGCCACCCCTGCGCCTGCTGGCACCCGAAGATCTAGCTCGGAGGCGGAGAAGAAGGTCGCTGTCTGAGGAAGTGTATTGAGATGTGATCAAACCCTGCTCAGCCGTAGCGAATTGGTTGACATGATTGCCATGAGAATGGAGATACCCAATATTTGACACAGTGCTCAAGTTGCGCAACAATAACATTAATCTACATCACTATTCTTCTTTGCAATTGCTCGCAACCTCACATATCCGAGCCACTGACTCCCGTCTTCCCGTGTGATTACACTGTCAATCAATTCTTGGATCTCTTTGAACACTGCTTCCCGCTTCTCTTCTGGCGCAACCTCGATGAATTCGGCACACATCAACTTAACCCATCCTTCCAATCCTCCACTCCCATCAGCCTTCTTCTCCGTCACAGCCGAAGGCCGATACTCTGTTTCACACTTTTCCACCTGAAATCCAGCACCTTCCAGCAACTTGGTCATGCCATCAATAGAAGGAAAGAACCACGGACTCGCTGCCCTTGCATTCTGGAGTGACACACCTCCCACATGCACTAGAGCCGCAACAGCAGCAGTCTGAACTTCAGCAACATTTCCAGATCCGCCCATCTCGAACACAAATGTGCCGCCAGGCTTCAACGCCTTGAAAACATTTTGAAAGAACTGTTTTCTGATTCCCTCCTTCCTCAGGATCCAATGCATCGCCGCATTAGAGAACGCCTTATCCCATACTCCTCCAGGCCCCATCTCTCGACATGAGTCCAGTTTCGTTGCATCGGCAAGGACAAATGTCATGTTCCCGAATCCATCCTTCAGATATCGCTCATTCGCAGTGTCGATGAAAGATTTGGAGGCATCAACGCCGAGGACCTGTCCTTCTGAGCAGGCGGCGGCGATCTTTGCTGTGAGTTCGCCATCGCCACAGCCAATGTCAAGGATGTTGTCCGATTTTTGGGGGTCGAGGTAAGAGAAGACAGTAGACGTGAGCTTGGGGACGAAGCCTGCAGCGGAGGAGTAGGCTTGTGAGGACCAGTGGTCCTTTGGCGGATTGGATGATGACATTGTTCTTGATTGGATGTTGGTTGGTGTCTTGAGTGGGATCGTGTGAGGTAGCCTTCTTTGTGCTCTGCCTCTTCTTGTGAATACGATCGGGAGTCTATAGATCTGCTGCGGCTTGACCAGAGTGCACATAGATATTATGAGTTGTGTTATATTGATGACCTGTACGATCGAATACTTAAACGCAATGGGTAGGTTGCTGGGTACGTGGCCGATATCGGCGATATTGTTCACAGGTGCATTGAAGCTCAAACTCTCATTACGCTCAAATTGGATCTACGGGCTCAAAGTACGCGATGAAGCGGTCGTTGCAGTTGCTTCGCTGCCATTTAAGTGTTATTGAATCATCGAAGTAACATGTCAAGCAAGTCGTATTCAACACGCGAAGCACTGCGCCCCCAAATGCTTCCTAGCGAAACAAGATTAACCACGACGAAAGGCCTTGAAACTCTTGTACACTCGTTCTCCTTTGTCGTCAACATTAACACAGCCATTCATCTCCATCAAGAAAAGATAGTAAGGCTCGCAGCGATCATTCTCATAGAAGTAGACATATGGAGAGAGAGTGTTTGATCAGCTCGAACTAAACACACTAGCAGTTACTTCGACACTCACTATCAAATTCCTGCCGATCGACTTTGTCAAACTCGAGCATCATGCTCTCAGCTTGTCCGACCCCATCGGTCACACATCCATCGTAGATTCTGAGTGTTCTGTTGAAAGCGAGAGCGCCCGAGCAACGAGGTCCTCGGTAGCCATGTATCGTGTACGCAAACGTGTTGCTCCCAAGAACGATAAGAGAGACTCCATGCATGAGACGCATCGCTAAGACGAATCCGGTCTTCGCTGCGATTGTGAAGAAGATGTTTGATGTGAACTCGCTCTGATGCTGGCCATGGGTCTTATACCATTCGCGAAAGATGTACCAGACGCAAGCTCTGATATGCTTGTTACCGCTGCTTGGACCGATCGCTGTGTCTTGCGCACAAGTTTCGGGGATCACTCCACTCTCTTGAGCATTGTATATGTGACTTCGCTGTTTGTGCAACATTTGGTGTAGTCTAGAACAGGTCTATCGGGCTTGATTGCTGTGTTGTGCTTCGGCCACGCCGTAAGTGACATCGAACAGGTTCTTTCCTGCGACAAGTCCATACGGTGCAGCAGCTGTGATGCTTCTTCATTCCGATCTGATGACATGGGTGCCATTCGAGAGGAGGCAGCGTCGCCAAAGCAATTGCCAGACTTCACATTCAAACTGCTTAAACTGTGTTTGGTTGTCTTCCCGGTTTCGACTCACCTGATCGCAGGACTACATATGGCTCGGGCGCAGGCTGTGCTATTCCCATGATGGGTGGCGGTCGCAAGAGGAAATAGTTGGTCCTCCGGCTGGTGGCGTGTAAGACGAGGTGTTGTGGCGAGTGCCGGGAGCACAAATTGTGGGCTAAGTCGTACACTTCGAATTTCTTGGTCTCTTGCGCGATATCTGTTACTACTGGGATCCATCATCGAATCTCAAGTCGCTGTGCATCTCGTCTGAGCATCCGGCGCGTTGTGGGCGGCGCGTAGTCCGAACATGTCACCCACACCGCCAACAATGCCCAGTTGCTGACTGAGACCGGCGCTGCCAATGCCTGTAGCTGATGGCGGGGATAGAATCAATGGAGGTGGTAGATGATAAATAGACAAGTGAGTCGGCCGTGTTTCTTTCGAGCAAGCGCGCCAAAAGTGTCCCGCATCCGCATCCCACTTCACCTGTTTCCTACGCCTCGGCACCCAAACGCAATAAGAGCTAAGAGGCTCTAGTCCAGACGACGTGTTCACTGCAAATTCTCTTTCTTTATCTGTCTGGACTTCTCTGTACAGTATTCCTCCCACTACTGTACAACAGACCTACGCCCGCCATGTCCAAACACAACTTCGCCCCACTGAAGAATGACCTGCTCCTCCGCACTGCCCGCGGCCAGAAAGTCGAGCGGCCGCCCATATGGGTCATGCGACAAGCAGGTCGCTACCTGCCGGAATACCACCGCGAGAAGGGCAACAATGACTTCTTTGAGTGCTGTCGAAACCCCGAGATCGCCTCCAACCTGACCCTGCAACCTATCGATCGCTTCGAAGGACTCATCGATGGAGCAATCATCTTCTCAGACATTCTGGTCATTCCGCAGGCGATGGGGATGGAAGTCATTATGCTCCCAGAGAAGGGACCTCACTTCCCAAGCCCATTGCAGAGTCCTGAGGACGAGCAGTACAAGGAGGTCATGGGAAGAGATGTAGACGTGGTGAAAGAGTTGGGATATGTCTACGATGCGATCACATTGACAAGGAAGAAACTGGATGGAAGGGTACCGCTCTATGGGTTTTGCGGCGCGCCCTTCACATTACTGTGCTACATGGTCGAAGGAGGGGGTACAAAGGTATTCAGGCAGACGAAGACGTGGATCTACAAATACCCCGAGGCTTCGAAGAAGCTGTTGCAGAAGATTGCAGAGCTGTGTGTGGAATACCTTGCGCATCAAGTCGCAGCTGGAGCACAGATTGTGCAGATCTTCGATTCCTGGGCAGGAGAGCTAAGTCCAGCTACATTCAAGGAGTTCTCGCTGCCGTATCTGGAGTGGATTGCAGACCATCTGCCTAAGAGACTGCAGGAGCTTGGCGAGGAAGTTATGCCAATGGTGGTGTTCGCCAAGGGTGCGTGGTATGCTGTGGATAGGCTGTGCCAGACCAAGTATGATGTCGTTGGGCTAGACTGGTTGCACGATCCAAAGGAAGCCTATGCAATCGCGCAAAAGCACGGCAAGGTCTTGCAAGGTAATGCCGATCCTGGAGTGTTGTACGGAGGCCACAAGGCGATAACAGAAGTGGTTGAAAACATGGTTGCTGGTTTTGGTGGTGGTAAGCAAGGCTGGATTGCCAACCTTGGCCACGGTATGTACATCGCATTTTGTCCGACGAAGACTTTGGCTGACTCTGTTCAGGTATTACCCCATGGGTCAACCCCGACGATCTGAAATTTTATTTCCAAGAAATCCACAGGGTATCAGGTAGCTCATGATCTAGTGCGTACGCTTCCACAAAAAAGCGCTTGCCAACTACAATGCTATAGGTGACCACCTGGAAGACAAGATGCCGAAACTTGTCGATATCAAGGCAGCTGAGCAGAAAATGCACGAGCGAAACATACTACACAGCGATTGGTAGCTTGGAAGGCCTTCAAGTCGACGTGAGGAACACCTTTGGCGGCTGGCACGACCTGCGATGTCCAGCGTGCGACATGGCCAAGGCAAGACCACGGCATCAAAACAGCGATGCGGCGGATGCAGAGGTTGTAAATACGCCAGCTCTTGGACGACATAGAATGAAACGACGGACTAGTTATCTTCGCCAATGTCTTCATACCTGCATATAACTGTCAGTCAACACTCATCGATGCTCCTCAGCCACGCATAATGACGAACCAGTCCTCTGGATGCGCCTTGATAAAGTCTTTCATCAACTGTTCGGCCTCGGCGTTCTTCAGATTGATGACTTCGATGCCATTGCGTTTAAGATGCTCTTCGCCACCAACAAAAGTATTGTTCTCGCCCATAACGACGCGCGAAACTTTGTACAAGATGCAGGCGCCGGTGCACATGTCACACGGTGAGAGCGAAGTATACATTGTCGCATTCTTGTACTCTGAAGCCGGGAGCCTGCCGGCATTCTCGAGAGCAGATATTTCGGCCTGAATTATGTTAGAAAAGGAGTTATGCCACAGGTTATGTCGAGTTCGACTTGCATGTAGAGTAGCTGAACTTTTTTGAACCCTCATGTTGTGCCCTCGTCCAAGAATTCTGCCATCGGCGGCGACGAGGCACGCACCGATGGGTACACCACCCTCCGCGAAGCCTTTCTTGGCCTCCTCCAAGGCGGCGATGAAGCCAGGATCGTTGGCGGACATGGTCGTGATTTCTTCACTTTGATGGCCTTCTTGTCTCACACGTGCATGGCTGGCGATGGTCACGGCTCGGCCTCCGACAGCGGCTGTTCCTGACAGGGGTCTCTCGAGAGACTTGCCGTGGGCCAACGAGCCAACGAGCGATCTTTGAGCTACGGCATCGTCATTTGGGATTTGCTTTCACAGTACACGATTCGTCTCTTTTCGCAGCTTGGAACATCAACCCTCACGACCTCCGATGTGAGCGCGACCCTGCATTCGCTTCATCTTTCACACCACCGAGCTACGTTGGCTTCGTTTCCGGCATCCATTGAAGCTGCGCGTAGATCGCGCGCGTGCTTCAGACGCATCCAACCACACGGTTGCGACCCGAGCTGACCAGCACGTCGAGCGCGCCGTCAATACCGCCTTCATGCGCACAGCCGAGATTCCATCCGAAGAATAAAAGGAGCACTGCGAAATCGTTTCGGAGTCGATTGAACGGATATTCGGCGTTGGTGGCCGGTGGACAATCATGGAGCCTCACCGTAGCTGGGCACCGCATCAGCAGAGCTCGAATGGGCACACGAACGATCAGTCGCAACCTCCGCGACCTGGGCCAGGCTTTGGGTAAGTTTTGCAGTTTGTCCTTAGGAATCGAACGAATACTGGCGTAGCACTCAGCGGGGACTCGCTGAGGCCGGTCGACGCAAAAGCTGGGTCGCTCCATAGAGCTCCGCGCACCTTGCTTTCTGCATCTGCCCTCATCCACATATATATCACCGCGTTTCTATCGACACCATACTGATGTTTTCACCGATACAGACCTGGCACACCGCAGCACAATCCTCAACAATCACCGCCTCACGCTCCAAGCGGCTTGCCCGCCCCGCCTGGCCCCTTCGCGAGCTATCACTCTGCTGGACCACACTCCCTAGCGAGCCTCGCTGGACTCAGTCAACAGTCTCCGAGGCAGCCGCCATCGCAAGCGCAGCGACCAGACGACCGGCCTCAGCCGCCGCAAGGTCCAGGTTTTGCGCTTCCAGGCCTCGGTCAAGTCACAGGTCAGCCTAGCGTTGCAGAACAGCGCGAACGCGAAAGAGCACGGGAAGCAGAACAAATCCACATCAAGGAGGAAGAAGATCGTAGACACCGCGAAATAGAGCGACAGCGCATGGAACAGGCGCCGCTGCATCAATCGCAGCAAGGCCCGCCTGTGCATTTGCATCAGCCGGTGGCTGTGGGACCTCGCACAATACATGGTCCCAATGGATTACTTGGGAATCCAAATATTGTAGGGCACGCGACCCAACAGCAGCAGCACCATCAACTGGGTGCGCCTCAAGGACCGCCCAACGTGTTCGGAGGAGGCCCCGTGCAGCAAAATCAGCCGCCGCCGCCACAACAGATGCAGCCCGGACTACTAGCACCGTACGGTCCTGGCACACAGGCACCACCACCGTCTCAGCAGCAACAACAGCAGATGGCGCAAGGACAACAGGGCCAGGGTCAAGGACAAGGCCAGCAGCCAATCCTGAACGATGCCCTGAGCTACTTGGACCAAGTGAAGGTGCAGTTTGCGGATCATCCCGACGTGTATAATCGGTTTCTGGATATCATGAAAGATTTCAAGAGCGGCGCGATCGATACGCCCGGCGTCATCGGCAGAGTGAGCACGCTTTTTGCTGGCAATCCGGAGCTTATCCAGGGCTTCAACACCTTTCTACCACCTGGGTACAGGATTGAATGTGGAGCTGGTGATGACCCGAACTCAATAAGAGTGACCACTCCGATGGGCACGACTGTGTCCGCGATGCCGCGGCCTCCCAGCAGGAACGGAGCTGCGGAGGGCGGTAGACCTGCAGACGGCACTTACACTCCACAGCCCGGCAGCGCGCAGATGGCGTACTCTCCCAGTGGTAGGCCTGTTGGGCCAGTGGCACCTGGTCAGCAGCACATGTCGCCAGCCGAATCTGCAGCTCGCAGACAAGCACACGAAGACCTGATCACGGCAAACACGCGAGATCAACGCGGCATGCAGTCTCTAGGCAACGCTGCAACGGTCACTGCAGCGGGCACGCTGGCTGGCCTTCCTGCAGGTGTCTCGCCGCGAGCAACACCACTACCAATGCAGGGCGCGGATGCCATGGCCGTCGATGCTGGTGGTATGGAAAAGCGTGGTCCAGTTGAGTTCAATCACGCTATCAGTTATGTCAACAAGATCAAGGTACGTAGTTGTGATTGCCATTTCGCCTTTGACGCGACCGGCGGCAATCGCGCTGTGCGCCATGCCCCAAACTTACTGACCACCTCGCAGAACCGTTTCAGCTCGCAACCCGACATATACAAGCAGTTCTTGGAAATCCTGCAGACTTATCAGCGCGAGTCGAAGCCCATACAAGATGTCTACAGCCAAGTGACACACTTATTCAAGGGTGCCAAGGATCTGCTGGAAGACTTCAAGCAGTTCCTGCCAGAATCGGCGGCGCAGGCCAAAGCTGCAGAACGCGCACGCGCTGAAGCAGCGCAAGTGTCAGACATGCGCAGCACTGCTGGCGACGGCATGTACAACAGCCCTGTCATATCGCGCGAGATGGGCACGCCCGGACACAATCGCGGCCAGCTTCCTCCCGTTGGCAACTTCGCGCCCACTCCAGCCTCCAAAGACAACAAGCGGAAGCGGCAAGGAACTGGGCCACCAGATAACATCCCTGGACCAGGCGGACCGAGTAAGCCTCAGTACATGGCTGGCCCGCCTGGAAAGCGCGCGAAACCCAATCACGCAATGGCAAAGAACGAGCAGCCTCCGTCCTCTCCGACCATCGTACCACGACTCCCCGCTCCCCTTCCGCCGACGACTACGTCTGCTGCTACAAGCGATGAAATGGCATTTTTCGACAAGGCGAAGAAAGCGATTGGCAACAAGAATGTTTACAACGAGTTCCTCAAGCTCTGCAACCTATTCAGCCAAGATCTCATCGATCGTGGTACTTTGCTGTTCCGTGTCAAGCAATTCATTGGCAGCAATCCGGATCTTGTGAAGTGGTTTGAAGACTGGCTCGGACACGATGAGCGCGATGTGGTCATTGAGAACAAGCCACGGATACCACCCGGGCGAGTCATGCTCAGCAATTGCAGAGGTCTTGGGCCCAGCTATCGTCTTCTGCCAAAGCGCGAGCGACAAAAGCCGTGCAGTGGCCGCGACGAGTTGTGTAACTCGGTGCTCAACGATGAATGGGCGTCGCATCCCACGTGGGCATCGGAGGACAGCGGATTCATCGCGCATCGCAAGAACGTTCACGAAGAGGGCCTCCACAGAATCGAAGAGGAGCGGCATGATTATGACTTCAACATCGAAGCCGCGTCACGCACAATACAACTGCTCGAGCCAATCGCGACACAACTCAGACGACGCACAGATGAAGAGCAGAGGGCGTACCAGCTGCCTGACGGGCTTGGTGGCCAGAGCACGACCATTTACAAGCGTGTCATCATGAAGTTGTACGGACGCGAGAAGGGCGCCGAAGTCATCGAAAATCTTCGTGAACGGCCGTACCAGGTCATTCCTATCCTGCTCAACCGAGTGAAAGAGCGTTTAGAGACTTGGAAGATGGGCCAGCGTGAATGGGAAAAGGTCTGGCGCGATCAGACACAGAAGATGTTTTGGAAGTCGCTCGACCATCAAGCCGTGCAAGCGAAGAACAATGACCGCCGCGCATTCCAATCGAAAACACTGCAAAGCGAGATCACCGTCAAGTACGAGGAGATGAAACGTGCAGGCCTCTCCAATCCAGCACTTCTGCGGCAGCCACAGCTGGAGTATACTATCGACGATCTGGATGTACTTGTCGACACAACTCATCTTCTACTCGTCCACGTTCGTGTCCAGATGGATACAGACCATCCGAGACTGGCCAGCTTCATCGAAGATTTTGTGCCGCTGTTTTTCGGCTTCGAGCCTGAAGTGTTCAGAGCGCGTCTCAATACGAGAAAGACCTATGGTTCCGACGACGAGATGCCCGCTGGCGGCGATGACGCTGTGTCTGTCGGTTCGCGCAAGGGTCCTGGTAAGAATGGTGGCCTCCTGCGCGCCGCTCTCGACCCTAATAGCCGAGGACGCAAGCTCACGAGGAAAGACCGTGAGGATAGTCAGGCATCGAACAGCCGTGCTTCTACTCCCGAAGGCGGTTCCAATGCGGATGCTGAGGACATGGCCATCGATTCAACGGAACTGCCAGACATCAAGGAGGCAAGTACAACTCGTTGGATCGATCATCCGAACACTGGCAACATGGCTGCCGATGGCACAAACGTCGATCCACTACAACCACAGCCCCGCGACTTGTACCGGTGCTGGGCCAATAGCACACTGTATTGCTTCATCAGACTCTTCATCATGCTGTACGAGCGCTTGTACAAGCTCAAGTGTGCAGAAGCCTCTGTGCGGAAGACCGTTAAGGACGCGTCGACCGCCAAGCCTGCAGTTGATCTTGGCCTCATTGACAAGATGCCCACGGATTTCTTCCCGGATGTGACTGACAATGCTTCTTATTACACCCAAATGCTGGCCAAGTTCGAAGATGTGCTGAATGGCAATATCGAATTTGGTGAAGTCGAGGAAGCACTTCGACGCTTCTACTTGCAGACAGGGTACTCGCTGTATCCGTTTGAGAAGCTTGTCGCCACATTGGCGAAGGATGCTGCGCAAGTCATGAACGGTGACAGCAAAGACAAGTCTGCCGAGATCTTTGCTCTGTTTAAGAAGGACAGACTCAAGGACCACAGCACACCGCAGCAGCAGACTGACTACCGCAAGGCTTTTGAGAAGCTCATCAAGGATAATGAGTTGTATAGGATTGACTACGTGAGTACTCCAGATAGGCAGATCTTCATGTGGGGATACTAAACTCGATATAGGATCAGTTGACCTCTAAAGTCAAGATTTTCGTCTCAAAGCGCGAAGATCCAGTTGCTGATGATGGTCTTTCGGCCCTCGATCGTGAACAGAGATGGAGATACTACATTGCCTCTTACACTTCCACAGATCCGACGGCCGAAGTCGACCAAGCTGCTGTTGATATGCCCTTCCTGGTGAGTAACATTAAGCAGGTCGGCGCAGATCCTCATGCAGACCCGACAGCCACAAGCGAGGGCTCTCCGGACCGTCGTCGCGCACGTTTCCTTGACGTCAAGAATGAAGAAAAGCTTGAGCTGCGTATTGCCATCAACAACTACAAGACTTTCTTCCAGGCCAACTCTTACGAAAGCTTCCACGCCAAGTTTGAGGAACGTCAAGGCTCTATGAGAGACGTTTTGATTGCGGAACACGCTCGGGACACTTATCGCGAAGACGTTGTCAAGGATCGTTACGAAATGAACAACAGCGGCATGAGGGATTTGAGTAAGGAGGATGTGGAGAAGAAGAATGCCACTTTCAATACGTTGATTGAGAAGGGCGAAGTGGAAGCGGAAAAGACGAATGGTGGGCAGCAAAATGGAGATGTGGAGATGCAGGATTAGAATATTTGCAGACAGCAGTGTTTGACGTGGGGAAACAGACGGAGGGTGGATGAGAAAATGGCGAGGTTGGAGTACAAGGACTAATGTCTTTGCATGAGGCAGGGGTTGATGTTATGGTTATTGAAGCATGCATGTGGTCAGTTGGATGCTTTCACGGCGTATGCCCGAAAGGGATTTTTGAAAGAGTACGATCGTGATGGGCTTGTCAAGGAATGCTCGGGAATTGTTTTGCGAATACATAGTTCGAATACATGTAGTGGTTTACTGTTCATTGTCTAAGAGCAATATGAGAGGACTCGAGTGTCTTTTAAAGTCTGGTCTGTGATTTTTTTTTAGCATGTGCTACACTGAACTGTCTGCCCACACGGGCGCCCACAACATTTCAAATGAATCAGCCCAAACTTGTGCATATCGCTGCCTCTGCCGCCATTTCAATTGTGCTGCGCTTGCGTTCCGCAACGTGAGTCTTTTTCTTTTACTCACGCAGAGTAGGTTAGTCTGGTCCCAGCCCGGCATAACGCTGCAAATGCGTGCCGACAACATTTCCAATCAAGCCCAAGCCGCGATGCAGTGGATACGCAACGTCTCATTCCCTGCACTCTTGCAGATCTGCGGTCTAGTGGATGGTACTCCAGTACGCTTTATCAGTGACAAGTCGGCCTCGATCCCTCATCCATCCGGATAGAGCAAACGGACGATCTTGCAATCTGGCCAACGACGCCGTATTATCTGCATACAGCAATAATTTATGCAGGTCCCATATACCCACAATTCGAAAAATGTATCCAGGCTCCTCGCGCGCTCGCCATTACGGACACTTCGCAAAGTGTGTGCGATTGCTGCAAATAGTCCAGCAAGGAGCCATCGCCAAATGCGCTTTGCCAGCCAAGTATCGACTGCTTGCAAAATAGGCCACAGCTTTTGACGTCTCTGGAGATCGGACCAGCATGCATGCCCAGAAGCTGTCGCGCACAAGGAGGCATAGGATATTATTCCTCGGGACTCTTGTATGTCAAGGAAGCAGAATGCTATCGTGGTCAAGAGGCTCGCGATGAACAGGGTTAGGTTTCCCCAATCGAAGATGTAAAGCAGGACGCGTTCTACAGCTGGGTGCGCATCGGAGAAGTCCATGATGCGCTCATCGATGGATTTTCTGGGCCTGTAGCCATACCAGAGTGTCTGACATATTGGACAGATGTTGACGTTGTGTGCGAGGAGGCCGCTGTCAAGGCACGAGAGACAGACTGCGTGAGTGCAGGGTGAGGTGCATGTGCGGACGGTAGGCTCATCTTCGTCGTAGCAGACGATGCAGGTATCGTCCGGCTGTGGTCCTGCGAGGTCGAGCTTGCGCCTGAATTCATCTTTCTTGAGCTCGTTGGATGATTTCCAGAAGCGAGTGAGAAATGCCATGGTTTCGACTTGGTATGCGAGAGCGTTGGATGGTGCTTGGACTTGGTTTAATGCGCATGTGGATAGAGTAATCGATAGCATCGGAAGTACATATACCTATCATTATTGTTTTCCTAGATTTAGTCATACTATTGAGGCCACTGAACTCACTCCGGATGAACAGTTGGCGTATGAAGTCTCTCTGGTTGCTTTAAAAGTTAAATCGATGTATTTTTTTTGGCCTCATCGACACATGCAGTTCCCTTGAAGGTTAACAGATATGCGGGCAGATTGTTAATTCTTGTGTCTGAAGTGAGTCTTGGTGGGCCGAGATTCTGCATAGCGCTGCCCGCGGACTTGAGGATGCGCGGTCGGAGCAATGCGCAGCACTGTCTTCGTGAGTGACCAATAACAAAAAGAATGGAAGGAGCGTCGCGTGTAGTGTTATATTAGGAGACAAGTTGACCGATATCTGGTACAGATCATCGTGAAGGTAATGGCTTGCTTGGATCAGCGAATTTATGTAGAATTTCTCCGCTTCATATTCCTCCCCTGACAGCCAACAGGATATTACTGAGACAAGAGAGCATCACTGAGGGCATCCAAAGTGGTCTCGTCATCAAGATTTTCTGAATTCAATCGAGGTCTTCTTGCAGGGTGTTCTGAGCGGACGAGATAATTCTTCGAATCTACTTTGCACACACATTGGAGAATCTGGCGTGGTGCCATGTCGTGAGTGCTCCCGTGCTCATATGAGATAGGAGGCATGGAGGCACTGGTCAGTATTTCCGCTCTTCGGATTCTTGCGCCGCTCTTCGGATTCTTGCAGTCGGGTGCATCGGCAGATGGCTGAAGTTGGTGAAGGTGGAAGCGAAGCACAGCAAGCACAACAAGCTTTTCCGGCTGTTCGGCTCGTGCAACGGTCGGAGGTGGCACCGACCCATGTCGTGAACATTGATATCTGAACGCCGCTAACACACGGTGCAATTGTTGAAAAGGCTTCGGATGTGAGGGTGTCACATTTCACTCATTGCCAGTCTCTCCGGTCTGAATATGGCATCCAAGCAACGGGTGGCGAGCTTTGTTGATGCTCCAGAACTTGCAAGGCATGAGTGGGCCCGCTTGTGGCGCCCGGCAGGGTTTCAAACATCTCGCTCACAACGGAAGCGGATACTTGCACGCGGTCTGAACTACTGTGTTCGTCGTGTGCCATCTCCGCCCGTTGCACATCCGGCACATCTGTTTGTTGCGGCTGAAACCATGGCGCAGGAAGTGCGGCTATCATGCAGCTATAGACGCGCCGACGCCAAGTAGCGAGGCTACTGCACATGGACTCGTCGTTGCTGGAGAAAACCTGCTTGCCTTGCCGCGTTTGTATCTTGGGCGGGCGCGTTTGATCTTGGGAAGGCGACGACCACGAGCCAAGAACCACAGGACGAAGGAGACGGCCTCTGACTTCTTTGGACACACTCGCTCTTACTACCACCACTGCTTGGACTCGTGGACACCTCTTGGCCGCTGTCTCTTTATCTTTGCCTTTCGTTGGACGATTGGGCCAGCCCATTACACCCACACTCGTTCATCAGTCGCTCGTTGAATTGGAATACCACCTTGGGCCATGATTGCCCTCTTGCTTCTGCTCTGCTGGGCGGCCACCATTGCTACAGCACTTCCGACCATCGAGGCCAAAGGCGCCAAGTTCTTCACTTCCGATGGCGACCAGTGGTTCATCAAGGGCATTGCCTACCAACTGACTCCAGAAGATCCACTCGCACAAGCCGACCAATGCCAACTCGACGCTGCCCTCATGAAGACTCTTGGAGCAAATGCCATCCGTGTCTACCACGTTGACCCGACTGCCGACCACGACGGATGCATGAAAGCCTTCTCGGACGCTGGAATCTACGCCTTTGTCGACCTCGACACTTTCGACACATACGTCTTGCCCGGCACTCCAACCTGGAACGACACACAATACGATGCTTTCCAAAAAGTCATGGACGCCTTCCACGCTTACGACAACCTCGCGGGGTTCTTCGTTGGCAACGAACTGATCACCACTGCAGCTGATAGTATCGCTGCTCCTTACGTCAAGGCCGCAGCTAGGGACATGAAGGCCTACAGAGACGATAAGGGATACCGCAAGATTCCAATCGGATATTCTGCTGCAGACATTGCCATCCTCCGACCCAACCTGCAAAACTACATGGCCTGCGGAGACGATCCAGCTGAGGCTTTGGACTTTTTCAGGTGAGTTTCGTCGTGTCGTGACGCTGGAACAAAGCTGACATCTCTCAAGTCTCAATGCGTATGAGTGGTGCGGAGATTCTACTTACGAGCAGAGCGGCTATTCGATGTTGCAGAAGAATGCGAGTGAATACAACATCCCAATCTTCTTCTCGGAGACTGGTTGTCAGACTGTGAGGCCGAGGACTTTTGGCGACCAAGCCGCTATATTTGGGTCTGAAATGTCAGAGACCTGGTCTGGTTCCATCATCTACGAATGGATCCAGGAGGCCAACGACTACGGCCTTATCTCGTACGGTCCATCGGTGGCTCCCACAGCAACTGGCTCGGATATCGCAGGTACGTGCTACTCCAAGTTGTTGCGACGGAAACTCTGCTGATCTGCCACATAGGCGGCTACACAGTCCGCGGCACACCAACGCCCATCTCGCCAGACTTTGAGAATTTGTCCTCCCAGTGGGCAGCGGCATCTCCGTCCAGTATCGCGGCCTCAGCATACTCGCCCTCGCTCTCGCCACCTCCGTGCCCAGCAACGACCGCAGATGCTTGGCTGGCTTCGGGACCGCTCCCAATGTTGAATCAGGAGTTCAATGGCGCGAGCGGAGCAAGTGGTGCTTCTGGCTCAAGCGGCGTCACAACGGGCTCGGGCAGATCTGGAAGCAGTGCAACTCAGACCACATCTTCGAGTGAGGCGGCCGCTGCCACCAAACTTGCTGCGCCGGCTCTGCTTGCTCTGCTTGCTGCTGCGGTGGCTTGAAACGCTTTTTGAGGTGAAGGAGAGGATGCGATGCATGGTGATAGAAAGATAGATAGCGAATGATTGACAATTGGCTCTTTCTTGGTACTGCTGTTTCGACTTTTACTCAAGTCTTATCGCCATTTTCAGATGCGTATCCCATCGCTCATGTCTTCTGACTTCCATTGTTCGCTTCTCCACGAGGCGCGTGTTCTCATGCGGCTTCGCCCTTTCGGCAAGCCTACATACTTTCTAACTTTGCTGCCACACCTTTGCTATCCGCAGACCTCGCTCAGAGGGACGTGGCTCACGGACATTGTTCTTATCGATCGGCAACGATGGCATGCCGCGACATCCCTCGCAGCGTCCATCCAGAGACGGCAGCGCTGGTTCCCTGTTTGACAACTTGCGTCCTGACGTCTGTCGATCTCTGTTGCCGTTTCTGTTGAGGTTCGGACGAGGACATATCGACCTACAGAAACTCGTTCGTGGTACTGTACGGAGTCTGAATCCATTGAATTTACTTTTCAATCGAGATTGAAATAATCTTGAGCTGTCACATTGGTCAGAAGCTCAGCAGATTAGCTGTGAGCGGCGGCGCCCATCAAAGCACCTTTAAGTGGACCCAGCTTGTTGACCAGGTCCAGTCCCAAACTTCGACCCCAGACTACGGGACCAGATCCGACAGAGTACAGCTTCTGGAGCTTGTCCACCACGCCGAGCATGGCGTTGTTTGCTGCCCAGCGCTGTGAGTTGTACTCGTCGAGAGCCCAGCAGCTGCCGATGTCCATGCCGTGGTCCACGCCCTTGGCGATGCAGTTCGCTAGCGATTCTGCATCTGCGAGGCCGAGGTTCAGTCCTTGACCGGCTAGCGGATGCATGGTATGTGCAGCGTCTCCGATCAATGCCACGCGGTGGCCGGTATACGTATCGGCATGGCGCATGCGAAGCGGGAAGGAGGCGGTTGTGCCTTCTTGGACACCAATCACGCGTGGTAATGTGGCTGGCAGTCCGGTGGATCTGGGATCAGTGTTCGGCTCGCGCCAAGCCAGTTCGTCTGATGGGTTGGTCGTTGGATTCTGTATGAGGTAGTTGATGTCGACCATCATCAGGCGGAAAGCAGCATTGACCAAGGCAGTAAAGTCTTGCGGAGAGAGCTGCTTGAGCTTCGCAGCAAGAGGCGCTGTTATCGACCAGACTAAACTCGCTTTCTTGCCTGGGAGTGGCAGAAGGGCAATAGGTCCTGTGGGTAGGAATCGCTGGTATGCTGTTCGGAGATCCACCTCGTTGAAATATTGGTCAAGGTCCAAAGTGGCAACGACACCATGTTGCCCGTAATCCCAGCCGTGACTCGGGATGTTCGCGAACGTGCGCACCGGACTGTTTGCGCCGTCAGCGCCTACGAGCAGCCTGGCAGCAATCGACCGCTCTCCTGGTAGATTCACAATCGGCCATTGCGACAGGTCTAGAGATTCATCATCCTGTGGCTCTGGTCCGAGGCTGATTGATTCCACGCGTGTCTTGTCCAATATGTCTACAGCTCCGGCCTCTCGCAAACTCCCCAGTAGAGCAGTCGTCAGATTGTTGTTCTCACACATGGTAGCCACAGTACTGTAGTCTTCCTGCTCGTACTTTCGCCGACTCTGCTGTAATCTGCTTCCAGAAATTGCAGCAGCAATTGTGTCTAGTATCCCCGTCCCTGCGCTGTCGACTGGATCGAAATGTATCTTGCTGCCACTCACGCCATCCCACACGTCCATGCTATGATAGGGCTGCGTTCGCGCAGCGTTGATACGTTCCCACGCTCCATTCTGTTTAAGGAATCGCACCGAAGAAGGCGTAAGAGACGAACATCGATTCGAAAAGGAATTCGGGTCGTTCGACGCTGAAGCCTTGAGCTCCTGCCCATCGATCAGGGCAATCTTCAGGTTCTTGGTGGAGGCATTGGAGCGCAGCGCAGAGACCAGAGATAAGCCGGCGGGTCCTCCTCCGATGCAGACCAAATCGTATATCTCGGGCTGCTGTGTCGATGAAGCTGCGGTATACACGCTCCTCCGCAGGCTCGGTGGGAGCGCAAGTAGCTGCGACAGCGCGCTCTTTGATGAGCGACTTGCTGGCAGCATTGCCATATCGTGCAATATCGTGCGCGGCGGATGCCTGAGGTGATGAGTGAAGGAGATTCACAAAGTGTCGAGGATCGACAGCGAGATGCGGCGATCGGAGCCCGGAATGTCGTCTTTCACATGCAGCGTCATAACTTTTGGTCTCACGCTTTCACAAGACACGAACCATTAGTGAGCATCCGTTGCTGTTGACGTCGCCCACCGCTTTGACCATCGGCGACATACCCAGATAAGTGCGCTCTCCTTCTCGCTGTCTCCAGCTGCTCCCACCGAATCCTCTCTTCACCCCAAACACACGATATGGCTTCCGGCGCGTCCAAGTTGATACCCTCCGATCCGGAGAAGGTGATGGTCCTTCGCAAGGTCACGCCTGATATTCTCACCTGCAGCACGCCTTTCTTGCGTTTCGGCAGGATCAAGATTGGTGGAAGAGGCACAATTGTTCGACTCGCGACGGGGAGTCTAGCCGTGTTCTCGCCTGTCGCGTTGACAGAGACAGTGAAAAAGGAAACACAAGACCTCGGCGGAAAAGTTGGATATATTGTAGCGCTCGATCAAGAACACCACATCTTCTTGGAGAGCTGGCACAAGGTGAGGATGGAACGCGGCTGATATTTGCAGCCATCAAGGTCGCATCTTTCTAACTCACTCCAGGCCTACCCGGAAGCCAAAGTCCTCATGCCCGACACCCTTCCTGCACTTCGCCAAAAACAGTCCTACTTCGAGATCCCGAAACCCAACGAGATCCTCTTCTACCCGAACAAGAAGCCCGAGATCTCGCAAGAGTTCGACGCTGACTTCGACTACGAATACGTTCACGCCCACGGAAACAAAGAACTCGTCTTCAACCACCGCAAATCGGGCACTCTCATCGAAGCCGATCTTCTCTTCAACTTGCCAGCTACCGAGCAGTTCAGTAAATCAGGCGTTGATCCAACGACAGGGATCCTGAGCAAGATCTTCAACGCGCTACAGCATACCCGAGGAGAAGCACTTGCGCAGAGGAGACTATTGTGGTATGGCTTAGCAAGCCCGCGTCCAGAGTTCAATGAGAGCATCAGAAAGATCAATGAGTGGAAGTTTGACAGGATCATTCCTTGCCATGGAGATGTGATCGAGACGGGTGGGAAGGGAATATTTGAGAAGATCATGCAATGGCACTTGGCGGGGACGAAGAAGAGCTCGTGAAAGAGATGCAGAAACTTGATCATGGGTTGACGCTTCAGATTATCGCTTCGGATGACTCCGAGGTCGAAAGAGCAGATGTGTAATCAGGATAATCGTCCCTCAGTCCGGCTTACCACAGCAGGCGCGTCGGCTAGCTGTATAGTGTAACATCTTGAAGGTTTTTCCAGCAACAACCACAAGACTTCGACTTCGCAACGCCTGGGGCTGGTGTTGTGAGATATGGCCGTTGTCAGATTGACTTGGAGCTTTGATGTTCAATGCACTTTCATCATCGCTAACTATTAACAGAGAACGCCTGAGCCTCCGAGCCTCCGAGCTATTGCACTGTCTCCATCCGCCAGTCCACACCTTCCAACTTGGCCTAGCGGGTCTTATATGCTCAAGGCCGACCGTTCGTGGAACGCGTTCCTCCGTCTTGGTCCATGACCGGCTCATCTAAGCTCCCAATGCGGGGTCTGCGGGCGCCCGCAGATCTTTGGAGAAAGACAGGGATGTTTACGTGACTGGCGAGCCGCGATCTCTGAGTGAAGAGCGCCACAATAGGCATCACACTCTGCAGCCATGATCCCGGTCCGCCTCGGTCCGGATGGTTCAGGCTCTAAGAACAGATCTGAAACCCATCAGTCTGTAAATTACGAGGTGGTGAGCAGGCATTGCGACTTCACCTCCTCCACTTTTGCCCTCTCCGCAGTGGTAGTATGTCATTGTGTCGAGTGTGGAGGACCTCTCGCCAAGGCAGTAAATTCGTCTTGAGCGGGCCTTGGACTCGGATCGATTTATACATATAAACGACTCGTCCACGGTTCAGTAACTCCACACTTGTTGCGAGACGAACTTGGACGCGCCAAGTACCTTCGGTCAAGATGCTGCTTCGATTCGTCACTCTTGCTTGTTCTCTGGCGGCAGCTGTATCAGCTGCTCCAACGAAGAGACAAGATGCCTGGCCATTTGCTCCATTCAAGACCAGCGGGAGGGACATTGTGAATACTAAAGGTGACAAAGTTGTCTATGCTGGCACGAACTGGCCAGGGCACAATGATGCGTCGTTCCCAGAAGGACTCCAATACCAGTCAATCGAGACCATCGTCTCGAAGATCAAGAGTCTAGGCATGGTTCGTACGAGCCGACCTCACACTCTCAGCTTGTTTTCTAACGTCTGATCGCAGAACGTCATCCGCCTCACCTACTCCATCGAAATGGTCGATGATATCTACTCCAACAACCCCAACTCTACTCTCAAGAATGCTCTCGTCCGCGCCATCGGCTCCGAAAATGCCACCATCGTCCTGGACCAGATCATCCAAAATAACCCCTCATTTTCCGAATCGACCACTCGTCTCGACGTCTTCGATGCCGTCGCCGCTGAATGTTACAAACAGCAAATCCTCGTCCACCTCGACAACCACGTCTCCAAAGCCGAATGGTGCTGCTCCACCGGCGATGGAAACGCCTGGTTCGGCTCCGAAGACTTCAACGTCGAGAACTGGCGTCGCGGAAACGCATTCATGGCCGACCACGCCAAAGCCTGGCCCGCGTACGTCTCTCAAGGCCTTCGAAACGAATTCCGTGATCCGAGCAATCCTGCTCTGAACTATGGCTGGGACTCTTGGTACGAGAATGTCATCCCCACCGCAGATGCTGTGAATGCCGCGAACCCGGATGCTCTCATCTTCTATTCCGGCTTGAACTTCGATACGGACTTGAGAAACGTCACGGCTGGCTTGCCATTGACTGATGATGGAAAGGCTTTCATCATTGAGGATTTCAGCTATGCGGATAAGATTGTGTTTGAGTTGCACAACTACAATAACAACCTCGGAGATTCGAATTGCGCCAACTTCAACCTCTATAGCCAAGGTTACAACGCCATGGATACGTCTTCTACGACAACGGCGAAGAACATTGCACCGGTTGTGTTGACGGAATTTGGGTTTGAGCAGACGGATACAGAATATCAGAGGCCGTACGCACAGTGTATCAAGGAGTATTTGACGGGATTGCCAGGTGGTCCGGGAGGATGGATTCAGTGGGCTGTTGGTGGGAGTTATGTGAGTTCTGATTTCCTCTGCCCCCTTCCGAGGTACGCTTGCTGACTTTGGATGATTTTTAGTACATCCGCACAGGAACTCAGGACTTTGAGGAGACCTGGGGCTTGTTGAGCCACGACTGGAGTGATTGGAGGTCGCAGGTGACGGTGGAAAACTACTTTGAGCCTTTTGTGCAGGCTACGTTGAATTAAGGAACCGCCGCGACTGGTTGGGATAGACATAAATTCACCCAATCAAGGCCAAGGATTGCCAAATTGTCATTTTCTTCATGATGTCTCAGCATCCTGGTAAGTAATCAGTGAAGATCTGATCGATTTTGAACAGACATGAACGATCTCAGACATCCTCTCATGAGGCAAACTGATCAGCATTACCCTGTCACGTCTTCTAGCTACTCGACTCACGAGTACAAATCGGCAAAGTCCAAATTAGACTGTAGCAGAAAGCCACCTGCACGAATCGTACCGTCGACGACCCTGCCATCACACAATCTTGGTCAACGAGAAACTTCCGAAAGCAACAAAAACACGTTTCCTGCCCCTCATGAATTCTTTGGTCCGCCGTTCGGCGTTACAAAAAATGGCCGACGGCTGGGGCTTGAACGTTGGAGGTGGCGCGGCTGGGCGTTTTCGATCGCAGAATTCCAAGACAGCCACATAACGCCATCTTCTGCAAGCCTCTTCGTCAGAATTCCTACAGTCAGCTTGAACCTCTTCGTGTTGCCGCGGCTTGTAGAAGCAGTTGGCTGCAATCGAAACCTCGCCTCGGTCGGCGGACGGATTTGCTTGTTGTGCTGAAGGATTGCTCAGCAGGCTTGCAGGCGAAAGGACCTGATCGACGAGCCACAAGCGAGCTGATTGACAAATTTCTTGTGACGATCCTGCTGGTCAGGTTTGAAGGAGAGCAGTTTTAGTCGGGGAAGAAGATCGCGGTGGCTAGTCTCTTTGATTGCCGCAGGGTGGTATGCTGTTGTTGCATGTTCCTTAGGAAGATTGTTTTGAGCTGTTTTGTATGAACAGAACTGTAGTCAGCAGTAGTCATTTGTGCATTGACTGGGAAAGATTGGTTTGGTTTCAAAAGTTTCTCTTTGCGGAAGTATGTAGGAACTAGGAAACCCGCCCAGTAACCTTGAGTGTCGCAACACTCCTGCTCAACAGTAGCCTCTTCACCGCAAGCTGGCAAACTCTGATATCTAAAATCCCCTTCTCTTTAACATTGTCAAATGCTAATGCTCATGCTCATTCCATCATATCTCATCAACTCCAGATTTAAATGCCTGGTTGGTACTTTTTACTTTTGTTGAAGTTCTAAATTGGCTCGGGGGCGAAAGAATTTATGCGCCGTTCTGTGAAATAGTTAGTGTCTGTGCCTCTTCAGTTGAGTTTTCGAGGGCTTCAACTTACGCCATTGTATGCGAGTCTGTTTGGAGAGCCGGAGCCAGCGTTCTGGACAACACCGGTGGTGGAGAGAGAGATGAGGCGGGAGCCGAGGTTGGCTGGGGTGCGTTGACCCTCGAGGGCGATGATGTAGGCAGCGAGACCAGCGACGTGTGGGCAGGCCATGGAGGTACCGGAGATGGTGCGGGTGGCAGTGGTGCCGCCGATCCACGAGGACTTGATGTTCACGCCTGGGGCGAAGATGTCGAGGACTGGGCCGAAGTTGGAGAAGCTAGCCTTGACATCGGAGGAGTCGGTGGCACCAACGGTGAAGACAGATGGCTCAGAAGCTGGGGAGGTGTTGCGGGCATCAACACCGTCGTTACCGGCAGCGACAACTGTGAAGACACCGTTGGCAACAGCGCTGGCGACAGCGTCGTTGGTGGCCTGTGAGAAGCCACCGCCGAGAGACATAGAGATGACAGAGCGTCCAGTGCGGCCATTGCTGCGAGCGTTGTTGACAGCCCAGTCGATACCAGCAATGACGCCAGAGTTGCTTCCGCTGCCGTTGGCACCGAGGACCTTGACGCCAATGATGTTGGCGCGCTTAGCAACACCGTAGGTGGAACCAGCGACGGTACCAGCGCAGTGAGTTCCGTGTCCGTTGCCATCAGTGGCCGACTCGCCGGAGATGAAGTTGGCACCCATGGTGGCACGGCCACCGAACTCAGAGTGTTGAGTGTAGACACCAGTATCGATCACATAGACGGTGGTGCCGGCACCAGCGGAGTCATCGTAGATGTAGCTGGAGCCTCCCCTGGCGCGGCGAGAGATACGGACGAGGCCGTACTCGGCCGGGCTCTGTTGCACGAGAGCGCGGTCGTTGAGGGTGACTGGAGCAGAGGCGTAGACCTTGCTGTCTGGCTCGATGCTGAGGACACCAGCGAGGTTGGCGATCAAGTCGACGACGTTGTCATCACCGTCGAAAGCGAAGCCCTGAGAGAAGTGTCAGTTGTGATGTTGCAATATGTGGTGGACCACACGAGCACGTACCTTGAAGCCGCCAATGTTGTACTCGTGCTTTGGCTCGACCTGAGCGGTGGTTCGGAGGGCACCGAGGACATTGGAGAGAATGCCACCGTCCTCAAGACGAGCGATCCAGCTGCCTTGGATGGTGCCTTTGTTCTGGCGACGATCGATGGTGGCAACACCAAGGACTGCTGGCACAGCCAGGAGGATGTTGAGGATAGAGTGCATCTTGATCGATGTCGAGGCTACTGAGGCTCGTGAATGAGAAGAGATGCTGTGTTGCTGGGTGCTGATCGATACTCCAGAGGTGGGATTGTTGATCACTTATATAGACATTTGGACATGCCAGCCTACCATCAACGCATGAGCGTGGATACTACATACCTCGGAGGCCTCAGTCGACGAATGTGGCAGTAGCGTGGCTAGTCGGATACACATCATCGCGTGCTAGTTCGCTTGCAGGTGCTCATCTGCGCGCATCGCCAGTCAAAGTGCTGCAATCGTACGGTATGCCGCTGGGTCCAACAAAGTTCCGGCTTAAGAGGCTGCATTAGTGACGTCCGTCCTATCGTGCAGGAGAATGGCCGTGGCAGTTGTGCCTGACCTGTTTACCGTTCACCATATTGGGCAATATCAGCGCTGCTCCTGGCGCGGGCTGGAGGAGGAGGGTGATGCGGCGAGCTGCGTGATCTTCACCAGCCTGGTGAGGTTGTTGATCTCCACGTCCAGCCAGTGGCATATCATCTTGGCAACGGTTGATCGCTTCGATTTCGAGAAGGAGCCAAGCTTGTACCAAGACCAGCGTTCTCAAAGTCTGACCAATGTTCATCGCGAACGCCACTCACCTCCCGATTGTAGTTAATCTGAAGGGGCAGCTAAGCATTTGTTCAAATACGCTTGTACAGTAAGGCTGCGACCTCCAAGTTTCGACAGACGTAGGAGGTACGCTTGCCGCCGGCGACGAGATTGGCCGGATCCTGCGCTACGGGCGTCTTGATGGAATACCAGCATAGCATTCGAGTCACGCTGGACTTTACTCTCCAAGTTCACATGGGTTTGCGCACGCGCAGAACCCAAGATGTGGTGCTCGCAGGAACAATGTGCTGGGTTGCTGTCGCCATTTTAGCGGCAGCCGTTGAAGGATGGGCCTGCAGCCACGTTGGTGGGGGGCCGAGCGCCGCCCGTAAGCCACTCATCGCTCTTCACAAGCTACTGACGCCGAACAACTGGAGCTGTACACCGTCAATCCCTGGGCGCTAGGAGAATAGCACCTCTCGCTTGCGATAAGAACAGGTATTGATCGACCGAGACAGTGCATCAGCCGCAGAGCGACAGTGTCACGCAAGAAAGCAACTTCCTGCGTCTCGTGGCTCTTAAACTTGCCGCGTGCCAAATGACAGGCCAGCGAGCGCGAGGATTATTCCCTTCTTGGTATTGAAACCGTTCATCATGGTTGTCAGCTCCAAGTGACTGGTTTGTCCGCATGGACGGTCAGAAGAGCTTCCAGCTAGCCGATAGTTGCTTTTGTCTTCTATGCATATTCCACATGCAAGCTAATATTCAATTCAGATTGCACCTTACCGAAACGCCTCGCCAACGCTTTTGCTTTCCGTCCAAGGCCGTCAAGCACGCGCTCTAAAGTGGTCAAGAGATAGTGAACCGCCGCAAATAACCGATTGTCGCGTGCCAATGCCGCCTCAGGTGTCATCCGTGCAGTCCAATTAATACCAAGGTCGAAGCGCGCTATCTGTGAAAGGCAGGTCAGCAGCCCTCCCTATGTTCACTGCGACTACTGATGCGGTTGGCACGACGTTTTGGGAAGGCAATTCCAGAAGCCAATGTGATCCAGCATGCATGCCTATGCTGCACCTTGTTGGCTATGGTAACATTTTCATACCACGCTCGATAGTCTGTAAGAGTCAGGTGGAACAGCAGTAGTGTAGTCGCTAACAGAAGGGCCGTGCACACAATGGCAAGTGTTGTGTTGTGATTGTCAGGTAGTCGGTGTTTCCCAGACACTGCGGCACTGAGATCTCATGGTTTTTTCTCGAAGATGTGCAGCGCTCGGATTCAGCCCTGTGGCATGCGTTGGCATGGCTGTCGTCTCACAAGGTATCGCTCCATGCTGAGGAACAGTATGGTACATCCGAGGCCGTCAAGGCACGCGTCTCGCAAACGCACTTCGACGTCCAGGTGCCCAGTGGTACCTCGTACACAAGCATCTTCCGGATCTCGAATCAAGTTGGCATGCCCGCATGGAAGAGTATGACTTTCGGCCTGGCGAAGTGTGTTTTGCGCATCTCGATGCGGGGACGGATTGAGGGCGCTGAGAGATTTCGATCACTAGGTGCAGCTGTAGCAGCGACCATGTGCCGCAATGCCGTTATGGTTCGGGTGCTAGAACGATAGATTCGAAGTTGCTGCAGTTGCTGCATGGAGTCTCAGACTTGTTTCAGTGGATCCAGCAGGTGTTATATGGCCGCGAAGAACACAATAGAGCCAGGTGCAGTTGTGTTCTCGTATTCACTAACTAGAGCGCCAGATCTCACTCGCAGGCGCCGCAAGCTTGTTTCGACACCAGGACAGTGACTCCAGCGCACGGGTCTCGTATCGCGCATACGGCGTTCCGAGGAGCTGTGATGCTGCTCGCAAGACCGACGTACACCAGAGACAAGCTGTCCTACGAGGTCACAAGTTTGGGTTGTTCCGTTTGATGATTCTGTTGATGCACTGGTCGTGGACAGAATTGTGGAAAAGTGCTGTTGTTGCAAGTCATGGATTGAGGCTTGGCACTCATCCTGCGAGATGGCTCGAGCACGACGCGAAAATGACACCGGATGAAGCTTCGCCTTCGCTCTTTTCTTCCACAACACGAGAAGTCCGTTCTACACCACACAATATTGGGCTCCCAATGGGAAGCAAGACGCTGCCTCTCCACGCCGTATCGCAGCGGTGCTTCCAAGCCCACAAGGACTGTCTGCCAGGAATACTCGCCAGGCCAGAGCCAAAGCTGCTCAGAATTCGAAGATCCGGGCGCTCCTGAACAAGACAATCATGTCGCCTTTGTTCGCATCACGAGTTCTGCTGATGCTGATATCGACATCCACGTGAGTATCTACGTGGGACAGGCTTTCGATCGCTAGCTTTTCATCCGATGTGAGCGCACTTGCCGAGCGCTATCCGCGCCGGTTCGCCATCATCAAATCCGGTTTCTCAGCCAGCGCTCGAAAGAACGAAATGGATGCAGGAAGCGATCCTGACATTCTCAAGGAGTAATCATTGCGAGCCCTTCCCGGCGCGCCTAAGCGAGCAATATTTCCGCTGAGACCTGTACAAGCGACATCTCTGAGCCTGTTGAACGTGAAGCTACTCTGACGAACACGATCAAAGCATACGAGACTCGCCCCGGAGAAATTGAATCCTGTTCGGGACCAAAAGAGCTGGAGTCATGGGCGCTGAACTCCAAGTTATCAATGGCCGTCGCTCGTTCAGCACAACTCCCTGCATGACATAGCTCTTACGCTAACTCGCCTTACGAGCTCGAAAAATTGTCCCGCTTTGGACCCTGCGAACGCTGCACACCAGCACAACACACATGCGTCTTCACAGCACGAACTGCTGCGACCTGGTGGTTGCGCATGCGTACGTCAATGAGCTCTTGTCGCATATCCACATTTGATAAGCCCAGGGCCTTGCCAATGCTGTGTAACCCATGCATTGTTCTCACCATCCGTGTCGTCGTAACAAGTCTTGGCTATTTTGGGAAGAGGTGTGGTAGCTAACCAGCTTTCCGCGGGCAGGATCGCTCGGCGTGACGCAAGATGCGGCAGCTACACATCCAAAGTATACGAACGTCAGTACACCATATTGCAAATTCGCTTGCCACGCCCAAGGTCTCGGCCGTCCGGGACACGGCTTTGCCTCTCCATACTGGTACACATGTAAGGAGGAGCCTCCGCACCAGGAAACAAGATTCAGGAACAACTTCCATCTTCAATGATATTACCATTGCCATTTCTCTCCACTTCTTTACTACTGCCCATTTGATCGACAGCAACAGATTGAGTGCAGAAATAAATTACAGCATCTGCAACAGAGACGAAATCATCAATGTCAAGCACTCGAGCCTACAGACCTAGATACAACGTCGACCTCCCACCTACCAAACCTCGCTCGAGCAAAGATCAGCGAATCTCGTACACTCCCTCTTCAAGCTCAACACCATTACCATCAAGGAGCAACTTCAATCTACCTGAAAGACCCAAGAAGGCAGAACCTCCCCGCAAACAATACCATTATGACAACAGCCGCAAGTCTTCGCCACCAAGTCGACAGCAAGAAGTGAGTAGCAAGACTCCCGCTGTTCGATCATCCAGGTCTACCAGCGACCCAACAAGAAGCCCGCGACCACGATACCTCGAAGTCGAGAGTGGAAGCAGCGGCAGAAAACAGCATCGAAGTCAGCCAAGACGAACCGAGGAGCGAGATGCTAGTCAAGTTCGATTCTCTCCGTTCGTGACTGTGCGGACATACAAATGAAGACAACGAGAAACAAAGAGCACGTGGTCTATTGTATCAATGGCAGATGAGTGGTGGGCCCGGTTCACCCGTCGCAGAGAGGGTAGAGCCCCGCAAGAGGACTTGATGATTGGGACAGAGGTTGGAGGGGTGTCGTAAGGCATACACCAGTCGAAGTGTCAGGCGCGGAGGTATGCTGGATGTTTGAGTACATGCATGGATGAGGAACGATCTGTACGATAGCGAGCGTCTTTTCATTGTTCAAGTAGCATAGACGGGCTGGCAGTCTCCGTTATCCCTTAGCGTTATGTACACTGTGTCAATCGTACTTGCAGCTATGTCTCTCGACAAGGTCTACAGCACTTTTTTGTCCGTAGCTGACCTCATGCGCGAGGATGCCTCAGTCTCACCTGGGAGAGTGCGCTTGTACTAGGCCATCTCCTTTCGATAGCACTCCTCATATGTACCGTGTTCGTGAAATTCGCATTTCAGAGTCTTCTTCAGTATACTGGAGCCTGCGCCCTCATTCAATCTCCTTGCCGCATAAACGGCGATGGCGTGAAGTAGCTTGCTCGGCCACTCATCTGACAGCAAGTCGACGAGATTGGTCAACGTGGCCATTTTGTATGCAATAAGTCTGCACAGCCCCGACTCGCCTCGAAAAACCTGATGCATGCCTTCCAGGGTTTCAGGCTCAGTAGGAACCCAGGTCAAGCCGCTGATGCGTTTTTGGCAGAATGTAAGCGCAACGGCGTCAATAATCGCGTCCCTGAAGGCTCAAGTTGGGAGTTGACGACCAAGGTCGTAGGCGAGGGCAATTTTGACCCAGATTGTACAATCGTTGCTTTCTTCGGCAAAGTCGACGTACATTTTACCGCTGCAGAGCCAGTTCAAGTAGATGTTGAAAGCCAGATGGTTGCTCTCCGACCGTAACGTCCACACTCCGGCTGTTCTTGATTCCACGCTGAAGTCTAGTGCTGGTTGGCATATGCTAAGCAAGCGTTCGTTGATGCTGAATGTAGCCGAGGATTCAGCCAGCCTGAAGCGGATCGGCCTCGAAGCGAAGTCGATTGTGTCATGTCCATGCAGGCATAGGCGCTTTATGGCAAGCGCTGGGTCCTTTGCGTTGGCCCTGTAGCACCTCTCAAACACAGAGCTTCGAAAGCTGTGCTCGTGGAAGGCGCAGTCGCACGCCATCTGGAAAGTCGACTCCAGCAGGTCCTCTTCGGGAAATTTGAGCAGCTTGACAAGCTCAATCGTGAGTGCATGTGGCCAACTTTCGTCGATGGATTGGATCTGATCCTCTAGCTTCGCCAGTTCGCACGTCATGAGAAATCTCATTGGTGATCCTGGCAGCGTGAATTCGTACAAAGTGTGCAGTGCCTTTGCGGAAGGCAGACCCGCACGAGTAAACCATACGGCCGCCGCGTCTGTGAGCGAGTCCTTGAAGTTGATATCGCACAACTTGTCCCCCAGCGCATATGTGCGGAACATCAAAGTCCAAGCAGCATCCCGCTCATCGGTGCTCAAGTTCCGGGGGTTGTCCAAGCAGATCTTGCCGCGATACAGCCAGTTCATGTATACATTGAAGGCCTGCTCGTCGTCTTCCACCATCTCGACAACGCCACTCCTGCCCTCGAGCCATTTTCGGTGCAGAGCGGTCTCAAAGTAGGCAGAGCTCTTACAGATCAAAGCCGCGGGCACATGGAAGTACTTACGTGTTGGGCCAACGATGACGATGATTTCTGCCGACGAGAAATCTATCGCTTCATCGGCGCGTTTCAATATGTCTGGTATTGGCGCGGGGGCGCTCATCGTGATTGGTGATTGTGTCTTCGTCGTGTGTTGTGTCGACCGAAAAGCTTGGTGCACGAGATGTTTTGGTATCTTGAAGCGCTTGCCGGAAACAAAGCACGGGCAGACAACACCCTTCAAATCTCACGTAGGGGTCGCTAAGACCAGATCACAATTCGTGCCAGAAACGTGCTGCCCAGTTACCGTGGATTCAATCCATATCCATCGCATCTGGATCGTTTTCCACTTCGTCCAGCTCCGTCACGTAGCCCATGCCATATCCGTGAGCCACTTCTGTTGGCTCGTCCGCGATCTGTCCATACTGGCGATCCATATCTCGTTGTCGAGCTTCCATCGCGGCCTTCTCACGCGCACGCTGCCCGGCCTCTACTATCGCGTATCTCACTGCGTCGCGGCTCTCTTCCACCGATAGCGACTTTGGTACACTGTACAGCACCAGCTCTTGACCTTCCACGTCCTCAGCCTTGCCCGTCAAGACATGCTTCGGTATCCTGCTGAAGTGCTTCTCGATATCCGGAAGAAAGATCAACCTCTCTTCAGTTGGTTCAGATTCTGCCAGTTCGGCGTCGAGATCATGGATGAAGACGCGATCGCGCGTCTCATCCACCTGCATCATGCCATCTGCGTCTGCTACGGGCAATGTGTCCAGTGTGCTCAGCGTGGGCTTCGTCGGCTGCGAGGAGCTCGAGACCGGGATGTAGTAGGAGCTGCTCGCGTGTGTGCCATTGATGCTGGGCTCTGCATGATACTCTGTCAGATCGACGAACGCACCGTGAAGATTGAAGCCAGACTTACCCAAGTTGAGCAAGTTGAAGCGTTTGGCGAAACGCTCGTAGTCATTCCAGCAGTTCTGCGCAACTGACTCATCGGCTTTACGCTTTGTCCCTCCTCCTCCACCGCGAACACCCTCGCCCGCCCCACGCGCGCCATTGACCGACATCACTTCCGTCTGCATCTTTCATCGCTGCTGTTGTCGCGCAACTCTTCGCGCCAGGCCGGCATTCATCTCATCGCGTCAACTGAAGTAGTGTCGAAGTGAGCGGTGTTAGAAGTCGTCAGGAACGCAGCTGCATGCGAAGCTTCTCGACCCTCCTCCGCTTCTTCAAGCCTGCTCCAGGAATTTCTAGAAACTCCGCCACAAAGGCCACCACCGCACGCACGCCACCACCTCGCGTCCTCCACCACTACTCCTTCCGCAGAATGGCCTCCACGACGGGCCAAGAGCCTGAGTGGAGCGCCGTCAAGGTGCGCAAGACTTTCATCGAGTAAGTCTGATCGTGCCCTCCTTCCTTTGACACTAGCGCCATTGAGCAAGGGCAATTCTGCATATGCTCTGCACCTACCCGAGTCTCTGCTCCTTGCACTTCCTTTGCGCACGTCTCACTCGTTTTCCGGACTACGAGTGAATTCGGAAGACTTGTGCCAAGGGTTCGCGACTTGTCATTCGAGTCACATCTCTCAAGACGATGCCATCTATGAACAGCACTGACCCAGCCAAGGTACTTCGAAAAGAATGGCCACACCTTCGTGCCCAGCAGCAGCGTGGTGCCGCTTTCGGACCATACGCTGCTGTTCACCAATGCCGGCATGAACCAGTATAAGGCCATTTTCCTTGGGACAGTAGATCGTGACTCGGATTTCGCCAAGCTCAAGCGTGCTGCCAATTCACAAAAGTGTATTCGTGCTGGAGGCAAGCACAACGATCTGGACGATGTTGGCAAGGACTCCTACCACCACACATTCTTCGAAATGTTGGGTAATTGGTCATTCGGCGATTACTTCAAAGAGGACGCCATCAAGTTCTCATGGGAGCTACTCACGAAAGTGTACGGACTGGAAACAGATCGTCTCTATGTCACATATTTCGAAGGCAAGGCCGACGCTGGGCTCGAGCCAGACCACGAAGCCAGAGACTTTTGGCTCAAACAGGGCGTGCCTGAAGATCACATCTTGACTGGAGACATGAAAGACAACTTCTGGGAGATGGGCGACCAAGGCCCATGTGGCCCGTGCTCGGAGATCCATTACGACCGCATCGGTGGACGTAACGCATCCGACCTTGTCAACCAGGACGACCCGAACGTGATTGAGATCTGGAACAACGTCTTTATTCAATACAACAGAGAGCCCGACAAGTCACTGAAATCGCTGCCCAGCAAGCATATTGACACAGGCATGGGATTCGAGCGTTTGGTCTCCATCCTGCAAAAGAAGTCGTCAAACTACGACACAGACGTCTTCACGCCACTTTTTGCTCGAATTCAGGAAGTCACTGGTGCTCGTCCATACCAAGGCAAGTTTGGAGCTGAGGATGCAGATGGCATCGACACTGCTTACAGAGTTGTCGCGGACCACCTGCGATTACTGACATTTGCTATCTCGGATGGTGGCGTGCCAAACAATGTCGGTAGAGGATACGTCGTCCGTCGTGTGTTGCGTCGCGGAGCACGCTATGCTCGCAAGTACTTCAACACCAACATTGGCAACTTCTTTTCCAAGCTGGTGCCGACACTGGTCGAGCAGATGGGTGATATGTTCCCAGAAATCAAAAAGAAGCAGGAAGAGGTCAAGGAGATCCTCGACGAAGAAGAAGTGTCCTTTGCGAAGACACTCGATCGTGGAGAGAGCATGTTCGAGAAGTACGCCCAGAACTGCAAGGCAAACGGAACGAAGACTTTGGCCGGTGCAGATGTTTGGCGGCTTTACGACACTTACGGATTCCCTGTGGATCTGACGAAACTGATGTGCGAGGAACGAGAACTCGAGATTATTGACGAGGATGTCGCCGAGGCACAAGAGAAGGCACGTCTTGCCTCTATGGGCGCAAAGAAGGAGGGTAAGTTTGAGGCTTCGCCATCAAGGGTCAAGAGCGAATGTACTGACGGGCATCAGGCGCGACTCTTGTTAAGCTTGACGTACACGATATTAGCACACTGGAAAATATGCCAGATGTGTCGAAGACGGACGATTCGCCCAAGTTCCAGCGCGAGAACATCAAGGCTACCATCAAGGCTATTTACCACGGCCGCAAGTTCCTACAGTCCACTGCAGAGATCCCCGAAGGCGAGCAATTTGGTGTCATCCTCGATAGGACGAACTTCTACGCTGAACAGGGTGGACAAGAGAACGACACTGGCCGCATTTTGATTGACGGGGTTGCTGAGATCAAGGTTGAGAACGTTCAGCAATATGCTGGATATGTGATGCACACTGGATACGTTGGATATGGCCAACTGAAGGTCGGGGACGAGGTTCTGGCCGAATACGACGAGCTGCGAAGACAACCCATCCGCAACAACCACACCGGAACCCACGTTCTCAACTACGCTCTGAGAGAAGTGCTTGGAGACGATGTCAACCAGAAGGGATCTCTTGTTGCACCAGAGAAGCTACGATTCGATTTCAGCCACAAGGCTGGCGTGACCGACGAGGAGCTCACCAAGATTGAGGAAGTGAGCACGAACTATATTCGCCAGAATTGCGAAGTCTATGCCAAGGATGTGCCTTTGGCCACTGCACGTCAAATCAATGGCGTTCGCGCAGTATTTGGAGAGACATATCCTGACCCAGTTCGTGTCGTTTCCGTGGGAATCTCGGTGGAAGACCTTCTGGAGAACCCATCGGATCCTAAGTGGAATGACATTTCGATCGAGTTCTGCGGTGGTACGCATGTCAAGAACACCACTGAGATCAAGGATCTCGTTGTGATCGAAGAGAGCGGCATTGCCAAGGGTATTCGTCGTATCATTGCAGTCACCGGTCAAGAGGCCCACAAAGTGCAGGCTGAAGCCGAGACATGGGACAAGGAAGTCTCCGCCTTGGAGCGCCTCCCGTATGGCCCAGATAAAGAAGCCAAGACGAAGCAACTAACTGTGGATCTGAGCAAGTTGGAGATCTCTGCCTTGCAGAAGACATCCCTTCGCAACCGCGTCGCTGCCGTTGCAAAGGCCAACCTGGATCAACAGAAGGCCGCTCAGAAGGCAGAGAATAAGAAGGTCCTCGACGCCGTCACGGATCATTTCACCAACAATGCCGACTCGAAGACACTTGTGCTGTCCCTTCCGATCTCTGCCGGAAGCAAAGCTATCCAGGAAACAATCAAGGTCGTGCAGAACAAGCAAAAGGAGAAGACGGTCTACTTGGTCGGCAAGACCGATGACGGCAAAGTCGTTCACGGCTGTCACGTTTCTTCTGATGCTCAGGCCAAGGGCGCCGATGCCTCCAAGTGGTCTGGTGAAGTCGCTGCTCTTGTCGGAGGCAAGGCAGGCGGTAAGGGGCCCACTTCGCTTGGACAGGGCACAGACGCCTCAAAGGTGGATGAAGCCGTTGAAGCTGCGAGGAAATACCTCGAGAGCTTGAGCCTGTAGCAGACTTGTCTGCTCTACTGGGTCGTTGAACACTGAACACTGAGCCGAGTGTCGATTCTACTGATTCTGCTACTTAACGATGAATGGCGAATGCAGAAGACGGTCGTGTTGGCTATAGCATTCAGCAAAGCAACGAAAAGATAGATCCCGCAAAGCATCATGCTTTCCTTCTTGCTGGAAATCAAAACACATCTGATCGCTTCTTCTTGCCAGCTTGTTCTCGGATGCTCCGTCTCCATCGCCATCACCTGATCGTATTATTCGTCTGTGCACCCAAACAGACAAGCATCTAGATTCTCTTTTCGCTTTACCCCTTCTAGTCACTTTCTTGTCGATCACTCGGTGACGCCGAAAGTTGGATCCCTGTGATCCTTGCGCTGCCGGTCGGAGTGGCCTTTAGTTCTGCGGACTTCCGTTAGCTGCCGTGTTGTCTGAGACGAGGGAGTGGTGGTTTTGAGAGGGATAGAGTTTGGGGTATGGAGGTTTGTACGGCGTGGCCGAGCAGGAAGGGATGCGAGAGGAAGGGTCTTTGTCTTGGCAACATGAGAGGGTTGTTCGAGACGAGGAGTTTGAGGACGAGAGGGAAGAGTGAGAGTTGGAGATGTGATGGGATGGTATAGGATTCAGATATGGTGGTCGTGGAACGAGTTTCGTTGATGTTGGGTGTGAGTTTCCAACAACAGTCTTACCTTCCACATCCCATTGATCAAACGCAGCTTCATCCTCTCTCCTTCCATTCATGCAGCATCACACTACTGGCCTTCCTCCTTCGCATACCTTCACCGATCCTCCAAATATCACGCCACGCCAATACGCCTCTAACCGTGCTTTGCGCTGACCGCACCTTTCGGAGTGCCCTTCTCCCAAGCAAACACCCACTAGCTTCCGCGACTCTTCCTCTCACAACATCCACAACATCACCTCTCGCTTATGCCCTTGTTTCGTCTTCAAGCATCCTAGTCCCGTATTCTCGGAGTCGCCGTTAGATCCCAAAGAGTTTCGCATTCGAAGCGAGGATTTCTGACAGGGTGCTAGTCATGATTGTGTTACGAAGAGGAGCATAAGAGAGAAGGCACGCACGTGATGGGCTCTTTGGGATGGGAATCGAGCATTGTGATGTGCTCTGCACGTACATGGTACATCATGCGCTAAGACTTAGCGCACATGCTCGTGGCAGTGAACATGGAAGGCAGGGAACGCGTTGTGGTGTGCCAAAGGATCAGTCCTAGTCTGAGTTGTACGTACATACATCTTCATAAACCTCCTCTTCTCCACTTCACCAACTCTGCACTTCGCTCTGTGCTGGCTACTTCGATTGCGATACTTCATGCAAGTTCTTAACAGTCAGCTTCCAGGCAGAGACGTGAGAGATGAAAGAAGACACAGGGTATTGAAGAACGACGGTATGTTTTGCACACACGTCGATTTGTTTCTCAGAGTTTTGATAATCTAGCTAGCTTTCTTTTGTCAAGCCGCTTGTTCCTCGCTTTGATGAATCGCCCATCTACCGTTTCCGCTAAAACGCACCAAGTAAAAACACAAGAGCTTCTCGTAAACTCATGACAAAAGAAGTCGGGCCAACCTCTATGCTGCGCCAGCAGAGACCGGAGGCTGGATAACCTTGGTCACCTGCGCGCCAGCGCGCACGATGCGGTTGCCGTCGGAGTCCTTGTAGATGGTCGAGCCCTGGCTCTCCTTCTCGGATCGCTTCCAGATCTCGACCTCCATACCACCGCGGATCACACCCACACGCATTGTTGAGAGCAGGTTGTGTGCGGCGTTGCTGTGCATGTAGACACCGCCGTTGAACATGGCGGTGGCGTCCTTGCCGAGTCCGCTGCGGATCATAGCCTTGCCACCTGGGTGGTCGTTGATGAAGTCGGACACATCGTGAACAACGCCGGCGACAGCGATGAGAGCGCGACCGTTCTTGACTTGGTCAACGTAGTCATCCCACTCGAGAACTGGGAGCTGCTCAAGAGGAACACCCCAGTCGAGCTTGGCACGCTTCTGGTCAAGCTTCTTCTGCTGCTGCTGAAGACGGCCCTTCTCGATCTCGTTGGCGCGGAACTGCTTGAGATCGTAGGCGAGGCCGAGCTGCTTCATTGTCCAGATGAACCACTTGGTTGGGTCGTACTGGTGCCACTCGATGGCGTTGCGGTAGTCAGATGGGAACTCGTGGTGGAAGTTGTGGTATCCCTCGCCGAGAGTGACCAGGGCGGTGATGACGTGGTCACGAGGAGAGTTGCGGTCGTCGAATGGCTGGTCGCCGAGCCAGTGGGCAAGCGAGTTGACGCAGAAGGTGGCCTGCTGCACGAAGAAGATGCGGAGGATACCGGCGTAGATGAAGCCACCGAGCCAGTCGCCCCAGCCGAGACCAGCAACAAGCGATGGGAAGATGAGACCTGCGAAGATGACGACCTTCAGATAGTGCTTGTGCTGCCAGACGACCACGGCATCATCGTTCAAGTCGGAGATGTCGGTACGGCCAATGCGCTTTGGGTTCTGCTTCATGAGCATCCAACCGAAGTGCGAGTAGAGCAGGCCCTTGCGGACGCTGTATGGGTCCTTCTCGGTATCGGTGTAACGATGGTGAGCACGGTGATCGCGAGACCACCAGCGGATGGAACCCTCAACGGCGCCGCCGCCAACGAAAGCCAGGAACATCTTCAGTGGGAGAGATGCAGAGTATGATGTGTGTGCCCACAGTCGGTGGTATCCTGCAGTGATTCCGAGGCCAGTGGCGAAGTAGTAGGCGACAGCCCACACTGCAGTCTGCCATCGAAGTGGTGTCCAGTACGAGTAGATGAGGCCAGCAATTGGAATGCCAACAATGAGAACCACGTTCAGCCAGTTGACGTGCTTGTACCAATTCTTCCTCGTCATCGGCGTCTCAGTGATGTGTGGCTTCTTTGGATCGTACTTCGAGTTGCGGTTTGGCTCAGACTTGCTGGCCATGGTGGGCGCCTTGCGATCCTCGGAGATCTTGTCCGGGTCGATGGCCTGCATGCCGGCGGTGGGTTGGTGGGATGGCATATTTGCCAAGGAGGTGGGTAGCGTGCTCGTCAGGCGGCTACGTCGAATGTCGGACGGTATCGATGTGTGGTATGGTGCTCAGGTCGAGCAGTACACGATCGGACAGTAGGGAACGAAAGTCGTTGGTAGGTGTTGATGTCCGGAAAGGTGGTGGGCAAGAACAGTGCAGGACGCTGGGCAAGAGCGGTATATAACGAGCGAAAGTGGCGTCGGAAGGCAGCTTCCTTTACGCCGTGCACGCAAAGTCCTCGGCGAGTGAGGAGCGGTTGCTGCTCTAGGCGCGCAACGGTGAGATCTCGCAGACGAGGAAAAGCGGAGAGTTTCTAGGATCGGTTGGCGGGTTGTGTTCAACAAAAATTGACGTCGAGCCAAGCCGTCCTTTTCCGCAACCTGCAGGAACACCAACGCTTTCTGCTATACGGACCGCTTCGCCAGCAGACAAGTTCGAGGAGATCCAAGTGAGCAAAGTACAGCTATGCACTGAGTCTGGTATCTTCTTCACTTCCACAAGTCACTTTGTTTCGCTCAATTCACTTGCCGCTCGAAACAAAGATGTCCCCAGTTGGAGGAATTGAGTTTCGGAATGTCAGCCTTAAAGACCCTCGACCAGGGTAGCGCCACCGTTCTCGTTCTCGTGAACGCATCCCGCCTATAAGCACGCAGCGAACGCGATCAGGCACAGCAAGCAAGGAAACACCCGTCGGTATTGTTCTGTGATAACAACACCACTCCACCGTTCTCGCGCTCGCACACAACAAACAGCTCACACAGTCTTCACATGCATTCTTTCACATGCGACAAACGGGATCCTTATCATCATATACATCATGAACGATGTGGTTGACTCCCAACCATTGTAGCTCCCCCGGATCCCAACTGTCAACTGCAGGGGAATTACGCAGAGCTCTCCTGGTTGCCGCTTCGCACGGATGTCAGCAAATCAAGGACAGGACAGCAATCTGATGTAGGTCAAGCCTGTCATGCATACCTCCGTAGTCTCGTCTCTTTTCCCTGTGCGAAGGAGATGCCAATCATCGTGGGGAGATGGATGGCGAGACCAATGGATCGTCATCGTGGCGAGAGAGAAGCTTGGCGCTAGCACGAAAGGACCTGAGGCCGAGAACGTGGTCGAATACCCGAATTTACCCGACCGGATTGCCAAGTCCTTCTCTGTATCAGCCAGATCAGACTAGATATGAGTTGAGGTTGGTGTTCATCCTTACGATAGAGTTCATAGCGATTGCATTCCAGCGCTGATGAGATATGCGGCTTCACTTGTTGTGAGGCATTCTTGTTCAAAGCTCGATTAGACGAATTCTTGTAAAGTGTTGAAATGAAATCACGATTTCAACGGCAGCACCTGGGGTGAAACGAAGCATATTTATCGCAGCAATGAGGGCGTAGTGTTAGGATCGTCGGCAACAGTCTTGTATGTATCGGTCAAAGGTCATTCAAGCCGTCATCTAAGCATTATAGTCATGAACAGCGTTGGGCTTGGCCATTGCTCGTACCCTCATCAGTGAGCCTTTAAGGCTGCCAGGCAGTGTGCTTAGTCCCAAAAAGAGAATGCTGTTATTTATAGCATAGCTCCGATCGCCTGTCGCATGGCATAGAAATGAGAGCGACCTGAGTGGCGCTTCTAAGCTTTTGCAGCATTGCTGATCCAGCCCGCCTCCACCAAAAATTCAAAAACTCGACCACCCTTGGTGGTGTCGATCTTACTGATCTCCCGCACATTCTTCTTCTTCAGCTTGCCATCGTACTTCATCGCCTCCCTCAAGACTGCATCTTTGATGCAATTGTATGCCTTGGGGTGTAGGCGGAGCTTATTGCACAGATCTTGCTCCGCGGGTTGTAGTAACTGCCAGTCCGGTGCCGACTCTTCGTCCCAGTTCGCGGGTGCCAGACCTGGTATGGGCGGAAGATTGCTCTTTTTCGCTGAGTCGTTGTTTGGTGTACCGTTCGGCTGTCCGCGCTCTGAGTGAAGTCTCACGGGCAGGTCAGCTTTCGTTGTATAGTCCACCACGGCCTGTGCCACTTCAGGTGCACCCTTGTCTTTGTCAGCAAGCTTCGGCCGGACGCCATTTGTGAGACGATCGAATTGGCCAGGCTGTGGATAGGATCGTGCCAGACGCGCAGCCTTCTCTTGCTCGTACTGATGTCCATGCTGGAGTGTCGATATGCGCATTCGCCTCCATTCTTGCAGCTGCGCGATGGCTTGCCGCAGGTTCTGCTCCTTCTCGAGATCCTCTGAAAACGTGACAAAGTCTGGATGTGACATTATCCTTGCGAACGGCTTCAACTTGTTATGCAGTTCACGCTGTTCCCTGGTGCGCTTCTTCTCGACAGCCATGTTCTTCCGATAGTCCAGCAGCCTGTGATTGAATATGACCTTTTTCCGATCTGTCCGTGCCGTCAACCTGTCGTTGTATATTGTCATGACCACCATCTTCAGCTCTGTCTCGGGATCGAATTGCTTTGTTGCAGGATTGATGCCCTCTTCTGGCGAGAACTGCATGTGCTGCACTGCTTCTTCGGCCTCATTGAAGTACTCATTCTCGAACTCCAACCGACCAGGCATAAACCCGGCGACCTCGTGACAGCTGGGCACGGAAGACGTGGGCTTTGCCGGTGTGGGTGCGATATGTGCTTGATCGTCCTTTGCCTGTTTGCGCTCATCTATCCGCCTCTTCTTGCGCTGCTGGAACTCTTCTCGTGGCACGGCATCGCTGAGACTCTTGTCTCTCGGGTCTGCTCTTTCGGGCAACGGGAATTTCGACGAGTTGATGTAGGTTTGGATGTAGTGGTCCCGCACCTCGTCCTTCTCTCGGTAGCCGCCGATGTGGTCTGCAATGTCCGCGAAGCTCCCCAGGCCGTATTGCTCTGCACCCTCGAGTAGCAAGAGTTCCTCGTCCGCGCCCCATCCTTCGTCAAAGATGGGTATGCTATGTGGCTCGATCACCTGGTAGGCATGTGTGCGTGGGTCGTGATGTAGGTTGGCTTTGCCCTGGGAAAAGCAGGGCACGCAGAGGTCGTAGTCGTTGCAGCTCTTACTCGCACACCTGATGCGCACAGTCGCAGTTATGTCGTTGCTGCACACATTACAGATGTACTTGACACCGCCGCCAGCAGAGGTGCCCTCGGACTTTGGCGCGCCCTTTGCTTTTGTGATGAGACCCATCGCAGTTGTGTTCGCGCGCGTATACTATATGCGCATCGTAGAATATCTGCGATCGAGCCTGCACGGAGATTTGTTGTTCAGTTATATTGCACAGCCGTGGTAGTGAATGCGCAATTCAGTGCACACGCGAAGTGAAGGCTACGGGTGACGTGCTGAAGCAGGTCGGAGGTGCGGAGTGTGAAGCGACCGACCACCGACAACCAGTTTACCAGCATGTGGCTTTACAACGAAGTGTCAACACATTTCACTCAAGCACCTGACGTTGAGTACAAGACCTTCGTTATGCGCAAATGGCGAAGATGCGATGCGCGTCGTTCACCAGAGCATCAAATGCAACCACACACCCCCGAGTGAAACTGCCGCTGCGTGAATCTTGGTCACTTTATGCAGCCGCAATGAATGATACCAGCCCAAGTGCAGGCTAGTGTGTATCAGTGTGGCACCTTGAAGCTGCCATGTATCAAGAAACAGGACTGCTTTTCGCTCACTGTACGCACAACGACGCTGCAATCCGTGGATATCAACGGCAGTGGCGATGCCACGACCGGATGACATGCCGTGCTGCCACTGACATCGCAGACTCGTGGCAAACAGGAGCGGAGCGCGCATCGCCGAGCATAACGTTGCGTGCACAGACACAATCGGCATCATGGGCTTTTGAAGCAAGCCGCGAGGGCAGCGTCGACAACAATGCTGCTTGATGCGTGAACGACGGCTGTTGCGCACAAGATCATCAGGGGGTGATACGGTAGGTACAGTCGTAATAATAGTACAAGCTCTCTCTCTCCGGAAATCAATGTAGTCTCATATATTGTGGTCTCAGCCTTACGGACACCTGGGCTGCCCGCACCCTGGATTGCGCTGCACAGCCCCTTCTCCTTGCCCATGCACTCACTCCTAGGTCAGAGCAACGCAGCACGCTCCCAACGAGTCTGCGCTTGCATGCACACATAGCCACGCAAACACGCTCTTCCACTTCTCCAGTTGCGCAAATAGCCGTGCCTCGTGCTGCGCTTGCTCCAGCAGCATTACCAATTCATCCTTTCAAGCCCAAGAGCGGGACGCCGGCCGCTACGAGGGGCAGACTAGCCAGCCTACTGCCTCAGAACATCTTCACCTCGCTTGTTTCAACACGAACGCCGCCCTTTTCACCTCGCTCCTCGTCGTCATCGCTCAGCACCAGAGGGTCGGCGACCCACGTGCACAAGCAGCACACCACCGGGCGAGCCCCCTCTCCCTCGCCTGCGTCCTGAGCGACTGCCACTATCTCACATCCAGCATTCACAACAAACATGTCGTGGAAGCTGACCAAGAGTATGCGACAGGCGGTGAACACCGAACTTGGAACAGCCAGCTGACTTCTGCCAGAATTGAAGGACACCCATCTGGGCGCTCCCTTCGCGAACACCTTCTCTCGCTCCTCATCACAGTCCACGATTGTCGATCCACCACAAAAATCGCCCTCGGCGACCGCCACGCCTGGCACGCAGACCCCGACCGCCCCATCGTCCACGGCGACTCCTTCCAATGGCGCCGCTGATCCGCAAGGCATCGCTGCCTCTGAACAAATGGCGACTGCGCCCGCCGCTCCTGCGAAGCCCGGTATTCTCATCTTGACACTTCACGAGGGCAGGGGCTTCAGTCTGCCTCCCGGACAGGAGTCACTCTTTCAGCGACCCGGACATGGCGGTAGCATGAGCGCCGGATCATTCTCCGGCAGCTACATGGGTGGCAACAGTGCTCGACCGGGCTCGAGTGCACAGAATCAAGGCGGGTTCCGCCCAGTTTCAGCCAGTGGTGGCGGAATCAATAACATGCCCTCTACGCATGGTCGCTACAGCAGCAAATATCTACCTTACGCACTCGTGGACTTCGATAAACAGCAGGTGTTTGTGAACGCTGTTTCTGGAACGCCAGAGAATCCCGTCTGGGCAGGAGATAGCACACAGTACAAGTTCGATGTCAGCAGGTCCACCGAGATCAGCTTGTCATTATACATTCGGAACCCGAACTCGCAAAACAATAACAGGCGAGAGGATATCTTCATTGGTACCTGCCGCGTGACTCCCACCTTCAGTGAAGAGGGACAGCCTGCCGCTGCGGACCAACAGGCACAGCAGAATGCAGACAAGAGCAAGAAGGACAAGACCGCGCCCCCGGCTCCTCAGTCGAGCAATGGCCAGAGTTCTGGTGTGTCCTGGCACGAAGTTCAGTTTGGGACTGGTTCCATCAAACTTGGCGTCAAGTTCGTGGAGAACCGACAGAGATCACTCAAGGTCGAAGACTTTGAGCTGTTGAAGGTGGTAGGCAAGGGCAGTTTCGGCAAAGTCATGCAGGTCATGAAGAAAGACACGAACCGGATCTACGCACTCAAGACATTGCGAAAACAACACATTATTTCAAGATCTGAAGTGGCGCACACTTTGGCAGAGCGGTCCGTCCTGGCACAGATTAACAACCCCTTCATCGTGCCGCTCAAGTTCTCGTTCCAGTCGCCAGACAAGCTTTACCTGGTGCTGGCGTTCGTGAACGGCGGCGAGCTGTTCCATCACTTGCAGAAGGAACAACGATTCGACATTAACAGGTCGAGATTCTACGCAGCCGAACTGCTTTGCGCACTCGAGTGCTTACACGGCTTCGGAGTCATCTACCGTGACTTGAAGCCTGAGAACATTCTGGTGGACTACGTTGGACACATTGCGCTGTGTGACTTCGGGCTGTGCAAGCTTGATATGAAGGATGACGACAAGACAAACACATTCTGTGGAACTCCGGAGTATCTTGCGCCTGAGCTTCTCCACGGTCAAGGCTATACGAAAGCAGTGGACTGGTGGACATTGGGTGTACTGCTCTACGAGATGTTGACTGGTCTACCTCCCTTTTATGATGAGAACACAAACGAGATGTACCGCAAGATTCTGTCCGAGCCTCTGCATTTCCCAGGACCCGAAATCGTGCCGCCAGCAGCACGGGATTTGCTTAGCAAGCTGCTCGACCGAGATGCTACGCGGCGACTGGGTACCAACGGTGCTGCTGAAATCAAGGTAAGTTTTTCGCGGCTCCCTGCCTGCTCCAATATCTAGCACTTGAGCTGGGCCTGCAGTTGTTGGTTTGGCTGCAGGAACAGAGCTAGTGCAGATTATTTTGGATTCACGATCGCTAACATGATGCTCACAGGCACACCCATTCTTCCATAGCATAGATTGGCGAAAGTTGCTTGACCGCAAATACGAGCCAAGCTTCAAGCCAAATGTGGTCGACGAACTTGACACTGCCAACTTTGACAAGGAGTTCACATCGGAAGCACCCACCGACTCGTACGTGGAAGGACCTATGCTGTCGCAAACGATGCAGCAGCAATTCGCAGGATGGTCGTACAATCGCCCAGTGGAGGGGCTCGGCGACGCAGGCGGCAGCATCGCGCGTGGCAGCGGGTTTGACCAGCGATAACTTCGACACGTGGGGCAGGCTTACAGATTGCAAAAAAGTGCATATGGTGGCATTGGTCAGCGGTTTGTAACGGAGAGAGAAATTTCGTTCTCTGCTAGAAGCGATTACAAAGAATTGATCGCCAAGCATTGTCGCGATACCAGTCCGGAAGGCTCGATTGAAAGCAGGACTGATTCAGTCTCGCCAGTATCATCCGCAATTTGTTACTAAACTCGTCAGGCCACAGAGGCAGAACTGCCATTCTCGCGCCATATCTCTCGGAGTTTGGCATGTGGACAGCTTTTGGGGGTCGATGTCACTGTCGGCAATGAAATCGATTCTTGTTCGGGAGTATATTTCTGTCTCAGATGCCGATCCACTGTCGTCACGTGGCAACCACGCATTGAGCACGTTTGAGGGAACGAGTACAGCATGGTCGTGGCACGTTGATGTGTACTCCAACTGATATGAGTGCTATTATCAAAGTAAACGCATGCTTATATTGCTCACTTGTATCCCGCACCAGCCGAATTGCGGAATTCGCGGATCTGTTTTGGCGAAGTGAGGCAAGCCCTGGTGGGGATGAAGTCATGCGTCGTGGCGGGGCAGGAACGGCGGGACAACTCACTTGCACGGACTCGACTTTTGTTGTACTTCCAAGCTCAACAACCTTGCTGCGAGCACTCAATTCTCCTTTTCAACCACTTCGCTCACTCACGGAGCTTTTGTTTGTTTGGACCTCGCACACAGACACACGTAAGCAATTCTTCCGCACTGCCACTCACCAGGACTCGACCAATTGACCAGGCAGCTAGCTCACAGCACACCGCATTGACCTTTAGAAACGAGACATTGCCACCATGCCAGGCTTCTCACAGGCAAACGAGCTTCCAGCATGGAAGGCTCTCATGGAGCACCATGACAAGCTCGGTCGCGGCATGGTCCTCAAGAGCGAGTTCGAGAAAGACCCACAGCGATTCGAGAAGTACAGCCGCACCTTTGCGAACGAGGCCGACGGCACCGAGATCCTCTTCGACTTCAGCAAGAACTTCATCACCGAGGACACACTACCTTTGCTTGTGAAGCTCGCGCAAGAGGCTAAGCTTGAGGAGCTCCGCGATGACATGTTCAAGGGCGAGAAGATCAACTTCACTGAGCAGCGTGCCGTCTACCACGTTGCCCTTCGCAATGTCAAGAACGAGCCGATGCAAGTTGATGGCAAGAGCGTCGTTGAGGAGGTCAACAGTGTGTTGGATCACATGAAGGAGTTCTCCGAGCAAGTGCGCAGCGGAGAGTGGAAGGGTCACACTGGCAAGCCAATCGATACAATCATCAACATTGGTATCGGTGGCTCAGATCTCGGTCCCGTCATGGTGACTGAGGCTCTCAAGCCATACGGCAAGAAGGGCATGAAGCTCCACTTCGTCAGCAACATTGATGGCACACACATTGCAGAGGCTCTCGCAGACAGTGATCGTGAGACCACTCTCTTCCTCATCGCATCGAAGACTTTCACCACCGCTGAGACAGTCACAAACGCGACCACTGCGAAGAAGTGGTTCCTCGAGAAGGCGAGCGAGTCAGATGTCGCCAAACACTTCGTCGCACTGTCGACCAACGACAAGGAGGTGTCCAAGTTTGGCATTGACACGAAGAACATGTTCGGCTTTAGCGACTGGGTCGGTGGTCGTTACTCCGTCTGGTCAGCCATTGGTCTGTCCGTCGCTCTCTATATTGGCTTCGACAACTTCAAGCAATTCCTTGCTGGTGCCCAGGCCATGGACCACCACTTCAAGACTGCTCCACTCGAGCAGAACATTCCAGTCATCGGAGGTCTACTGAGCGTGTGGTATTCCGACTTCTTCGGTGCTCAGACACACCTTGTTTCTCCGTAAGTATCGTACCCGAAGCACATCATACTGAGTTGGGCTGACTTGGCACAGATTCGACCAATACATGCACCGCTTCCCCGCCTACCTGCAACAGTTGTCTATGGAGTCGAACGGCAAGGCTATTACCCGCTCCGGTGACTACGTCAAGTACACGACCGGCGCTATCCTCTTCGGCGAGCCATGCACAAACGCCCAGCACTCTTTCTTCCAGCTGCTGCACCAGGGCACCAAGTTGATCCCAGCCGACTTCATCATTGCCGCCAAGTCGCACAACCCAGTCGAGAACAACAAGCACCAGCACATGCTTGCGTCGAACTACTTCGCTCAAGCAGAGGCACTTATGATTGGCAAGACACCAGAGACCGTTAAGAACGAGGGTGCCGCCGCCGAACTTGTACCTCACAAGGTCTTCTTGGGTAACCGCCCTACCACTAGCATTCTCGCTGAGCAGATCACACCTGGCACACTCGGCGCGCTCATCGCATACTACGAGCACGTCACCTTCACTGAGGGTGCGATCTGGAACATCAACTCCTTCGACCAGTGGGGAGTCGAGCTCGGCAAGGCCCTCGCGAAGAGCATCCAGACCGAGCTTGACAACCCAGGCGAGAGCTCACAGCACGACAGCTCTACCAGCGGTCTCATCAACGCCTTCAAGAAGAAGGCTGGCATCCCATGAATCGCTGGGGATGCAGTCGATGAGGCGATGGATAAGCCGAAGCTATGATGAGGATTCACGCTGCTGGGCTGGGCTTAGCAGAGGTACGTGATCCCTACGAGAGATGAACATAAAGTATTATAAAAGTCTTTAGATGAAATCGAGACGCAAATTTGAGCGATGTTTGAACTCTTTTAGGTCACTTTCTATGTCCTGCAAAGAGAAATTTCTTGGCGTCCGGCAAATCACGCTTGCGCGCAATTTCACTTCTTCCAGCAGGACCTCAATCATTCAGGACAAATCACAAGCCCGAGAACCATAACACACACCACTAATGCCTCTGCATTTTTCGTACTGTCTCTGCTCATCATGGCTCGCGACTTTGCGCAAAGCTGCGCAGAGCGAAATGGCTGACCATCCGGCATTGTCATGCATCTCTCGAGCTCCTCACAGATCGCACTTTCCTGCATCGAGACTATGGACAGTGAGCGGTCGGCTAATCACACGAGTTACAAAGGAGAGCGAACGTCCCAAGGCAATAAATGATCTGTATCCTCCATTGCCGATGCTCGACTCTCAGAGGACGCATCGGGACTTCTTGCCTTATCAGCCATTCGGGACGGCGAGTGATAGAGCTGGATGAAACAGGTGTGGAGATCGAGTCCTCAACTCACAGTAGTGGCGTCCGAGTATGCTATGCTCGACAGATTGCTGCTTCGTCCACTAGCTGGCCACCTGGCACTGGAATGGGCTACAGAGAAGATGTGGCCCGGCGACGCCGCCGTTCAGAGCATGGAGATCACCTCAATTCGAAGCTTCGCGCGCAGCCAAGCCTCTCATTGCCTCACCAAATGCGAGCTAGGCAGAGTCAACGCGAGCTAAGCAAAGTGAGAATCCATACGCGTTGCCTGCGCGGAGAGCAATTCAACCTCATGAACTCCGTGTGCTGTGCTCTGGTCTCATGTGGAACCAGAGGATAATTACATTGATTGCCTCCACGACTGCAGCAATTGCCAGAGAAATGACATGCCTCCTACGATCGAAAAATGTGCGACGTCGATCGTGTCGACATCAGAGCTTGGATTCCTACTGGCGCTCTGAGTGGCCTCAGTCCTCACCTAGAGTGAAGTTCCTGCTGGCCTCGACCCATAGAATCCTCTCCTACTAAGCTTTTCTCACGATTCCCGAAATCCACTCGCATAGCGACCGCGTCACATCAGAATATGGACGTCGAAATTTTGAAACAATTTACGATAAAGCTCGCGAACGGATCCATTGACCGAAGCATACTGTGTCTCCCACACGTGCGAGAAGTCGTAATGTCAACCTCGTGCTATACGACGGCCTGGATTCCCCTTCGCGGTCTGAGTGAGTTTGGTCTTCATATGTTGTTCAAGGCTCACCGGACTCAAAGTTCTGAACATCTGCCTTACCACTATTCTATCATGGTCCTCAAAAAGTGGTCTAATATTAACAACAGCGTTCGTTCCTAAGTCATTTGCTCCTAATTACCAAGATTGATGTCCTGAAAGCACAGTCCTCATCCTCAAGTAATACAGTACAGCTTCCATCGGCAAGAGAAATTCAAAGCAGTTCGACATTGCATCCAAGTCATAGCTCGGCCGAAAGTCCTACACAAGACAGGATTTCTCGATCTTCCCAGCGAGCTTCGCGATGAGATCCACAGCGACATCCTCAACGATATCGCGTAAGATGAAGGTGGCTCCGAGGTCTGCACCTCGATATTCAAGGCCCAATGACCAAGGCGTCCAAGGTAGCACCGTGTGCGATGTATCCATACGCATCCCATACCCTGAGGCCCTATCGGACAATACGAGGCAGGCTTCACTCGGAAGGCGGTATTCGCTGACATTCGATCCGAATCGGACCCTGCCATTCCCGGGCTAGAGTCTTCTGGCTCTAGGGTTACTCGCGTATAAAAGAGTGGCCGCTGGACTCAAGCCGTATTTCTAAAGAGTTTACTGAGATGCAGCATGAGTCGGCGCAGTAAAATCCTAACCACTGGGCCTGTCTGGCGGCTCGGCGAGCTCTGAGTCCCTAGCCACGGATGAGGTAGGAACGATGTCACCTGATCCTGTGACAGAAGGACCGCGAGCGATCCGCTTGCAGATGCTATGCAGATAGTCTCAGAACAGTGCTCCGAAGCAACTGAAGGTCCGATCGAGGTCCAGAGCACGGACAAGTACAAGCGCATGGCAACTGCCACAGGCTAATTTATGCCATGGAGGTGCACGCAGAAGGGTCTTGACCTGTCCTCATCTGCAATACATCTGTCATGTGCCATGTATAGCGCCTCCTCCTTCCAACAGATGCACAAGGCTCTGGACAGCGGGAGTACAAATTTGAATACAAGTTGTTGCTTCTAACATGAGGACTGGTTGGCAACTTCGCTACTGCCTGGATGTCTGCTGTGTTCTTATCCCACCAGAGAAAGCCAGGATTAGACTGTTGTTGATTGGAGGTCACGGTGGTCGGAAGTCACGGCAATGCGCGACTGCACACGAGGACGGCCTTCACCGGGGCTTGAGAAGGATGCAGGATTTCTCTTGCCGGCTGGAACAGCTTTCCAAGGCGATTTCCAATGCAACAGGCTCCGAAAGCCGCTTCCTCGTCTTCGTCAGTTGCCTGGCAACGTTGTTTGTCCCGGAGTGCCGCTTACTTCAAGTGTTGACTTTTCGCTTCTTCGTTTTCTTTTCCTTTCTCAAGCATTAATTGCGTTGTTGAGACTGCTCTCGTCTTCTGGCCGGATTGACGACATGGCTACTCAGCAACAGATCTTGGAACACTCCACTCAGTACAATCAGCTCCGCTGGTTGTGTCTCGCAGGCGATTTCCTGGCCGTCCACTTGGGATGGATCAAAGCGAAGAACAAAGCACTATCGAATCAGCGGCATGTTGAGGCGGTCCTGAGCCGCGACGGCGGTTGGGAGGAGGTGTGTGCGACGTTGGGCTCCTGGACCAAGGGGACCGTTGGTCTCGACCCTGATCAGGAGTCCGTCTTGCGAGGTAAGTTCTCATCACCTCTCGTGTCAATTGTGACTCCAGAAGCAAGACACGACTGTGCCACTGCACCAAGATGTCTCACGTTCCGATTCAACCAATTTGCATCAGAAGACAGGTTGCCACACTTTTTCCAGAACATTGGCCAACGCAACAGGACGCCGTATTGCCGAGGTCGCCATTGTCGCTCGCAGCAGAAGCATTGGTGGTGGAACTATTACACTTCTCGAAAGCTAACCTTTGACAGCGATCGCAGAGGCAGCATGGCACACCAGGCACGACGACGACTTCGGTCGGAAGAATGCCCCCAATTGGCCCGCAATGGACGTGGGGTACAGGAGCAATGGAAGCGTTGCAGGCCGACTGCCTGAATTAGGCACTCAGGCGTGTCGACAAAGTGGATGCCCAGATGCGGGATGCCGCCATGTGAGGACGTGGCCCGCAGACCGCAAGGTGAGTCCCCAGTCCTCATATTTTTTGACCGTCCGCACCTAGGAATACTCTTCCCTCCCGGCTCCTAAGATACTTCTTCCCGCGAGACCTAAGGCCCTTTCTCCTCTCCTCATGCCACTTCGGACGACGCCTTCACGCGGCTTGTGGTGTAAGTAGCCCCACGGGGTGAAACCGAGTCGACCAACATATTGCTATTCGAACGATCAATCGACCGAGCGACCGACCAAACGGCAGTCGAACGATCGAACGGCCCAACGAACGAGATCAGATATTCACGATATTTTCAGGGAAACGAGTGCGGAGGAGAGCGACGGAGAGCTGAGAATGGCGATTGCTTGGATTTGTAGTACCTGAGTCGTGACATGAGTCGGGATTCTAGGGGGAAAAAGGGGACTGTTTTACGGCGACGGCGTGGTGAAGAGGTGGGACCCTTCCAATGTGTTCGCACTTTGACGTAGTGGCGAGGGCTCAGTAGTCTTCCTCATCGCTCTATCAAGCATGAGGTAGGTGAAGCTAAGACGAACACCAGAACACGCTCGTTCAATGCGATCGCCGAACGAGCAAATCCACCTCTTGAGCTCTACCTGCAACATGATGATCTGGCACTGACGATGGTGTGAGAGCTGACTTCCAATTGTGTTAGCAGCTCGTTGCTGTCGCAACGGCGAAGAGCAGCTCGGTGTGCCTCCCATGGTCAGTGCATGGGGCATGTGTGCCTTCTCCAGACAAGTCATGTGGGCGTTTGAGAAAATACTGTCAAATGATCTCGATGTTGTTCACTGAGCTTGACACTGCGTGTCATTGAAAGCATTTTGTATGTGTCAGGAAAGTTGTCCGACTACTGGAGAGGAGCATTACCCGAATCGTATCTTTTCATGGTCGGGCGTGGAGATATTGACTTCAAGTCAACCATCTCGACACGATATTCGCTGTCAGCCAATAGTCCATCATCCTCAAAGCCTCAGCCGCGACTTTCCGGGTAATACATTTATGGATCCTTTGAGAGAAGCACCCACTGGTCCCTAAAACTATGGCATTTTTGTGGCCTCAATTTTTTTTAAGTTTGAAGCTTTTCTATTACCACTATATTTGTCGCCCTCAAATCTCTCCTTATAAAGGTAACAACGCCCCGCCCAGTGGCCTGCTCCTACGCATCAACTCGGACTAGCACTTAACACTTTGACATCTCTATCTTGATCTGTCAGACGCCTACTGCAGTTTGCAACAGCAAGCACACAATAAGACTTCTTCGCAACTCCTACACTAAACTCAAGTCATGGCTCAGCCGAAAGCCGTGCCCAAGACGGGATTCTTGGATCTTCCTCGCGAGCTTCGCGATGACATCTATACAAACATCATCTCGAACGTTACGAGCAACGAGGAGCCCGAAGTCCGCGATTCCAATATTCAGAACCCAGACTTTCTAAACATTTGTGCCGCCCACCCACAGATCGCAACCGAGATTCGAGAGCGAGATCAAGCTACACGCAGACATATCAAATTTCACCTTAGAGCAAGATCAGCACCTTGGATCCCACCGCTTGCGGCTTACAAGCGCCTGCAGCTGATCAGCATCGAGTTTAAGACGTACGAGGTAAAGCAAGACTGGAAAGGCGATGCCGATAGGTGTCCGTGGGAGATTTCGGAAGTAGCTAGACATCTCGCGGAAGTCGTCAAGTGGATCAACACTCACTCTGGCTCCGCCTCTTTGCCCCGACGTCTTTCGGTGAAATTTGAAGATGGAGGTGATGGCGATATCAGTTTCTACGACGAATTTTGGGATCCTGGTAGCTTTTGGCACTCGGAGCGTGGCCGTCGCCTGGCTCAGATGGAGACTGATTCATATTCTTCTCTACCAATAGTCGAACGCTTGTTGGAGCCACTGAGGAAAATCCAACCGGATGTGTTTCGAGAAGCTAGGATTTGGGAAATCGACGATGTCATGAGCGAGGAGCAGTCACAGGATTGTGGTATTTGGAATGAAGTTTATGATAGTCTTTGGGCCAGCGACTATTTCTACGAGTTGCAAAGGTGGATTTGTGGGCATGAGAGAGAAGGTGAGAAGGAGAAGATAAAGTGGGTGGAGCTTTTAGAGAAGTATTGGTGAGTCGGTAGATTTGGGGATTGCGGTATTGTTTGAGGGCGAGGAGAGAAACTGTGCACACGGTGCGACCTGGGATACAATCGTATAGGGAACTTGGGCATCTATGAGACTTTGTTTATTGAACTACGTACCCTCAAATGTAGCATCCTCTAATAAACGCTTTGTCATTGTTGAACACATATTTCGTTCCTCATTGTTCCATCTGAGGCGATGAACCCTCGACCCTCTCTCCCTCCGCCGGAGCTTGTGCATCAAATGCCCTCTCAATCGTTGACAAATACCGCTGAAAGGCCACAAAATGTACAATTGCAGTTGCGCCGTCCTTTCCCAACATGCACAAGGCCTCGTTCCAGAGCCTCTCCGATAACACGCCCGACTGAACGCATAATTCTCTCGTCATGCCAAAGACGACTCGATCGGTCCTGTCGAGCGTGCTTGCACACAGTCCAGCCTGGAGAGAATCGACTTCGTTCTGTGTCAAGATCTGTGAATGGATACCAAGTGTTGAGTGGAAATATGTCATATACTGAGATCTCTCGTTGGCGGAGACGACAAGTGATATTATAGCTTTTGTCCGAGAAGAGAGTGTTGAGCTGGCTTTGGGTGAGGCCAGGATGGATTGATAGAGCGACAGAATGGCGTGACCGATGGCTGGAGTGTGGAGGAGAATCCCATAGGGTCCGATGAGAGCGCCGCTTGATGGGAGGGAGTAAGTTACGAGCGCGTGGTTGACGATTTGGGAGAGGTGCTTGCTGAAGGCGAAATATAGGGATAGAGTCTCTGGAGAGTTCTTGGTAGTGAGAGTCGAAGGATGTAGGAGACCGAGTCGATTCATTCTGGATGAAGAATGCTTTAATAATTTACGGTTGGTAGATGGCTTTGAGAAATCGTCTTTGAGACTTGGAAGTGCTGGGGTTCTTGAGACTTATGCTCGAGAGGATGCTTCTTAGATCGTTGTCGAGCCTGTCGTGAATAATTTTCGTCTTCATTATATACCCACATTGTGTACGTTACAGTACGAGCATCGCCGCGGCTGCGATCTTTGTGCTTATGATACTATCGATGACAGTGAACTACTTTCTGTCGAGTGGTACGTCAGTGGTGAACGAAAAGTCGCCCAGGCTCAGAACGTCCGAGATTCATGATCTATGCAACAAGAGAATGCCAGGTGAACTTCTCATGTCGTTGTTGGTCCAATGGCATGTACAGCTCCGTGACCCCCAATAGTTACCCTACTGAGGATACGGCCGTCGAGATACCAGGAGACGAGGTCGTGGATGCATGCCATGTAAGCCAATCTGGTACGGCCTGCAGTCATTGAGGAATGAACGTCGTCGTTGAGTTGTTGAGTGTTACACTTGATGATGTAAAGCACGAAGTTCTCGCGGCAAGAAATGGATGCTGGAAAGAATCGGATCGCGGCCGAAGAGCATCGGAAGGAAGGAACTGCTGCAGAATAGTAGGCCGAGGATCGGCGTTAATGCAAGGCCTAAGCCGAATTATGTCCTGAGGGACACAAAATCGCAGCATTGTAGCTTCTGGTTGGAACCATGGTTGTCATCGTGCAGGAGGAGCATGTAAGAACGGATCCGGCCCAAGCACTGACAATGAGATGCAGCCTAGATAAGTTCTAGAAACTCCTTCCGCGTCCTTCATGTTCGCGGTACGTCGATTGGATCATTACTCTTGACGTTGCTAGCAGGTACTGTGACCTCTAAAGTGCAGCTACGACAAGGGTAGGCCATCTAACTGGAACAAAGAGGCCTGAAGGGACCCGAGACCATGTGGAATGTTCTGAGCACACGCCTTTCCCCTGAAAATTCACCGCCCTCTCTCTACTTCCCCGAAACCAACTCGTAGCCACCGTCGATTGTCACGTTTTGTCCGTTCCAGTATTGATTTGTGGCGGCGTAGAGAACTGCTCCAGCCATATCACGATCCTTGCCCGGTCTCTGCGCTGCGGCTTTACCCTCATACTTCTCCTTCTCCACATGGCTCTTCTGGTTCGCGCCGCTTTCTCCGGCCGTCATTTCGCTGGGAAACACACCAGGGCTGATGCTGTTGACGCGGATCTTCAGACCTGCTTGGAAGAACTCATTTGCCATCATGCGAGTCAGATGGCTGGCGGCTGCTTTCGAAGCGTTATATTGTGGATGATGTTGCATGGTCTTGACTTCGCCGGACATGGAAGAGATGTTGATCACGGTAGATGACCAGCCATACGTCTTTTCTGTGGCCTTTTGGAGCAGTGGTAGGAAGCAGGTGGTGACGAAGTAGAGTTGGCCGACATTGGTGCGATAGACAGCTTCCCAGTCTTCAAAAGAAGCGTCTTTGTTGTCGAAGAGATTCGACTTCAGTTCTTCGGCGTTCTTTCCTTCGGTCTTGAATGTCGAGGTGGAGATGCCGGCGTTGTTGATGAGAATGTCAAGATGCGATTCTTTGGAGCTGAACTCGTCGAAAAGCTTCGAGATGCTTTCTTTGCTGCTGATGTCGGCGGTCAACGGGATGATCTCGCCTTCGACGCCCTCATTGTAGGTCTTGGCCACGGTCTCGAGCTTTTCTTCTGTGCGGCCGATGATGTAAACTTTGGCGCCGTTTACGGCAAGTGACTGAGTCGCCATGAGACCGATGCCTGAGCCTCCGCCTGTGGAGCGTTAGTCGCATGTTCCCGGTTCCCACGGTATGCGATTACTTACCAGTGATGAGGGCGACTTTGCCCTTGACGTCAAAGACATTTGCCAGCTTGAAGCTGTCATTGTTGTGCTCTCGAGGATGGTCTGAAGCCATGTTGGAAGATGTCTTCACCGAAGAAGAGAAGTGTGCGGTGAAGTTCTGCAATCGGTTCGACGCCGTTTTGTGTACGGCGTGTGGTCTCTGCAAGTGAGGTCTCGAAGCAATGCTGAGGAAACGTGATGATGGCGGGATGTACGTGAGTGTACGAGAGAGTTGTGCGCGAAGACAGAGAGAAGACATGATTTTTGGTGACTTACCAGCTGCAATTCTACGCAATGCTGTTGCTTTCCGCCATTGCGTTGCTCATGCTGTAATGGCAGCGTCATGAAGATGCACACACGAGGAAAGCACGCGTCGAGCTGGACCCTCACTTTGGAGTCGCGACTTCGGCGCGTCGGCGGGTGGAAAGTGGCCCGAGCTCAATTGTCGACTTCATCTTCATCTTTATCTTTATCTTTATCTTAATTTTCTACATTCGCCTGCGAAGTCCTATTGCACACCTCTACGCGGTCGTAGGTAGAAACAGATAGCTTCGGCTATACTAGTAAAGTATAGAGCGG